GACGTCCGTTTTTGAATCGTTCAACCTACACTTTGGCGATTTTTGTTTTTTTTGTAATGATCTATGGTTTTTACAAGTTAGCAAGTACAATTTCTATTTCTATTCATAAACTGAATCCTAGCTAAATTGCGCGTTTCGCATTTCTTTTCATTTTTTCGGTACTATCCTGTTATACATTCCCATTGCAATTGACCTAACCATTTTGGATTTATAATATTCTTTTATCTACTTGATGCATAGATTTATCTAATCTAATCTACACTTGGTCCAAAACTTTAGCCTAAACATGTCTTAAACTTAATCTAAATACATGATTTTAAAGTAGTCTAAATTGGGTACATAAAACGTGGGAGATGTATAACAAGGTAGTACCATTTGTTTTCTTTATTTAAGTTTTTATAAGTTGTGCTTATGTTTGTTTTCGATTATTTGTTACCAACAAATTTTGAATTTTGATGATGGATGCTCAATGAACAAAAGAAAACAAATGCAGTAGTAAAGTAACTTTCAAAACTTCTCAAAACAAATACCCAATAGGATAAAATAGAAAATTCTCATGAAATAACTTTTCTGATTTCTGAAAGTAGCTGAAAGTAACTTTACTATTAATGCAATTAGTAGTAAAGTTTGGAAATTGTTAAAAACGGGTTCAATGATTTAAAAACGGACGTCGGATTCAATATCCATATACATTGAATACCATCCAATGACGGACATCAAACATCTAATCTCACTTACCCTATCCCGTCGTTCGATCAATTCTCCATCACAACTCGAATATTTCCTCGCAATTTCTTTCTGTTCAAAACTTCTCGCGAAACAAATACCCAATAGAATCAAATAAAAAATTCTCATGAAGCGATTTCTGAAAAAGAAAACTTTTGATAGAGAAACACAAAAAATAAGAGAAAATGATAGAAATAAGGAAATTGAGGAAATGTTTACTTTTTTCGAAAACAAACTGAAATTTGATATATTGCGGGATGAAAATCGATACTTGTTTCCGCTTTTTCCATATAGAAACAGGTTCCTTTTTGCTTTTTTTTGCATTTTGAGCGGCAAAATTGGGTTGCTTTTCACGTGGTGTTAATTACATCGAAATTGAGTCGAGATTGGACAAAAAGTGCCAAAAATAGGGATACGCTTTGAAAGAGTTATTTCTTAACTTGAAAATAGCACAAAAGCAGTAAAAAAAAGTAGTTTGAAATTGCGAATCAATCGACAGCGAATCAAAACTTTTCATCAAATGTTTGTGAGAGAAATTCTCCGCCAAAAATTCGAAATTGATTGATATATAGATTAATTGTTATCTTATAAATCTAATTCTAACTAAATTATTTTTATTTTTATTATTAACTAACTAATTCTAACTAACTAATCTAACTAATTTTTTTTGTTAAAAAAGAAAATTGTATTTAAAAGTTTCAAAAAGAAGAAAAATCCATCCTCTACTGTTTTATTTTGGAAAAAAATTGCTTCGTCTTTTTACGAAGCTTTCAATTAAGCCAAATTCTATATAATCTTCTTGTTTTTCAAGAAAAATATTGAAAAAAATGTGGAGAATTCTTAAAAGAAAGAGAAAAAGGAGAGTGGTGAAGGATCGTTAATGAGATAGAGATTCACTTAGCTGTGAGAAATGGAAAAGAATGAAATGGGGAAAACAAGAACAATTCTTTCAAAACATTTATTCTTTCGATTGGTTAGCTGCTGCTTTAATCATCATAATCGTTGAAACAGTTGTTCTTCGTTTTTTATTCCAAGCCTCATATTTCTTGCCCAATAAAACGGCTTTAGCTGCTGATCGAATCTGAAAAATCGAACATAGTGGACATTTCATTATTGGATTCTCAAAAAAACTTGTGCTTGACATAAAAGAAAGGGTGCTGAAAGTGTAAGTGTAAGAAAGGGTAAGAAAAAGTGTAAGAAAGGGTGCTGAAAGTGAAAACGAACCGAAAATCGTGTTCGGTGCCAGAGTGATCGGGTGGATCGATTAACCTTTTCATTGAAAATGATGAGAACAATTGGATTAGCCGACATTGCAGAACAACTGATCATCACAGAGAGGACGTTGACACCGAAATTCCCGGGAAACCATTTGGGGAAGAAGAAAAATGCGAATGATGAACTCCAAGAGAATGAGCAAACAACAAGGCATTGGATTGTCTGAAAGGGATGCTCAGGGTTTGGGTTTTGATTTGAATGTGTTTTGGTTTGAACGAGCAAGGAGTTTGTGTGAAATTCTTTAAGTTACCAATTGTTCTTTAAAAACTTACAAGTGAATACTCCCTTGCGGCTCGATGTTTTACATAGTGCAATCGGAGAATGATACAAGCGTAAAGAAAAAGCATTGTCAATGGAGCCACTTCGCCTCAAATCATTTATTCAATTTACTTTTTATTCTTTAACAGTCAAATTATTGTGATATTTGTGATTGTGATTGAATTTTGTGGTATTTTGTGATGAGAATTGGATTGAGTTTACTTAATTGAATTTCCTCGGCAACGAAAGGGTAACTCTTTCTCAAAAATGGGAACAGCGAGAGAACTGATGCCAAAGATCAGAGATAGAAAACAGTTCAGATTCCAACTTTGCTGTGCTAGGCTGTCCAGAAAGTCTTTTTCCTTTTACTTTCGTTAAAAATAAGCACCAATTGAAACGGGTTTTTTTTTCATTAGAATAGTTATTGAATATCTAAGGTAATGTCTAACCTGCAATGACATAAGTTTGCTCCAATCCTCCACAAGAACCACACCCAAAAGTGAAGGTGAGTATTCGTGGAGTGAAGATTTTGAAACAACCAAAAAAAGAAGGAATCAGCGTTAAAAGAATCCCGTATATCCAAGCCGCTGCATGAAGGATTTTCTGAAAATCTGGTATTGGGTAATTGAACCGGTTGTGCTTGTTTTGGGAACAAACACTTACCGTGACGATCTTCAAATAATAATCTTTCAACCCTGTGCACAACAAAATAAAGCGATTCAAGGAAATGATCAAAAGGAAAGCTTGCTCAACGTAATAAGTGAATGTGTTTATTGCTGCTAGTTTTTTCATCACTTCGATATCCTCCAAAAATGAGTAATCATTGAGCACCACTAAATTTTCAATAAGCCATTAAGTTTCTCGAAAAATTACGTTTCTTACCTGGAATTGCCACAATAAAATTAGCCATAAAGTATAGAGGACAAACAATTGACATTGATAAAGTGATTGGGTAGATTTCAAATTTCAGAAATGATTTATGTTTTATGATGATTGTAAAAAATAATAAGAGATTGGCAAAAGTGCCGATTGAGCTGATGAAAAATATTAGAGAGGCGAAGAAAATTCGGAGAGTTGACGAGATTTGAATGAACGGAAGATTGGGACAAGCGGAGGTTGTGGAGAGGAGAAATGGGGTCGAGTTCATTCTGGAAATGGGATACGAGTTGAAATCATATTGAAAATAGTATCAAATACAGAAAAAAAAACACACTAATTGACACAAATAAGACAATATTTCCCCAGAAAACGTGTTGGCGCGAATGGCACTTCTGCAAATTGTACCAAAGCAAAATCTCTCACAATAATTTCGTACTTTGGACTAATCTCTAGTTTTTTGAAAGAATGGATTAATCTAAAAGCGATTCAAGAACAACAAAACTCAAGTTTAGCTTCAGATTTTCTTGGATTTAATGTCAAGTTTGGGTTGTTAAGAACAATTTGCCAAGATTGACCGTTGAGTTGTTAATCTATAGAGAATTATTTTAAGATTTGGAATGATTTTCTTTAAAATGTGTAGACTGAGAAAAGCTTTTAATACGCCTTTCACTACTATAAACTTGTTGACAAAAGTCAGCAAGTCTTCACTAATTTGAGATCTCAAAATGTTGAACTTTCTTTAGGGAATTACAAATTGATCCATCTGATATTTTGAGAAGAAAATTGAAGAGTAAAATGTAATGGAATGTAATGGAATATAATGGAAAGTAACATTTTGTTGAAAGGAAAGGAAAAGAGAAGAGAATAAACTCTAGAGGAAGTGAATAATGTGAAGAGTGCACCCTGAATTTCATTTCCCGTTTCTACCAATCAAAAAAAACACACACACACAGAAAAAGACTTTTTTAAGTTCAAACACTGTTAAAAACAGTTTTTTCGACACAAAACTTCCTGAAATATTTCTTTTCCTGAAACTGAAACAATTTTCTTTTCAAATCGGAGCAATTTCAAATAGCCACACTCATTTTTCGATAGAATTATCGTTTGGATTGGGTTCAGAAACCAATTTTCGACGCAAATTTGATTTGAAGTTTGAAGAATTTCAAAGAATTTAATTTCAGCTAGAAATTTGTGAGGTGGTATGTATTTTCAATGAGAAAAGCGCAGCAGCAGAAGCTACAGTATACCAAAGTAACCAGCTGCAGAAGCTGCAGAAGCTACAGTATACCAAAGTATCCAGCTGCAGAAGCTACAGTATACCAAGGTTGCTACAATATGAACAGGTTATTCGGGAAAAGGAGCAAAAACTAAGCTTTACAGTATCTGGATCAACAACTTATTCGGAAAAAATAAAAAAAAAATGAAAAAATCTCTATTCGAGGGTTTGGAGTTCACAGGTGCATAAGTCTGTATTCTTTAAAAGAAAAAGATTGCCAAAAAAACTTCTTTGCTGCTGGTTAACCATCAAACGATCTTTTCAGCTGTTTTCCGTGCTTTCATGACTCAAAAGCTAGCTTCTGTTTCTGATTAAATTCACCGAGGGAACCAAAATATTTTCGCAATTCTCGAGGTGACTGTTTGAATGATTTCAATGATTTTCCCCCGATTCAATGATTTTCACATGCATTTCGTTTTGTCTTTGTTTATTCCTTTCTTTCATTTCTTTAAGTAACTTTTAGTGACCTTACTTGAAATTGAAGTTTTGTATGTGAAAAATGGCATTTCTTCTACAACAACTCAGGTCATTTATGCACCAAAAAGCAAATATTCACAAAAATTCCCTTCTCACATCCAATCTTTTATCTCCTTTTCTTCTTCTTCTCATCTTGATATTGAGCATTGAATGCAGAATATTGACATTGGATTGGAGAAAGGAAACAAAGACGGGCTTTCCCCTTTTTCAAGAAGAGTGGTTCACTGAAAATTTTGAAATTAAGAATGATTTTAGTTAGAAAAATGAGTTCTAGTGGCTCAAGCAAAGTTAGGAATCAAAATGAGTGATGAAATCTAGTTTAGAAGTCTAGAATCTAAATTTTAGCCAAATTCTGTTCGAGTTTTGTTCTTTTTGAACTCACTTTTTCACATTGTGTCGATGCATGGAAAAGAATCGATCGTTGAAACTAAATATCAATCTTTATAAGATATTCAGTTGAAAGATGCGGTTTATTTTGCGTTTCTGCTTTTCACTCACTCGAAATTTTGTACATGCCCTCCTGAAGTGATTCCCTTTCCAAAGTGCATTGTGGGATTGTTTCGAATGCTTCTGAAATGCTTAGAAATGCTTAATGTTTAATCTTCTCCATTTTTACCTCAATGAAATAATTTCCGCTGTTGTGGAGACAATGAATAAAACAATCAAAAAGGCGGTGAATAGTTGCAGATTTCGCATAATGATGAGACCCTGGAATTCGAAGTTTACAAGTTTATTTTGTAATAAATGAAAGTTGAACAAGCAAAAAGATTATAACTTGAACTTCTGAAGACTAAACTTTTAAAATACTCGAAATCATGACTCGATTTCGATGAGTGGCCTTTTTGATGGCGACGAAACTACGTCAGAAAGATAAATGAAAGAAAAGATTCAATGGAAAAGAGTCAAATTCTTTCAAATTGAAAGTCTACGTTCACTGAAACAAAAATGAATGAAAACAAAGGCGAAATGTATTCATTGTTGACAATTTTTGACTAAATACTTGGAAACTTCTTGAAAATTTCAAAAATTAGAATTAAATTGGTTAATCGAATCTTAAAAATGAATTTCGTGTAAGTCACCAGGTGATACATCGACTTTTGATAGTCTAACGATAAAGTTAAAGTAAGAAAATGAAAAAAGATTAAAAAACCACCCGCAAGCTGTTAAAAGCTATCCTATAACGCTTGAAAAACGGCATGAAGCTATTCTACAGTAATATCATATTTGGAAAACGATCGCTACTTTCGCGCGTCTGTAACTCCCTTGTCTTTGAGTTTAAACTATTAGTGTTATACATTTTCTGAAAGCTCTTTTCAAGGGCTACACAATGGTAATATTAATATTTAGAAATACGATAAAGACAAGGGAGTTACAGACGCGCGAAAGTGATGATCTTTTTCCAAATATGATATTTCATTGTCCAGTAGTGTACATCGACTTTTGATAGTCTAACGATAAAGTTAAAGTAAGAAAATGCAAAATTGCGTACAAATATTTGGCTGATCACTAAATGAACTGTTGAACATCAAAAGTAAAGATAGATTATCCCTATAATCTTGAAAAAATTGAACACCAAGCTTTCAAAGTTTAAAATGCAAATGAATCATTTCTAGTGAAAATGAGCACAAAGTTCTCGTGAAATCTCAATGAAAAATTCACCAAAATGGACGACTGAAATCCAGTCTGCAAGAAATTTCCATTTATAAACTCCAAACCGGAATTGTAAGTTGAAAAAAGTGAAGAGATTATGACGAAAAATAATTTTTGGTAGAAAAATGACAAATTCATTCCAATCGAATGAATTTGAAAAGTATTTTGAGAGATTCTCTGGAAAAAATAGGCTCTAGCAAAACAATTTTTGCACATCATTTAGCAATTAGAAAGCCAAAAAAAGGAAAAGGAAAAACTAGGGGATTAAGTTTGGGGAAAAGTTGGTATCAAAGCTCTGATACAGTCGTCTTTTAACGGTTTTTTTTCGTCAAAAGATTTCCACTTCTAAAGTGTCCCAAGGAAATTGTTGATGACTTGAAGAGCTCTCAATTCTCAATCAATTGAAGAGCTTTAGTATTCGATGGCTGAGATATCAATGAATCATTCAGTATTATTGTATCAAAAACTTCAATGATCTAACGGACAAGACTTCCTTTAACATCTCCTTGTGCCAATGACGACTCTCGTACATTCAAAGATTCTATGCATTTTTCTGGCAAAGAAATCTCCGAAATATTGAAACTTTGTTCAAAAAACTCTAAAGTTTAAATAAGAAAAGCGAAATTCGCTTAAGTTGCAAACATTCTGATGGTGAGATCAAAAATTCTGAAATCAGCTCTTCAAAAAAAGATGATCATCGTTAATAATTCAGAGAGAGTCCAAGAGAAATGAAAGATGCAATGTTTTCTGAAGAGAAATGTTTCTTTTTAAAGAATTTTCTTGAAATTTTGCTTAAAATCAATTAGAGAGTTGACTAGATCGGCATAAAGATTGGGAATGTTAGAAAAACAGTTTAGAATTTGAAGTAGTGAGTGGAAAAAGTGATTCTTTGAAAATTCTTCAATAAATCTCAATCTTTTTCGGAACTTATCTCGACTCTGTTAATCAAATTTCGATGTTTTGACATTTAAAAAGCCGAATAACTTTGTTTTTTGGTAATCGGAAAGTTACTTTGTCTCAAGATCCAATCAATTTAGCTAAAGGTCAAGAACTTTTATTCTAAATAAAACGAAAGATTTTGCTCAAGTCAACGGAAATTTCATTATACAAATCTTGCAAAAGTAGCCTTTTTATATTGAATTTTATTGATTCGCGAAAAACGAAAAAGAAAAAATGTAATTTTCGTAAGAAAACGAGGGTTTTTTTGTTTAAGCTTTGAGGGAAATGGGTCTTGGAAAAAATTTCAGCTCCAATTAGGTTTTTGGAGAAAATTTCTTGACCCATTTACGCAGATCGACAATCAAAATCTGAAGTTATAGGTTAGACGAAGAGAAATAAATTAGAGGGAAATATTTTTGCTTTTGATTGGCCGAAAGAAATAGATGAATTTGAAGGGAGAAAATCAAACAATACCTCTTTTATAAACAATAAACAATACTCAACTTTCTTTATACTCAAAAAATACTTTACAATTTTGTTCGAGTGATATTTGGCTTGCTATTGAAAAGCTTTTCGACAATGTTTATCAAAAGTAAACTTTGAATGGACTTTGTTGAAATCGAGAAACGTTTGACTAAAGTTTTGTTCGTGTTTTTCTACTTAAAATGTAAAATTTGGACTTAAAAGGGGAATTTCTTTTTTGCAGAAACGTCTGACCAAAAAAAAATGTCGTAAGCAATTAGCATAATTAAGTGGAGAAGTTGCATGGAAATAGAACCGAAAACGATGGCCCACGCTAAGTTTTCTGTAATTTTGTCGCTTTGCAAAAAGGATTATGGTAGTCTTTAAAAGTCAATATGTTTTAGAAAACATATGAGAACCAGAGCCCTTAAAAAGAACTCTATATAGCTTTTTGTTTGTAGAAAAAAATGGTAGTTTGAGTGTCATTTACGGAATTTGCCCACTTACGCACGATTCCCCGAAAACAACAGAAATCTCGTGTTTTTCTTGCCGAATTTCGTTAACAAACGGAAATTTCGTTGTGTTTCGATTAAGGTTTTCGTCGTTTTCTGCCATTTCCCCAATTAAATGCGTCAAAAATCGAGTTCTGAACAGAAAAAACACAAAATTTAGTGATAATTCGATGGAAGGACATCAATAAAACATCGAAAACTATTTTTTGAATCTTATTACAGCTTTACAGCTGACAAAAAAAAATGGGAGTTGTTTGGAAATCGCGTTTGAAAATTTCAAAAGCTGTCGGATAACTGTAGAAGTTATTGAAAGCTTGCAGCCGTAAAATCTGAAGATCTCTGTGAACTAGACTTTCGAAAACACTATAGTTGATCATTTTTATCTTTTTTAGCATAACTAACCCATTCTGCTTTCATCTATTTTTCAGAGACATGGTGAGGAGACAGCAAAAATAGATGATAAATGCAAAACTTGGGTAAAAACTTAGATCCAAAAGGCTTTTGTTGCGATGTTTTTTCTTCTGAATATCCATTCAAAAAATGAGGTCAAGATTCAAGAATAGAAATAGAATTGGATCTATTTTTATAGTTTTTCAACTATAAAACTTTCATCGTTTGTTATGTGACGTGAGTGCTAGAGATTGGTTAGGAGTTGTTTGGCCAAACGTAAAATACTTTAAGCAGACAAGAAAAAGAATCAAAAGCGGAAATTGAACTCGAGATCGATTACGTCTGAGGAGAGATTGCTAACCAAACCACTTGACCATAAAGGACATTCAGGGAAAATAGGGAAATGGGTAGAAGTCGAGGAAAACTAGCGTCGAGTAGTAATGGTGAACTTTGCTTTGCAGCAAGGAACTTGGATGAAGCTGACTCGAATGACTGAGTTGACTGAGATGTTAGTTAAAATATGTTGTAGCCAAGCCAAACATCATCTTTGACCAAGAGAACTGATCAACTGGCTAGCAAGTTTAGTCAAAAATTCAAAACTGGAGCAGCCAGGTCTTAAATAAGCACTAATTTTGCACAAATTTAAATGAATCTAGTACTTGTCAAGCAAAAAAAGATGTAAAAGATGCAAAAATGAAGCAAAGATATCGAAAATCCAAACCAGAATCTTTTCCGCTTTTCCGAAGACGTCAGAAGTTTGGGAAGCTTTTGCAATGGAAGCTTTTGCAAAATAAATGAAAGGTTTGCTGAAAATTTGAAATTTCAGGGAAGTTTTAAGGACAATTTTCGAATTCTCATTCAAAAGTTCCTGAAAGATAATGGAGTTTTTGCGGGTTTCAAGTTCAAATTCATCGAAATTATCTCTCGAAATGTCATTTTTTTGATCCATTTCATTTCCAATGAACTCAAAATGAAATTTAGAGATGATTGTCGAGAATTTGAGGTAATCTATGAGAGTTTCCTTTTAACATCAATGTTGAAAAGGCTACAAAAGTGCAAGTAAACCGGAAGTTTGTGGGAAGAAAACCTAACAAAGTTATTTCACTGATACTAAGGGTTTAACAAAGATTTTCTTCTTATAGTTGAGCTTTAAAGTGTTCCAATGATTCAATGTCCTCAAGTCACTAAAAACCGAACGGCTTCTGAAGGCTTTTGAAATGATGGCTTTTGAAATTTGATTGAACTTGGTCGATTCGAAGCTTCGATCTCATCTAGAACGTGAGCAACGTTGTTGAGTGAAGCTTTCCCTCTCAACTCAAAAACCATCGAACTTTGACTTTTTAGAATGTCAGATTCAACTAATATACCTGGCTTCGCAAGTTTTTCTGGTAAAGTCTTGGCCCTTTGGTTTCAATTCTTACAAGAGAAGCCGTAAGTGGATTTCGGCACCAAAATGAAATGCAAACACCTATCGAATACGGTGAATACGATGGTGTTTTCGGATTTTGCTAAGGATCGCTAGTTTTCGAGAAAAACGACATTGAAATTTCGGCGGCTACTCGAAAACAAGGAAGGCTTCTATAAAACGAATTCTTTCGGGCAGGCAAAGCTGTCCTCGTAGTCAGTTGGTAGAGTCCTCGCAGTCAGTTGGTAGAGTCCATTTTTGCTCCCGGCTAGCGCCCTTTTTTTGCTTCTTTCCAAACTTGTATTTTATATTTTATATTCAAGGGTTATAGAACTTATAAACTTTAGTTTCTTTTGCCATTGTTCAACAATTTTATCCATAAATCAACCATAGATTCTTGAAAACAACCATAGAATTCAATATCGGACTTGCCTTGTCCTTGCATCTTATTTTGGTGACGAAATCTTACCTTCAGTTCTGATCATTCCCTTGTTAGATTGCTGAAGAGGATTTGTTTATACCAAACGAACGTCAAAGCCTCCATTTCCTGCACTTGACACGTGCTGGGAAAACTTTGTGGAAGAATCACCTATTCGCACGTTTTCGTCACACATAAACTTTGTTCATTTCATCTCAATAAATATTTTCGATATTTTGAGATGTTTCTTTTCAGATTCAAAAGCTATAATCTTCAAAAATATACTCTGCAGGCTCGGTTCCATTGAGACAAAAGATAAAAGAAGCTTTGATGAAATGGGAAACCCTCTCTTTTTTTGTTCAAATATCTTTCTGTTGTTTGGAAAAGTAAGATTTTATTTTTGAACGCGAAAAGAAAGAAAGAAGAAGCTCTCCTTTTCTGAAATCAAACATGAAAATCCACTTCTTTTTACCTCAAATTACACTCAAAGGGGGATTTCACAACGATGACGGGAATTCTTTTCGTTTGTCCTTTAGATTATTGAAGCCTTACACTACGCTACATTACAATTAGTTGACTAACTTTACTCTGCTACTTTACGTAGGCTTTCGCTACCCAATTTCGTGGGGAAAGCTGCAAGAAAACGTGTTCAGTGCACCAAGCATCCAATGTTTAGGTCAATCAAATTCAGGGCAGATTATAGTGATTTTGAATGGAGATGATTAACGGAAATGGTATTTAGAAATGATTTGAAATGACCTTTGTACAAAATGACCAAAAGCTGTTCACCCGTTGAAATTAGAATATTGATGTGGGGTCGAAATCGAAAGCTTCAATCAAGGGCTATTGGGGGAACCGGGTGAAAGATCTTTAAAATGTTACCGTTTTCGTTAAAATTGGAAACGCCAACGCCGCCGATTTTAAGGTAAGGTCCGGTTTCCTCTGCTGATCTTAACGATTGTATGAGTAACTTCTTGCTTTTTTTTGTTTTTACTTTAGCATTTTTATCATACAACCCCAACTAACACTTAAGAAATTGATTTAGAAAAGTGACAACTAATCGCCGAGAATCGTGTTTTTTTTTTAGATTTTGGCTTCTTCTTGCACTATTTTGTAGGGAAATTTTTTGCAAACCAGTTTTTATCAGTTAAAGCCAATTCAAGTCATGAGTTTTTCCATTTTTCGCAATCCAATTTGAGTTGATTCATTTTCTCTCTTTGTTCTTTTTCCTTTTCAGTCATTTGTCTTGATTAAGAGCTCAATTTGAATAATCGAATCTTTGAATAATTTATTCAATGATGGAATCTTCAGATATCATCTCTGATTCATCTCCAATCACATGACAGAATTCGTTTTATTTTTCTACACGCCTTAATTATTTTTTTTGCCTCAAATTATCGGTCTTTCAAGTTGACGCCACTGCTTTCGATGTGGATGTCGTATCTTTAAAAGAAGAGAGCCTATTTTTAGACAAAAATTCTTACTTTCTAATACTTATCCGTCAATTGAGTTAATCCTTTTTATTAGTATTTGATTCTGACTCAAAAGTACATCGATTTTTTTTGTTTTATTCGTTTCTCCCGCAATAACCCCGAGAAATTCCTGGATTTTTTTCGCTGTCTCCCTCGTGAAAAGACAAGTCATCTGGAAGAGATTCGTTTAGGGATTTCAAGTAGAATTTCACGATCTACTCAATTGCGCCTTTTTGGTTTAAAACAAATCTTTTCAAGCTGGATCACTCATCCGAATAAAGTTTTGACTTGTAGGAGCTGAGTGCTTCTTCGACTGTCTTTCTCATTATTTTGGTCATTTAAAAGCTAGATACGCATGTAGTTTCGTCTAAGAATGGTCTCAGCTCAAAGTTAAGAATCGATTCGATTCGTGCATCTTATAGAATCGGAAATACTAATTCTGAATCTGCAAAAATTAGCTGCGGATTCTGGAATCTGGCATAGAAAATTCGCTCAAATTTCGGACTCTTTATGAGGCGGCCAAATTTCGGACTCGTCTTCAGCTTCGCTGGTCTAACGGATAGTTTGCTAGTCTACGAAACCTATGAATTTTTTGACTTGGGTTCGAAGCCTCCACTAACCAATTTTCTTGTTTTTTTCGAAAATTCTTTTTGACGCATTTGCATTCAATATTAATGTTTTATACATAATTTTGCAACTTCTACAGCCTCTAAAGACATAACATTCTCATAGAATCTTTTCACAGAAGTTCATAAACATTTTCGAACTGGCATCATTTTTCATTGGAAAGTTGGAAAGTTTTCTTGTGGCGTCATAAAGAGTCCGAAATTTAAGCAAATTTTCTATGCCAGATTCCTCGCGTTTGCGTGCGAATCCGCAGCTAATTTTTGCGGCTTCAGAATCAGCATGTTCGATTCTATAAGATCGATTCTATAACTTGAATCGATTCTCAACTTCGAGCTGAGACCATTCCCTTGTAAGCTTTCAATAATTGAATAGAAAATGAATTTGGAGTACTCTGCGATTATGTTTAAACTCCAAGCCGACTTATTTCATATCTTTGGACTTGACTGTTGTGTGGCTTGTAACCGCAAAGTGTCTTTTTTACACTCATCTTCTTTCTTAACCCAGAAAATCATCTTCAACAATTTTTTTCCTTGGTTCTTTGGTCTTGGTTACTCAATTTTCTTTTGCAGACAGGTCAGAGATGAGGAAGTTTTTAAGGCCATTCTTGGAAAATTCCTTTTTCAAAGGAATTAGATGAAAGAGGAAAGAAGAGCAAGACACAAAATAAAATTAGAGGAGAAGCTTCCAGTTCCCATCAACAATGGCCGACCTAAGATCGTTTTTGGAGAAAAAGAAATTTGCTGAAAGTTTAGTTTAACCAGCTTTTCAGTTTGAGAGCTTTTCGATATTTAATTCTTTCAAATTGCTCTTTAAATTATCAAAATCTGATTTGTTTTGTACTAAGCGGCCATAAATTGAAGAAAACAAAAGCATACGATTCCCATTCACCACTTCATTCTCAAGTCCAACACGCAAGTCATCAAATTTGAGATTCTTGTGCTAGCAAAGTTAAATGGATGCAAAGGAAAGTGAAATTAGATGCATTTAAATGATCAATCACTCTATTTTTTTCACGTTTGTCTGAAAAGTTTCCCTATAAAAGCCTCTAGAATCATTCTTAACTTTCAGCGCAAGATCCAATCACTCAAACCTTTTGAGTGACTTTTGAGTGGGTTCTCTTCTCTTTCACTGCTTCACAACTCCGACTCTATGACTCAATACGACTCTATGACATAAATCTTTCAAGTATTTGTGTTTTCAAAATCCAAAAATCGGCACTCCAAAAATAGTTTCAATATAGCTGTGAATATGTGCGAGTTCTCGAAAAAGGTCAGCACGGCTCGAGTTTGCGCAAAAATCTGTAAAATTCAGGTGAAATTCCGGAATTTCACACCTGCATTTCTTTTTCTTCGCAAATTTCGTCCAATTAAAACGCCTACCATAGAAATTTGACGGTGGAAGTTTTCTCTTTCGCACTTTTTTTTTATGGATTATCTGGGTAAAGGGCTAATTATCAGACTTCGAGTTTCACACTCAACATTTCAGCTGCTGAGGAAAAAGCAGAAATTCGACTATAAGTTATGCCCAAGGGTTCTGCTTTTTAATTTTGAAATCAAGTTTGCTTCTGAATCAGAAAAAATATTTGAATCTTAGCTTCTGCCTTTGGAACTTTGTGGCTAAACTTTTCAATGCATTAAAGTTAATGTTAGAACCATTGTTGAGCTGACTTTTCCTCTCTTGTTTCTCTACTGTTTGAAAACTTTGTATACCATTTCTAGAATGCAAAAGCTCTTCATTTTCACAACAACAATACTCACATGGGTGCTGGCAAAAGAAGAAAATCTTGCAAATCGACCACTTTCAATCAGTTTTTGGCCTGGAGTCAGGTAAAGAATTGGTCGAAAACAAAAACTTATCCGAAATTTTATATGACAACAATAAAGTCACCTTTTCAGTTGGGAATCGAAAAACCCGGCGATAAGACGATCTTCATCATTGAGTACTTCATCTGCTGAGAAAAGGTAAGCCCTCAAAGCCAAGCACTGTAAAATTGATTTCAGAAATTTGGAAGAGAATGAGATTTTGAATCGGATTCGGGGGAGATTGAGGAATTGCTTTATGCAGCCATTTGAATGTCAAATGGAGCCACTCACACAAAAGGTTTGTGAGCATGTTGAAGAAGTATAATAAAGAAAGATCACAAAAAGAAAGATAACAAGAACTATTGGCTCAAATACGGTAAACAAAAGCCATTTTCAGGGTACAATCCTTCTTCAAAAGTTGCATGAACAATTGGAAATCGAGAGTCCATTGCAACCGGGTGGAGAACTTCGGAGATTCGATGAAACGAGAAAAAAAATGGAATTAGCGAGGACATTCAGAAATTATCATTCACATTTCCTTTACAATCCCCTTTTTCGCTTACAAGCATTCACTGATTCAAAACACAAAAAGAATGCTCGCCTTTAAACATTTTCATTTTCATTTCGGTACTTGGTGGATTCCTTTTTTCCTGTTTTCAATTTCCCGTAACTTTTCAAATAACCTCTTCTTAATTGTTTACCTGTTTTTTTGGGCGTTTTGTTATTTGCATTTGCTTGTAATAGAATTTGAGTTGCTCAAGATGAGAAAATTTATTGTTTTCAGCTTATGTTCTTTAATGTACGGGACGTTTTTTTGTGTAATAAAAGGGTAGATTTTTGCAAAAAATGTTTGACAAAGAATGTACAGATAATCTCTGAATCGGAATGATACCTGAGCATCTTCATTTGTTTGATTGATTAAGGGTGATTCTGTATAATAAAAACCCTGGTTCAATGAAAACCCAAAAGCTTCCAGTACCGTATTTATTCCAAAAGAAGAGCCCTTCTTTTGACGAAATTTTTTTCGGATTTTTTAACTCTTGGATAGTACCATATTTATTCCAATTAAAGAGCCTTCTCACAAATTTTTCAAGACTTCTAAAGAATTTAAATAATATTTGTAAACTAAAAAAGCTTAATGTTCAATAATCGGATGAAAATCCAACAAAAACACCCATTTTTTGAGCTCTTGAAAATTTGGGTATACTGTAGCGAAAGAGAATTTGAGAGGGACATTGAAAAATAGAAGAACCGGCTCTTCTATTAGAATCTTACGGTATGTGCTCTTTCCAAATGTCTATTACAAAATATATTTTTCAGCCAAGAAGCTTTTCTTTCTTCAATTATTCTTCGGATACATGGACTCAATATATCATAGCATGTTCATTAGGATCATACATATCAGGCTGTCCAGAAAATCTTTTCGTTCCTTTTTGTAAATCCGTTTAAAACCAACAAATGTATCAATGAAAATACGGTTTCTTTTATTAGAAAGGCCAATTATTTCTCTGCAAAATAATATTAAAACGGGTTTATGTCTGGGTTTTTGTGGGAGTGTAAAGTCGGGTAATCAAAACGGTGCGGTGATGATGCGGTTTAGCCACTTTAACTAAGGAAGTCTATCTTCGTGTCAATAGATAAAAGATAGGGCACAAAAAGTTAGGAATATAGCCAAATTTTCAGAGAAATTCATTCAGCCAATTTCTTCGTAAAGGTTTTTATAGATTTTTACGAAAAACACGTGTTTTCACTTTCGAATTTGCTTGAAATGGAACCGAAATTGGCTTAAAAAGATTGGAAATTAAACAATAAACACTTTTTATTTAGAGGAAACTATAAGTTAATTAGTGAATTTGTTAGTTTTTTAAACGAATGTATGAAAAGGAATGAAAAGACTTTCTGTAACGCCTTACTTCGTGTTTTCTGTTCTCTGAATTTTACTTTTGACAGCAATACTTTTGAACAAGGCGTTCACTCATGTAAGAAAAGTTTTCTTCCATTTCTCCTTCGACATCAAACTTCAGGATAAGTTCACCACGCAGACCTGAAAATTTGGAATTTGATGACATTTAGGCAAACGAAATTTCAGATAAATGAGATCATTCCTGAAAAATTCAACCTTTCCAAGTCTAATTGCAATTTATTTCGCTGTGCAATCACCTGCTTAAATTTTTAGAAGAAAATCGGAAGAAATATACAGTAGAAAGAAAAGAGCGACTTTCAGTTTTTGGCCATAATACAAAAACTTTTTTTCTGGTTTTAAAGAAATCAACTAAATGTTAAACGAAATATTTGGACCATGGATGAAAAAGAGAGCCCGGCTTGTATCTAGTCTTTCAATTTGTGATTGTAAAATAGAATTAGAACAAACATTATTTCAGTTATCGACCATAAGACTCTTCTGGCCGATAACTGCAATAATGTTTGAGACACCTTTCAGATTTGGATCAGCGTTTCTTGATTCAGATTTAACCTCACGTAGCTTACAATCCTTTCAACCGGGTTCTAAGCCAAGTCGAACCGGATAAAATCCTGAAAACTTGAAGCTAGAACAGCCTTGAACCCTATGGGCTTGATTGAAAAATCCCTGGCATGGGTAATTTTAAGAAATTAGCTTATTGTTAAGCTCTAGTTAAGCTCTTTTGGTTTATTTTGTGTGTCGCCTTGTTGTTGTGAATGATAAAAAAGCTTATCTAACAATATACAATAATTTATTTCTATTATTTACAAATCATTTTCCTTTTGGTGGTAGATAACATTGAATTGGTGAGAAGAAACAAACACGATATCGATCAAGACTCGAAATATCGGAATCACTAAAAGAAATGGATTAGTTTGATTGAGCGTTTCGGTGTCACCTTCTAATCATCGAATCGGGCACATAAAGCACTTTGGTTTTGATTGTTTGATCCTGAGGTAAACTGAAAAATGAAAAATATTGGATTTGTTGGGGAAAACTAGATTTGAGGATTCTTTGCTTACAAAACTTGTTAGATTCCGAGTCATATCAAAAGCTTACTGCTAATGGCTTTCAATAGTTGAAATTTCTATTCAAAAACTCACAAATTCCTCGATCTTGTCACCAATTGGTGTAGATCCATATTTGCATAGGCACTTCTTCTCGATCGTTCATCTCCATAGACGATAAACGAATAGCAAATGACAGGCAATGTGAATAGAAAGAAGAAAAGGGACAAATTTGAGCGGACCATAGTTTCTGAACGATTATCTCTTTGTCCTTTTATTTGTTTTCGAAGAGATTATAAACCAACACAAATTCGAAGAAAAAAGCATCCAAAAAAAGGAATTCAATTTTGACGCGGGGGTGAGGGTAAAGGGCACGTCCAGGGACATAAAGCGAATTATTGAAAGAGTGGAGAAAAAACTGGAAAAAGGCTAAAAAACACTCAGAAATGCATTCTCTACATCATTCATGGGTTTCGACAATTTGCTCCGAATGCTCAGATCAAATTCGGGGTCTAGGTGGTCTAGATCAGAAAGAAATTGAGCTAATTTAGGGAAGAGAATCGAAAATGTCAGTTAACGAATCGTGTCTAAAGAAGATTTGAATAAATAAAGCAATCCTTGGGTTATCTAATCACTGGCTAAACATGAGAACGATAAAATTCGATGAACTTTCAATATGATCTAAATGATATGATTTCAATATTTCACTTGGTTAGCTGAATTTTTCTGGTCAAACCCACAAATGGTAAAATGTTTTCAAGATTTCCGCTTTTAAATTCCTTCAAGAAATGGGAAAAATGCAAAAAAATTCAGCTAACCAGGTGAAATTAGCAAAAAAACTTTACAGCACTTTTTCAAGTTGCGTTCGAGTTGCGTTTTAGGTTGGGGAAGGGGAAGGGATTAAGCGAAAAATAGTGGGTGTTTGGTGTATTTTTGACGAAAACGACAAACAGGTGCTAATTCATTGAGCGAATTTCCAGGAGAAATGGAAAAAGTTTTGAAGGATTCAAAGGTCTTGGAGAAAATCTAAAATTAAATTTCATGAGAAAAATGAATGAAACAGTAAGCATTTAGAAATTGAACTTTGGTTGGTTGTTAGTTTCACTGAACGATTTCAAATGAATCACTGAAAGGACGAATGTAGAAGGTGACTTAGGTCCACTCTTTGAGCAGATTCGAGCACAATCTGTCACTCCTTGATGCAAAAATTTGCGAGTGAAAAGCTAATTATAGTAAGTAGAGCTGTATTTTAGCGTAAAACATTTCGAGTACAGAAAACACGAAGTATTAGGCGTTACAGAAAGTCTTTTCATTCCTTTTCATACATTCGTTTAAAAAACTAACAAATTCACTAATTAACTTGTAGTTTCCTCTAAATAAAAAGTGTTTATTATTCAATTTCCAATCTTTTTAAGTCAATTTCGGTTCCATTTCAAGCAAATTCGAAAGTGAAAACACGTGTTTTTCGTAAAAATCTATAAAAACCTTTACGAAGAAATTGGCTGAATGAATTTCTCTGAAAATTTGGCTAATTCACTAACTTATAGTTTGCTCTAAATAAAGTGTTTCTAAATAAATGTCTCTAAATAAATGTTTCTAAATAAAAAAGTGTTTCTTGTTTAATTTCCCATATTTTAAAGTCAATTTGAGAAAAATAATTGAGCTTTCTGATGAAAAAGAATCGTAGTTCAATTGGTGCATTTGTTGGTTTTAAACGAAAGTATGAAAAGAAATGAAAAGACTTTCTGAACAGTCTAATATTTGAACTCAAGAACAGCAGTAGTTGTAAAAAAATAGAAAATATTGTTAGTAGTTAGAAATGCGGATTCAATTTCACAAGTTTATATGGAAAAAGTTCAAAACGGTGTAGTTTCATGCGCATAACTTTCCTTTAGAGTTTTGTTTAAAGTCAGCTCGATTTCACGGTGATTAGCTTAATCCTGTAATAAAATACAAGGAAAAGGAAGAAATTTGAGGTAAATATTCTAGATAAAAGGTTCAAATTGTGAAGAATTCAAGTGCTTAAGGAAAAGTGAAAAAAGAAAAGAAATTCGAGATTAGTGACTCAGAATGAACTGACTTTTCTTCTTGGAATGCAAAATTTTTGGCAAATTAGAAACAAGACTAAAAAATTTTTCTAAAAAAAGAGACTTTTGTAGTTGAAGCGAATAACAATCAAAATCGGATCTTTTTAAATATATTCATTCATGGGAAAACCGATTGAATTCATTCTTAGACATCACGAAATGAAATTCCCAATCAAAAACGGGGCAAAAAGATTTCAAACAAAACACAAATTTCTTTGTTTTTAATTTGGGAAAATCTTAAATTCCAAAAATAAAGAAACAAAAATGAAATGATGAAAACTTCGTAGAAATCTCCAAATATGAAGCCTCGTAACTTTGAGCCCTTTTACCAACGAAACCAATTCAAATCTCTTTTCTAATCTTTTATCTTTCTTCTTTTTTTTCATTCACATGATTTGTCTCCAAATTTGGACGTCACATGTGCAAATGAATTCATCTTTTTGTCGCATTGTTCATCCAAATTCTTTCGCACTTTTTCTTCTCCACAAAACAAATGTCAAAAGCATTTTTTGGAGAAAAGAAAAAAGAAAAAAGAAAAAGAAATTTAATCCCCATTCAACTATTTGTCGTGTTGAAAGTCTGCGTGTTTTGTATGTCATAAATGGACGTATTTAGAGTCCGATTAGCTAGGGGAGGGTTCAAAGTTACGTATTGTCTGTTTAAAGGTTTAAAGGTTTAATTTGCATGGAAATTATGGATTGGTTGTCCAAACTGGACCAGAAAAGCCAATCGCTATCTGGTCTTACTGTGGCTTTTGATTCAGACTTGATTAGTCTGTTCTTGGGTAAAGTAGATATTTTGCGCTTGGAAAAAATCCAATAAAGATTCACTAAAGGCGCCCTTTGAAAAATTTACTTTCCTAAATTTGAGGTTACATTGATAGACTCAATTTTTTTAAACGTAAAACTCTTAGGTACCGCCGCTTGGTCACGAATTTAGTTGAATGCTTTAAAATCGTTAAATGGAAAGATTCTAGTCCTTTTTTTGAATTTTTTGAACACAACCTAGTGGTTGATTCAAGGAGAGGTTCATTTCTCTTGAAAATTTCGATTGCCTCCGCAAAACTTGGAAATATCTTGGGCACCCGAAGTACGCCAAAAAAATTTGCACCTGCTTTCAAGAAAATTCAAGAGTAGAAAGATTGAGGTTACTCAGAGAACCAAAAGTTAACCTGAAAACATCGATATCGTTGTCTTTAGGGCTTTGAAAAACTAATTCTAATTGTTGATGATCAAATCGTTTATTCAGCATTGTCTAATTGAAGCTTTCATTTCTTTGTGCCAATTCCCAATTTGCTTGCAAACGATCCAGCAGTGAAAAGGAGTTTTTCAACGAAATTGCTTGATTGTGGGGGCGGATCGTGGACAGATGGATCATTCGCATCACAACCAATCTCACCGTATTGTGTCACCTGAATGTTTCTATTATTGTTATACCTATTCAAAACCACTTTGAGATCAAAATAGTGTCGATGATCCCAGATATACATTGAGACGTTGTTCATATCAAATTTGATTAAATCTGAGCACGAGAAATCCTCTCCGGTCGGTGTTCCCGTGCAGATTTTGTACTGACAACCCGGGGTCATACAGGTTGGATACCTAAAATGAAACGATATTTTTTGGAAATGTTAAAGGAACTAAGGAGCGTAGTGTTCCCAAAAAAAACTGCGACCGGGGTCGAACTCAGACTGAGAGACAGACGCTCTAGCATTCCACCAGGAGGACATATTGCTCGAGTTGCTTTTCCGCGGCCTTTGGTCTCAAGGGACTAATAAAACGGTTGTTGGATATACCCAGATATTCTTTGAGAAATCGATGATGTTTTCCTCACCAAATTTCCATTTGATGGTGATATCCCCGAACTAAATTCCCAGGATCACAGGGTTGACTGTCGTCGGCTGAAAGGAAACAATCACTTCCTACAACTGTTATTGCTCACTTACTATCAGTTCCATTGATATAATCTTTGTTACAACCGGGTAAATGAGGCACAATATCACTTCGAAATACGACACGAAATCTGAATTCGAATTTGAAAAGTTTCATTGTTTTTATTGTTTTTATTGTTTGTTTTGTTTTGTTTTCATTGTTTTTATTTCCGAAAAACCCACGCTTCTGGGACTAAATTGTTGAAAGAGGCAGCAAATTGAACATTTCCGACTCTTGGCTCACCGAAAGTGTACAGTTTTATTTGGTTGCTGTTTCGGAGTCCTGAAAGTTTGCTCTTAAAACTCTTACCAGATTGACAAACAATCACTTAAATGAGTTTTAAACTCATGTTGAAAGATATACCTTGAGCAGCAGTCCTGGCTGCAGCAAGAGCAGCCAAAGCGGCACCGAGTGAATGACCGGTGAATACGACTTTGTAATCCTAAAAGTGCATTGACTTTTGGGGTTACAGGGCATTTAAAGCTGTAAATCGTTTGGGTTCTAACACTTCTCAACTAACTCACTCTCCACTGTGGATTCGACAGCGTTGTCCCAACCGGATCAAACAACAAATCGACCGCATTTCCGAAGTATTGATTCACCTGACTATTAGTGGTACAATGTTTTTTTTTTATCAAATGCTTAATCTAAACATGTTTTATTTAAAAATTTCCCTACTTTTCCCATTCCATAGAAATCTTGTTGTGGCTGAAGGGTCGACCATCCCTCCAATAACAATTGAACGTCCGTTTTTGTGCCTGGAAACGTTCTTAACTGAGCATTTTATAGTTTTAATAGTTTCAACTGAACTATTGTAGTGTCTAATCTAGTAATTCTTATAATCTAACCTCTAAAGACAACAACAATTTGCCGTAAAACATCAGATTTCACAATGTATCCCGAACACAATTGGGACAATGCATCACAAGATTCAGTTTTTGTTGAGATCAATTGGTAAGCACTTGAAGGGGGGAAAACCCTGAATTTAAGCTAAAGTATGCAGTTTATTTGAAGGAATATTTCTCTTCACAAAAAACTCAAAACATTTCTCTTCCAACCTTTGCAAACAAGGCGTTGGAGAGTCAGCATATGCGGCAGCCGCAAAATTTAGATAGGTTCGAGCTTCCTGAAAATAAAATTTTATGAACTAATCGGAAGAATGAGATTTAAACAAGTACCATGTGATTTTGTTTTATGATAGATCACTGACATTTTGTCCTATGATAGATCACTACTTGATAGATCACTGACAACTTCCAGCTTGTATTTTTATTTTTCTATTTTTCTTACCACAATTACCAACCTGTTCATTGTAATCTGTTGCACATTGAATAACGGTAAGCAGTACAAAAATCAATAGTTTCTCAAAAACATTTAGCATATCAAAAAGTAATTTTCGAGGTTGACGAGAAAGAAATGCAATTTTTCGGCTTCCCCCCGATCGGAATGACTTTTGGCCTAAAATAGTTTTTGGCGGTCAGAAACGATTTTCAAAGATAACTTCAAAAAATGTTTTGGCATAAAAAAAAGTTCTGGCATTTGTAGATTGAGTGGGTAAACAGGTAATGGCCTGCGATCGAGCATTTTGTGGGAAAGAGATCCAGGAGAGGGGGAACTCAGGGAAGGGGTAAATACACAAAATCCACACATACACTTCTCAATTTCTCTGTTTCTCTTTTTCTCAACTGACAATTCTTTTTACTTTCCTGGTATTTTGCGAGTAAACACAGAGAACCAATTTCCCTTCAATCTCTTTTACTGAGAGTTATCCCATTGAAGTTTCCATGAGCACATAAACTCGAGGGTCCAGTAAACCAGCGATGACTCAATGAAGAATAAAGAATAATAGTCATCGTTGCGAAACTTGTGAACCAAAAAGTTGGTGCAGTGCTCAAGAGGAGGGTTTAATTGACTATGGAACATATCCACTGATAAAACGGGCAAGGGTTTTAGCTTCTAGCTACTACCTACTCTTAAAGTCTATTATCCCTAGCTATTCCAGCGACCAACACCACAACACGTACCGAGGTTTTGCGCCGAATTACCGACGAGACCGTAGAGGTCAAAACTATTCGTATCCTACGCCAGTGTGATCCGCCCTGACTGCTGACGATTCCGGATTGCTGACGATTGCTTATCGCCGACGATTCCAGATTGCTGGCGACTGGCGGGAAGGGCCCACTAAAGGGAAAGCCCTGTGCCAGACGGCAAGCGATTACGTCGCCGCACAAAGCAAGAACACCTGTACAAAGGAATTTCTTTTATTCTGTAAATATTGCTCAGATGAGATATGAAGCCAAACGTTTGTACCCAGGGGTTTTCGGGGTCGGGGAAGCGATTGGCGGGGTTCGTTTATTGTATCTCCAAGCATTTGTGCTGAACTTGAGCCATTTTTCCCGTATTATCGCGTGCCCATAAGAACCCGGACAGGCAAAGTTGATGTTACAGAACGATTTCGCTTATTCTAGAACCAGAATCCAAATAGTCGCACAGAAATATCAGCAACCACTAAAACGTTTACGACAATGAAAAGAACAACTTATCTCTTCTAACCTTTCCTTTTTTTCCTATTTCCATTTCTAGTCTTCTTTTCTATAGACAAAAAGAGTGGAGATGACCCATTTGCATCAGTGGGAACAGCGATCTCCCCTTCTCATTCTCCCTCGCCTCTTCTTCCTTCTTCCTCTTCTCCCCTACTGACCTCATTTACCGGAAACAGAGCACTCCTCATCCCCCCTCCCTCATCACAAAACCCGTCAACCAATCCATCCAAATATTTTCCTCATTGCCCTTTTCCAGTTGTTAACCAGGTCGAGCTTGAAATTTGCATTTTTCCCATGTCACTCTCTCATCATTTCGACATACTTGTATGGCTCGATTAAACGTTCTGGTCAACACACATTGTTACTTTTTTATCTGAGAGATTTGATAGCTTAGGTTAACTAATGCTTTTGTAGTCATTTTCTTTAATAACGTTTTATAAAGTCTCTGAGTTGAGTTGAAATATACTTTGCCACAAATGACCTCAATATGTCGGCTATCTAAGGATGACCTAAAATTGACCTCAATTCGAATGATTTGCCGAACATCTGCTTGAAAAGAGAATTGTTATGACTCGATTGAAAGATACTTTCTTTACTATTCGTTTAATCGTATCACTAATACCTTTTATAGACTCTTGATTTTGATATTTTTGTTATAGTCAGCTGAAGTGCTCCCAATTAGGTGCTACAGTCAGTTGAAGTGCTCCCAATCCTCACAATCATCTGATTGTGAGGTGCCTTGGAATAAGAAAGCTTACCTCATTCTTTATCATCGAATTACTGACAAAGATAAATACAAATGCAAAAAGTGTGTCACTATCTTCGCATTTTCTTGAACAGAACCTTGACCTGACCTGACCCACTTAGAAAAGAGTCGAAGCACAGCCCCTTTCCTAGCCATTCCCCTCTGCCCTTAGCTCACCATTTGGGTGAATCCAAAGGGGTAAAGGGAAGGTCATTCATTCAACAATGGCACATCATGGTCATCCTGATTAACGCTTTTTTTCAGAACTCATCTTACATTCCATTTACTAGATATGTTAGATATTTTTAACTTTTCTTTGCTCGCCCGTTTTCCTTTATTTACAGAAACAGAGTTTACCTTTCAGAATGGACACGATTGCTCCGAAAAAGCTGAAATTAGAAAGTCTACTCGAGGACAAGTTTCCATGGAGACAATCCACGAATAATCAATCTACAATTGTAAGTTGATAAAGCACTGAGACTCGAATCTGATAGGATTAGAAATCAATTTAGGACAGTGACACAAGCTCAAGGAAATCCCCTTCAACTTCACCTCCACCTGAAAGTCATCCAACTCTTACATCTCTTTTATCTGCTCCATCAAAAGCTTTTTCCCCGGGAAGACCTGTTGCCACTCGTGTACCCAAAAATGAAGAGGTAATTCTGAGTTTGAGAAAAGTTTAAGAAGTAAGAAGTATGTTTACTTCTATACAATTTCATTTTCATTTCCAGTCGATCGCCTTCTTTGCTCAATGCACAACATGTCGGGTGTATATCCCAGATCAAGAGGCTTTTGTTCAACACGTTCTCCTCCATTACCCAAATCAGTTTCGGTTGATCAATGGCAAGAACGGGAAGAGGGCGAAAAGTGGTGCGTACAGCCGTGATTTTGAAATTTCATTTTACCTTTACATAAAAATAACAAAGGAAATTTTTAGTCAGATCATCGCCATCCTCTTCTGTGTCTGCTACATCGCCTCGTCTTGAAAATCTGACAAAGTCGAAAGCCACTCCAATATCAGCAAGTACAACCAACATCGACTGCCCTCCTTCGACAAGTGCAAGCAACGGAACAAACAGCGTTCTCAGGAGTCTTTTGTCAAACAGAAATGGTTTTTGGAATATTGTATATTATTTGAAAGAAGAGATTTTAGCAAGTACTTCTGGAATTTCTGGAATAATTAATCGAGGAGCTGTGCTAACGTCAAACAAAGTGAGTAGACAGTGGCTTACAAGGCCGAGAAAAACCCACAGCATTTAAACTAATAAGTAATAAGAAATAATAAGACTAAGAATAATAAGAATAATTGATAATCTAATAAGATTAATAAGAAATAAGAATGATTGCTAGTTATTACTAGTTAATCGAACTATTTTATTATTTCAGAATGAGAAGGATATTTGCGACACGTGTGGAGAAGTTTTCGAGAATAAACAAGACTTGTCGATTCATCAAAAGCGGCATCAAAGTCAATCCATTTCGGTGAGAGATTGAAAACCTTAAGTTAACCATCAAAATTTAGGCTTTTACACAAGATATTTTAAAGCAAGTTGCACTGAAAATTGAGGAGGATTTGCCGCTTGAAGAAGAAAAGGTAAACAGAAAGATTTAAATTAAACCATGATTTCTTTTTTTCTAGTTAAATACTGTGCCATTCTCAGCACTCGATGATTCATCGATAACGGAAAAGAATTTAAATGATCTCTTTGAAATCTATCGATCTTGTAAACAAGATTTCAACAAATCTGCAATGAAAACTCCAAAAGTTGAGCTTTAATTTGAATGTTTTATCTAGGAATAAATTTTTATTATCATTTCTATATACAAACATGCATTAAAAATAACATTAGAGTGTGTTCCTTGTGATTAAAGTGTTTTAAAGATTAAAGGAACACACTCTAAATAACATTGTGATATGTAAACTGTTTATAAAGGTAAAATTAACCGGTCCGAGCTCATTCGCCTACTCCATAAAGCTTAAAGTTGTTCCTCATAATGGACGCTGGAACGACAAGTGCGATTTGGTGTCTGCCGTCGGTGTGATGTTCTAGAATATCAACGTGAGCTTTAAAAATCTTCTAATCTTCTACCAATCGCAGGCAAACTTTTTTTGAGCCTAATTATAAGTGTAGTATTTGCACTGTTTCTTAGTTTTCAATAAAACCTTAAACCTACCCAGCCTGCATTTCTCCCGTATCCAACTCCACCGGTTTTCTCTAGAAAGTCTTTTTATATAAAATAGACATCAACAAACTCTCAATTTCCTCGTGTTTTCCTTTTCTTGCTCATTTGGTGAATCCTTGGTATTTCCATGTTCATCATTGGATTCAAAAGTCGATGGAGAACTTCGTTTTTCCACGGATCTTCTGGGTACCTAAAAGCCACTGCTTGCTCCAAAGTTAAAGGTGATTTATGCCTAGAAAAAGTTAAACAGGTTTTCTCCAAAACTTACCGATGACTCTTTTACATTTGACTCTTTGGATTTTATGCTTAAGTCAACTGAAGATCCAATGTTCAATGAAGTAGAAGACGTAGAAGATATTTCGGTGTGCTGCTTCAATTTCTAAAGTTTCAGTTGCAATTGAAATGACAGATTTAGTGAAATTTTACCTGTTCCTTTTCTCGTAAACTCTTTTTCTGTTGCATGAGTCGGATATTTCTCATAGACGATTGCACCTAAATTAGATTGGTTAATCGTTAATCGCAGATAGCTCTGTAAAATCTTAGCACATTCACGACAAAATCATTTTTGGCTTGGCTGCCGTTTCGGACGATAGCTATTAAACCAAATAAAATATCGAAAACAGAGCAGTTTTCTTTAAAAATTAATAGCGGATCCTTATCCTCGAAAACCTCTGATGGCAAATTTTCAGTCCAATTGGCCTCAAAAAAAGTGCTAAATCTACGTACGGCTCATTGGTGGACTATATCGTCGCAAATGTGTCAAGAAAAAACTGTTTATGTTTTATATTTGTACAGATTTCTTTGTCTAAAATTAAACCTTACCAACGTCTCGTAGTATTTAAGCAGCGATCCCGGAAAGCGTTCATTCAGCTCTTTGTAGGGGAGTCGTTGTTTTTCTGATGTTCCATTTCTGAATGTTAAATAAATAATACAAGTGATGAATAAGAGAACAGAAAACTTTGAAAGACTCACTCATGTTTGATCTCAATTGCCCACTCGTTTTGGATATTTTGCATCCTCATTCTATTGTCTTCAATCGGACCGAGAACCTTGACGTGATCATTTAGCTAAAATGGGGAATAAATCAAAAAGTTTAAGAAAAAGTTTTGCTTTAACTTTTTGGGCATTTTACGCGGTAAAATCTTTGCCCTAAACTCACCAAAATTTTCTCCGTTCCATTTGAAAGTTCAGCCCTTGGAATCCACGAATTTCTGAAACCAAGTTGAAATTGAAATGTTTGAATTTGCATTAGATTTGAACTATTAACAAAATAAAACAAACTCCCAATCAACGAGCGCATATTTGACATCTTTTCCAGCAGAATCCTTTCGAATCTCAGTCTTCAATATCCGCCGAATCATCCATTCTCCTTTCAGCTCAGTCATCTTCGAGTGCAGAATTTAGAAAGAATGGAAATGTGACTCGAACGACAGAAGTGTTAACAATTATAGAAAATCTGGATACAAAAGAACGGATGAATGAATGAATGAATAGGAGTTTTTGATTTGCGGGCTAAATCTCGTCTTTTGGTACGGTCGATTGGGTGCCTTTTTGAGAGGGAATTATTGGGCAGGACTGTAAAAGAGTAAAGGGTAATGGGGAAGAAGAAAGAGTGTCATAGCCGGCAAAAAGCAGTGCTAAAATCTTGTTACCGTAATCCATTTTCAAAATCCGTTGCAGTAATCTATTTCAGTTCTGACTGACTTTGACTGGAAAGGCAACGTTTCGTTATTCATTTATGCAACTGGTCTACTCCACATTTTGTAATTCGTCTGCAAAAATAAATGTCATATGAATCGCACTATTTTTTTTTACTTTTTCCCCTTTTTTCTCTCCACACATCCAATTACATGTTGGTTTGGTTCTCTCCAGTCTAGCCATATGGATGGATTCGCTCCCCTTCCCCTCACCATTGCAATTTTCCTATTTTCTTCCACCTTTCGCGTAAAACTCAGATCTGCACAATGGTTTCCTTTTTCTCAAAAAAAGCCATAAAACAAATAAAATCTAAAACTTGATTCAATTCTTGAATACTTTATTGAGACTGAGCATTTGCTTACCTTAACTTTAACTTTTTCTTTCAGAACCATTCTCAGAGCTGCACTAATTCAAACTCAAAACCTAGATGAATATTTTCCTATTCTCACCACTTCCGTCCTTCCTTACTGCTTCCTTTTTCTTTTTATTCTTTCCTTTTATTCACTTATTACTTTGTGGGTGTCAACTTTTGTGCATGATGCATTTTTGATGCATCGCCGATTGGACCGATTGTTTTTTTTGGGTGAAAGACACCCGCAAAATAATGCATCGCTCGCTGAATGATTGGGTTTTTCTCACATTCTGTCTTTTTTTTCTGTTATCAAGCCATTCATGTTGCCTTGGATGGCAAAAAAAAGAGTATATAAAGCCATATTATCATTATTTTCAAATATTTTATCATTATGCTCAGTTTGATGCCATTAGATTATGTAAAATAACAAAAAAAATCTCTTTTCAAATTCTATTCAAAGGTTTGACACATCTAAAGAAAGGTCATCCAATTTATTTTTCACCGATTAGTCGACGAAACGAACTTTTAAGGAACCAAATAAATAAGCCTTTGCTGACTTTTGCTTGATTTTTAAATTAAATGCTTACTAGACAACGATTACAAGTTTCAAGAACTGTATTCTTCAACTCGAAAAGCATTCGCTTCCATGAAATCACCAAAAAATGTCTGCAGTCTCCGTCAGTTTGTTCTTGAGTTACTTCTTGCCCTTTTCCCTTTTCTTTCCCATTCGATGGCACCCATGGGAACTCTCGTCTTTTTGCAGTCATTCCTTTCTTTTTCTCTGATTCAGTTCCACTCTTTTCAAAAAAAAACCAAATTTCCTCGGCTTCTGGAAGAACTTTTGAATGCACTCTAGATTTTGGGGTCTCTGTTGTCTACAAAAAAAAATTGTCTCTTGGGGGCACATAGCTAACCAAAACATGTAGAAAATCACGGAAAGCTTTCTAATCAATGTTATTCAGTTCGGAATGTTTTCAGAACAAAATTTAAAATGTTAGCATTGGAACGGGGTGTCTTGTTGTTGGTTTTTAGTTCAGCATGCTGTTGAAATCAAGTAAGCAAAAGCAAAACGTAAAAAGAGATAAGTGTTCGAAATGTTTAGCACAAATCTCTAGTAACTGTTTAAAGTAGCTAGTAACAGGTGGCTGTTTAAAATCTGTAGATCTAATTCTTTCAAAATGAGCAAAACATCTCCAAAAACCCCCACTCTAATCTGTGATCTTTCAGTCTCCTCAATGCATCATTTTCAACGAAATCCCTCGAGAATTATAGAGGCTTATTTTTGTCTTTTCTTCTCCTTCCCACTCACGCTCAACTTTTCTAGACAATGAATAATTTTTATGATCACTTTTCTAATGATTATGTCAATCATTTAATGATTATGTTTTTATGATTATGATTCTAATGATTATGTTTTTATGGTGTTGCTCAATCTCGATCTATCAATTCTTTGCAAAGCTTCAGCAATCTTTTTCTGCAACTCGAAGCTCAAAGTTGTCTGGAAAGTTCATAGATTTCTTCTTTTCTAAATTTTCTCCAGGTTTGTCCATTTCAAATTCAATCAAGTTTCGTCGAAATGGGCGTATCTTTTTGAGAAAGACACAACTTTTCTCCAAATCTCAATTTGGTTTTTCCTCAATTTTATTAGTCTGAATCGTGGAAAGCAAAAAACAGAATGGATTCTCTTCTGGAGTTCTTCAAAAAAGCCATAAATTTTAGACGACCTTCAAGGAGATTTTGTAAAGAAAGTTATAATGTTTGATAAGATTTCGAAAGTAAAGTTTGCAAGAGATTAATTCATCTCAAATTTTATATTCTCCCATAAAATGTTGTAAAAATCAGATTTCTGCTTTTTCTACCCATTTCTTTTTGTTTCTTGATCGTCTAATCCAGGGGAAATTAGCTCGAATTCCTCGTCCGATAAAGAGAAAAAAACTCAATTAGTGCCATTTTTTGCTTTTGCTTTTTAACATCGTTTAGTCTTTGGTTTTGTAAAAAAGCTTCTAAACTTTTTGTTTCTTAAATTCAACCATATTAAATGTTTGTTTCTTAAGTCTCCCTTTGAAAAAAGATCAATTTTTCTGTAGAAATTGAATCCCACTTTCCCACGCTTCACTCCAAAAACAGCAGCCTTACTCCGCTGCACTACGTTTTTTCGATATTTTGTTTTCTTATATTATTGCTTTTATTGCTTTCATTTTCAGATGACCCGATTATTTCTGAAATGGATTTTGATATTCCTTTTCTTTGCCACAATCACCGCTTTACACCCGATTTACGAAACCATCAAAAAGAAGCAAATACCAAAAGTGAGTCAGGTTATTTAGCAAACAGCAAAAGCAGCAACAGAAACAAGAAAATAAATTCATCATATGAAATCTTTAAATGACCTAGCTTTTTAAAAAAAAACATTTATTCACAAGAATAATGTGTTACAAAGAATACAGAGGCACAACGCCTAAGTCCTCAAACTGATATAAATGGAAAAAAGAATCAATAACCTAGCCGGTGAGATTGAACCTTTGATTTCCCGATTAAGATACAGAGCTCTTAACCAGTCGGCCATGGCTTTCGAATTTTAGGCAGAAGATGGCGGTCCATTGCAGGTGAAAGTCGGCTTTTACGTGGAAAGTATGGGGAATTTTCGAAGCACTGAAATGGTTGGTGGATAAGATGATCAGCTAAAATCTCCACTGATTACCCTATTTAGACATTTGATATGGATTTGTATATGTACATGTCATGGGTTGACCCGGCAATGGCTCACAACGAATCGGATTACGTTTTAATAAATGGTGCGCAATGAAACGTAAATTTAGCTAACACAAATACAATTTGAGATGCTGATGTTTTGAAAAGTATCTGGTTGCCGGATCTCTACTTTGCGAATGCTCGAACAGCCTATTTTCACGAAGTAATGGTGCACAATTTCAATATGTTTGTCAGTCCGACAGGAATTATTGCTTATGGAACAAGGTTTGGTCGATTGTCGATGTCGATGTCGATGTCGATCGATTAAAATGCTAAAGAAAGAATTTTAGAGTAACTTTGAATGTTGCTTGTAATTTACATCTTAAAGATTATCCCTTGGATTCGCAAAAATGTTTGGTGAAAATCATTTCCTGTAAGTTGTTTGAAAGAACTTGCAGACACTGGCTTTAGATGCTCACGTTGAAACGGAGATGAAAGCCACTTGGTTCGAAGATGGAGCAATTCGGATGAACAAGGAGATTGGTAAAAAAAGGAATTTAGTTTTCTTTTTAAATTTAAACTCCTAGGGTTACCCGAATACAATCTTGGACCAGCTGAGAGTCTTTCTTGTTCCGGAGAATTTCATTACACAATCACGCACAACTCGAGTCGGATAGGTAAGGGGAAAACCCCACTTGATCAGACGAAACTTTAGGTAATTTCTCTTGTCTTGTCGGTGTTCTATCGATGAAAAGAGCAATCGGATATCATTTAGTCCAAGCAAGTAGCAATGATTATGCAATAGCAAAAAGGATTTAGTCCTATATTCCGACTGGCTTAATCGTGGCGATCTCTTGGGTCTCATTTTGGATTGATCGACGAGCGGTAAGGGAAACTTTTTCAAGATAGAGTTCAAAAATTAATACTGTAAAACTAGTTTCCAGGTGCCAGCTCGAGTCTCTCTATCATTCACAACTCTTCTCACTTTATCCACTCAAGGGAATGGAATTCGTTATGGTCTTCCGCCTGTTTCATATGCTAAAGCTATTGATTTCTTTTATGGGAGTAAGTTTTCGGCATTCAAAACCTCATCCTCATCAAAATTCAGCGTGTATGCTGTTCATCTTTGGCGTGTTACTCGAGTTTGCTGTCGTGAATTCCTATATGAGAAAAGCTCACAAGTTCGGCGTTATGGCCGATCGGTCGCAGAGTTCAAATGAAGAAAATGGAAGACACATTGTTTGTGGTTAGTGTGACAAGTATTATCAAAATCTTACTTATTATAATACGAAAAGTTTGGAGATTTGCTTATACAGGGTTCGGCAAAAGTTCTCTACTTTTTAAATTCTTTTTAATTGAATTCTCTCTGATTGTTATTATTTCATAAGTGTTTATAGCCAAAAGATAACCAGTTTTCCACAGAATTTAAATCTTATTACAGTTTTTAAATAACTTCTTTAGCTTTTGAGTTATCGCAATTTACGTGAGCTCTGTGATCTCACCACTTATTATTATTACCAGTATAAGAAAATCTGTCAAACTTCGAACTCAGACGATTAAAAGTATTCAAAAAGTTGTTTATCAGTTTCAAACTGGAAATACAACAACAGTTTTCAATAAATTTGTACTTTTTCTAGAGTTTTTGCAATGAAAAAGCCCAAAAATATATGCAATACTATTTTCAAAGAGCATAGAATAGCGATAACACAAAATCTATCTCAAAATCTTATTTAAAAAATGTTTCAAATTACTTTAAAATTATTAAAAACTTGAGATTTTCAGTTTAAAGCAGAAACAAATTTAGACACAGGCACAGACGGTGAGGCTGACTATGAGGACAGTCCAAGGACAAGAATTCACGTGAAAACAGCTGGCCACTATGCAATACTTGTTTGTAAGGTAGGGATAATGAAAATTCACCATTGAAGCTTAATCTAGTCAAATTTTCCGATTTCAGTCTCTCCAATTCTCTCGAAAAGCTCACACAGTCGATCAGATCTCTCGATTCGCGTTTCCAGGTGACGTAAATGTTTCTAAAACAATTAAAATCAATTTCCAGCTTCATTTATCATATTCAATATTATTTACTGGACTTATTATTTGAGTGAAGATCGACAGAAAAATGAGGATGAAGTTATTTATGTTTGAAAAGGAAAGAAGATCTCTGATTTGTTGTGAATTCTAGTCTGCTTTACTTGCTGCCAAAAGACGAGCTATATATTTTTCTATGGGTCATTTTGTAATGTTTTTCTTGTGTTTTTTTGCCATCAAAGAGTACCTCAATAAAATTTAAACTCTGAAAAGAAAGACTTTTTAGACATTTTAAAAGAAAATTTTGTATGAAAAAAGAAAAATTTAGAGCACATAAAGTTAACACAAACAAATGAGTTCACCCTTTGAGCATTGCACCTCAAATTTCATCTTTGAAAGAAAATTATGCTATGTGTTCAAAATAACAAACAAAAATAGACAATAGAGAGAATAGAATTTTGAAGAAATTTTTTATTTATTTATTTCCAGCGTCCATTGTGAGACTTTTCCCGAACCGAGAGAGTCTTCGTGGAACGGATCTCATCGAGGCGAGCGAGATCTTTCGACTTGTCTGAAATTTGATTCATTCAATGTTTAAAAAAGAGAATGACGATTTCTAAAAAGTATCTATTCTAGAAAACTCTCGTAATTGACTTTTATTGTTGAAAATGCTGCTACCTGTTCAGTTTTCTTCGTGGCTGCTAGCTGTGAGTGTTGAAGCATTGAGGCCATTGAGACTGTCGGAGAGCCGTGAGCACTTGACATTACACCAACCTACAAGATTTTTTTGTCTTGATCTCTTTTAGTTGTTCAGTTCTATATCTTTAGATTTAGATTTGATTGAACAATAGATTGAATAGATTGAATAGATTGAATTGATTGAATTGATTGAATTGATTGAATTGATTGAATTGATTGAATTGATTGAATTGATTGAATTGATTGAATTGAATAGATTGATCACCTGTGCAACTTTCTCCAAAGAACTCATGCAACCGTGCGAGATTCGTTTCCTTTCCAAAACAAAACGCGCAAAGTTTTTCCATCTTGATTGCACCTAAATTTGATTTGAATTTAAAAGTTTCTAATTGTAAGTATCTTGGTAACATTTGACATTTGATATTTGATATACATTAAAGGAACTATAAAGGAATTATAAAGGAGCTATAAGGGAACTATAAAGGAATTATAAAGGAATTATAAAGGAGCTATAAAAGAACTTGAAAGGAACCATAAAGGAACTTTAAAGGAACCATAAAGGAACCTTAAAGGAACTATAAAGGAACCATAAAGGAACTATAAAGGAACTATAGAGGAACTATAGAGGAACTATAAAGGAACTATAGAGGAACTATAGAGGAACTATAACGGAACTTTAAAAGAAGAACAATAAATGACAATAAATGAATCAAATCTGTCTTCAATTTTACCTTGAAAACATTTTCATCGGGTCGAAGGACACGAGTTGTGACTCCATTCTTGCTGGTCACTAAATTAATTTTTATAAACATTTAATACTTCTATCGTGTTCAGACTATAGTTTATGATTTTTTAATACATTTTAAAACCCACGTTCTTGACTTCGTTTTCTTGTCAATGAGACATCTCGAAGCGCTGAGAGGACAGTACTTGTTGAGCTTGCTGAATGTAAAAATTTGAACAATTGAACAATTATGGAAGTATTGTAGCACTTACAAGGCTGACTCAATCCACTACTCGATCCTTGTTGTTGACTATCGTTGAGCTCCTCAACCAACACGAAATCTCCTTCATTCTCGTCCAAGCGACGAGCTTTCAGGAAAACCTAAATTTTAATGAGTAAAGAAATGATTAGAGTGAGATCGAAGAAATCTTACTTGTTTGATGATATCTTTTGCCGAGCTATTGACGGATGCCCGAAGAATCGCGTATGGTTGTTCATCGGAGACGTTGTGAACACACACGAGGAAAGTGTCACCCATCGATCGAGCTCTTGGATGCATGCCTAGAATCTTATTATTTATTATTGTTGTAAATATTACTTAATACTTATTTATTATAAGAGGCAAAGTTTGTGTGTTTTTGTCTGTTCGTTCACCTCAGAACTCGAGTCCCAGTGGGAGTTTCGGTCTGCTTTTTGGGACAATATGTAATCGACTACAGCGGTTTAGCCTGTCAAATCAGAAATGAAAATTCTTTAACTGTTTTTGAGCAACGTTGAAAAAACCGAATTTGGCTTATATTGCTTATATTTTGGCACTAGGAACATTTTGAAAAACTTTTGTATTTTGAGAAAGCGGCGATGGGGGAAAAGTTCAAAGGGATTTCAGGTAAACGGGAAAATTTGCCTCTCAAACTGAGTTTTTTTGTCGAAATGCAAATTCATTAGTAAAATAATGAATTGTAGTAAATTTGCTAACAATTAATACTAAACTTTGACTCATGTAAACTATGCATTGACCCAAATCGGTCAGCAATTCACCTCGGCGCTTAGCCGGGGGGTTAACTGCTGGTTGTTAATTGGTTGAGTGTGGGTTGGTCCCGTTTCACATGTGTGTTTTGTCAACAACGGGGTTCAATGAAGATCGATTTTAGAGCTACTATCAACATGAATTTTCTCGGCATGAAGACATGACTTTTATTAGTTTCCACCTGGGACAGCAACATACCTCCAGGCTCCAAATCTCCTCCAGCTGAATCAACGTCCAAACTTCTTCCATGGATTTGGGTTGAGGATTGGGATTTCATCGCATGGGTCACCACCTAGAAGTTATTTTTACTTTTGAAGTTACAATTCAAGTTCTGTATCCGGTGCCTCACCTCAGGGACTCTCTCAAAAATGGGTACGTTTGTGGTGACTTGTGGTGTTCCGTTTCCATTTCCATTATTTCCATTGTTCGTACTCGGTGTACTCTTGATGATTGATGTGATCCAGGCTCTTGATGATGGATCCTACATGAAAAACACTTGTCATTGCCGTTTTTTGCACCGCTACAAACCGATCCTTTTCTCCGGACTAAGAATCTCCTTTGTACTCCATTCCAAAGGGCTACCGCATCCATGATTGGCTCGTTTGGTGGAAGAACTCGGAATCTAGAATTTTGATGACTCTTTACAATTTTATCATTTCAATCACCTCTGATTCTCTCCATCATCATACTCTCCGAATTTGAGACTCTCCTCAATGAGGACATAATCTTCAACTTGATCTCCATTCTTGCCCGCATTCACCAGAGCCTAGAACTCGAGAAATCGACTTGTTTTTTGGTGATAATAAAAGCGAGCTTGATTCATTTCATTAGTCATTTAGTCATTTCCCTACCTGTTGTATGATACTCTTCACAGTGCTCCCACTTTCTCCATGTACAACCACCGTCTGATCATCAGAAACAATCCCCGAGATTCTCAGCACAAAGATTTGTTTCTTCAAGATTGGCATCGGTTTACAGACACTGCTTGGCATCTAAAGTACTGTATTTGAAGTAAATCACAGTGTTGTATACAGTGTCAAATTGGTAAGCCAATGAGTGATCGAAATTGCTGGTGGCTTGTTGAATGTCTTCTTCATGGAGATAGATGTGCTCCTCTTGCTCAAATCTTGATCTGATGAAGAGGGAGCCGTTCTCTGAAAGTCGATGTTGAACTCAAAGAAGTTTCAGCGTTTATCTTTTGAAAATCCGCTTTTCAAAATTTAACATAATAATGTTTTTGCATTAGAATCACTAAATTACTAAACAAATTATATTTTTTGCATAAGTTCCTTTAAAAAAGAAAAAAGATGCATTTCTTTTGTAATGTTTTTGATAAACTATCGTTTGAAATTTGATTCATAAATAAAAAGGGTGTAATTTTGGGGGTGGGACAAATGCGACCTTTTTTTGCGCACCTGGACATTTGAGCACCTTTTTTTTGCTGGAAAAGGCCTTAGGCAAGGCCATAGATCTTCGAAAATATTTCCATATAAGGGAATCGTATGCGTAGATTCCGAATTTCGATAAATCAGACCTCGTTGACACGTCAAATTTGGGCTAAAAGGCAAAAACTGCGGAAAAGCGTTAAGTTGCGTAGTTTTTGCCTTTTAGCCCAAATTTGACGTGTCAGCGAGGTCTGATTTGTCGAAATTCGGAATCTACGCATACGATTCCCTTCTATCAAAACCTTTTTGAAGCTCTACAACCTTTTCTAAGGCCTTTTCCAGCAAAAAAAAGGTGCGCAAAAAAGGTCGCATTTGTCCCACCCTCGTAATTTTGACAATTTTAAGATAAACCTTCCGTTAAGGTACTAAAGTGCTGAACAAAATTGTGTTTGATTTGAATAGATTTAGTCGAAAAATTTAATAAAATTCTTTGTGAAATGGCTTTTCTAGGTGAAAAGAGGTTTCGAAGATAAAAGGTTTCAAAATCCGATGTAACTACGAGCTAACCTGTTGGCTGATTAGCGGGTGTTCTCAATGGGAGATGTCTGTATCCAGGACGAAGACAGCGTACAGGAACCACTCTTTGTGCCACCACTCGTCCATTCATATTCGAATCACAAACGGCAATCCTCAGAAAGGCCAATTCAACGAACACAATTCGAAATTGTACGGTGTGATTCCAGCAAGGATTTACCTGAATTTAAAAGATACCGCTTGCCTTATATAACTTTCGTGCTTACCGCATTTCTTTGCACGACTTTACTCTTCTCCTTCTGACAATCGGCCGGTAATCCAATAAGTTCAATCTCAATGAATGGCGAACCGGAATGGGCATGCGGGAACACGTATTGACCAGACATTACCTAAAAAAAGATAAATATTCAATTGTCTGATTAATCTTACTGTCAAAGTGAGAATGAGAGCCGATTGATTCGAGAGATCTTTCGAGAGTGGATTGAACTTTCGGTAGAGGGGATGCGTTTCATCCCAGAGCACGCGAGGCTTCAGAGTGTAACTGAAAGTGAATATTGATCGGGAAATGAATAGTTCGATATTTTAGTATTCAAGATAAACGTTTCAATCTACTCACCCGCAATTCCCAGTCTGCTCAAACATGGCTGCATTCAGTGCCATCATCACATCGGTCGTCTAAAGATTTGCCTATATTTTTGCCCGTAGCTTTGAAATTACTTGAAAATTCAACGCTGCCATTTGCAGTCCAAAGCCCCAATAGAGAAGTGGTTGAAAGTTTGAACTGTCGATTCTCATTGCTCCCGGATATGTTCTCATCAACTATAAACTTATTTTGAAAGCTAAACTTTTCATTCATACATGATCCTTGGTGTATTGAATGAGCTTTAGCGGATGTTTACGGCACAACTTTCGAGCTTGAGTCTAAAATTCTTTGACTTTTAGGATTAGATACTTCTTTACCTCATTCAAGCTTGTCACTTGATAACAAGATGCTCCAGCATTGGCTCTTCTGATTGATCCATGATCACTACCTGGTGACGATTCAGGTCCTTCAGATATGTGGCTTGAACTTCTTTGTCTAAAGCTTCCGTTACTAAATTTCCTTTGAACAAATGAGTTTTTTGAGACCTTCTCAATGGTGAAGGAGTTGAGAGGAGATTTGTACTGCAACGGCTTCGATTCGTTGATACGGAAAGGGATGGTGGAGGGAAACCATGAGAGAACAGATCCGTTTCTGGATTTCTTGTCCAATCCGTCGTCGGAAAGCCCTAGAAAAAAGCCATAGATGAAAATGGAATAGTCAAAGAAGCGGTAAAAAATCTTTATTTGATCTAACAGACCTTGAATTTGATTGCTTGAGTGTAAATGACAATATCACTCAATTCCGGAGCCAACAATCCTTGTCTTCCTCTTGGTCTTTCTGTTGCCAGTGATAGGGCTAAAATCGAAACTAAATCTTTTGTGTTTTTTCTATTTCTTTTTTCAATTTACCGGAAAACGCGTCCTCTACATCCCTTGAGGTGTCATATGATCCAGTTGTCTAAAGCTTTTCTTTCACCTTCAATTATTTCTAAACTAACTGTTTCAGCTCCTTTCCTCTCTTCGGAATGATCACTGCTAATCGAGTCGGGCTTTGAAATTCTTCGTTTTCCGCCTCTCATCATTTTTGGTGAATCTGAGGCCACCATTTTAACATAAACAAGTCAAATTTTACCATCATCATCATCCTGATCTTCATCATCCATGTAATCATCCAAATCATCGTCTTCCGCTTCTTCAGCTGTGCTAAAATTTCTTTGTAATTACAGAAACTCTATTGTTTAAAAAACCTGCTCTCATAGCTGTTCTTGCTGATTTTTCTCGACAATTGCATATCAGTGACAGCTCGGCAAAGAGATCTCGTCTCAGCAAGCCCCACAGATGGCTCGGAGATCATTTTCTTGTTCTAAATATTGATTTTTGAGTCCAGTTTTATGAAAGAAAAGAGATTTTTGATGTAAATATGTGCTTACCTTGATCAGGATCTTTCCGCGCAATTGTAGAGGTGAAGGAAGCTTTGGAGCATCGGTGAAATCCGAGTCAAAAAGGAATGAGGTGACAAGACGATCTCCAAGGATTGTCTGAAGAAAAGAGTTTTATCGGATAATTGGTTTGTTTGTTTGTTTGTTTTGTTAGCTCTTTCCCTGAATTGATCTTTTGCCAAAAAAAGTCAACCAACCAAACAAACAACCAAACCAACCAATCAAACAAGAACTTCGACTAGGTTTAGTAAGTTTTAAGTCTGCAATTGTTAAACCTAAGTTGAATAAGTTGAGCGGGATTCTTTGAGAATTGCCTTTTTCACCTTCACGAAAAGGGATCCTACCACATTACTTCCACTTATCCAACAAATTGTTGGAAGAGCTTCTTTAGAAAAGCTATGGAGAAAGGACAGCTCTTTCAATATTTGTTAGTTCGCATGGAACCAGCTTATCCTCTTCTTTAACAAATGTCTTAAGAATAAACAGTTCACATTGCGAAAATAAGCTCAAAACGAAAAAATCAAAAGAACACAAATTTTACTTTGACAAAAGACAATTCAGCGAAAGAGCTGTTTTGTTATTCATTTTCAAACCTTGAACATTTGTGCCATTTTTGCTTGCACTTGAACAGAGCAATGATTTTCGATTGAAAGAATGACTGGAAGATCGGAGGTGACAAAGGCTGAGTGCTTGATGATTTCGACAACCTAAAATTAAATAATTTGAAATAGACACCAAGACACCTTTGCTAATTTACCCTTCTGAATCCAATCTTGCTTGTGAATGTGTGTCCATGGTAGATCAATGGAAGTCCATTGTCTCCATCCCAACAATCTAATTCGACACACCGGCAACCCGTCAATAACACCTAGATTTAGATCTTTTGGATAATTGTCGCAAAAATTGATAACTAATCCTATAGTTAGCCTACCTGTCGATACATTTCCGCACTACTTTCTCCTTTCAATTGATGACCCGTCAAATAAGTGTTATGCGATGAGTTTATGTAATAGTAAGAAAGTGGATAGTTGAGTTGACTTTCATCTGGCTGAAAATAAACTTCGATTTAGCAGATTTCTTAAACTAACATCAACATTTTCGGGCACAAAAGCAAAATTGGAGGGATCGGTTAACCATCGAACAAAGCCTTCAAAAGAGAGGAGTTGTTTCTGACGACAATGAGGGTCTGGTTCGTGTTCCTGAAATGATTAAAGAAGTTTAAACATTATCAAAATCTTACCATAATAATCTGAATACAGTAGCTCTCATCAACGACAAGCATTTGATGAGTGGCGAGAAATTGTTTGACCATTGATGGAGTGAGATGGGCTGATCGCGATGTGTCCATTCCGCCCATTGTAAGGCTGAAAAGAAGGAGATAAATTAAATGAAACGTTAAGCTTTTAACCTGTTAACGCTAGCAATTGCCAAAGCATTGTAGATCTTGTTTTGTTTTTCACTCAAACCAAGAGTCTGAAGGGCGACATTTCGAGTCAAGAAGTCTGAAATGAGCATTACATTGAAATAGATAACTGAATACTTTAACAAAAATATCTTTTTAGTATTATCTAATTTGAAGCTTAAATCAGACAAACCAATAGGCAGAAATTCCTGCACGGGTGCCCCAGAATCGAGTCGGCTTTGCATTCGAGGCGATCCTCTGTCTCTTGCACTTTTCTGTGCATGCGAATGTGATGGGGTTGATTGGACAATCTCATGGAAAACATCCCTAAAGGATTTATAAATGTTTTTTGTTTTTAAATAGTTAAAAGATAATTGAGATCTTTATTCAACTATTTCAAACAGCTTACTCTTTCTTTCCTTTCAAACAGAACAGTTTCAACATGAATGAAAAATAAACAATTCAGTCTTTAGTAAATGATGATCTTATTAGTAAAAGTGAAGTTTTATAGTTGATTATTGGATAAGCAATATCAATCCATACTAAGCAATGTTTGTTTGTTTTTAATTTTTTTTTTCACTTTTCTCTTTCATCTGAATGAGTGTTTGGGGAAGATTAGGTGTGGCTGTCTCTAACCAAAAAATCTTTTCTCTCTGCGTCATCACTAATCAGAAGTCAAAAAGCGAAAATTATTGTAATTTTGGTTGTTTGGAGTGGAAGAAAAGTTAAATTCTAAATCTAAAATACTTAGCTGATTGGATGTAATCGGTTTACAAGTCTCATTTTCAACCAAAAACTTACTTCAAATCTTTCCTCATTCGAGTGTTGAACAATCGGAAAAGTTCGGTGAATTCGAGCAGTGACAAGGGTTTTTCTTGATATTCTTTCCCTGATGGTCCATTTAGACTCGAGATCTGAATATTGAAAAGATAAAACTGTTATTGGTGCGATGATTGCTGTTTTTGCAATATTCTAAAGGTTTTACGTAATACTTCTCATTGCTACCAAGGGGAAATGTTGAGCTCAAGCCTTTTTCTGATTCAACGACAGTATTTGTCTTCCTATAATTGTTACAATTCCCAATTTTAAACTCACTTTAGTGAATGCCCGTGTTAGATGATGAACAGAATGCATTCAGGGCTCACAAAGCAACATTTAACATTCATATTCAAATCGAGTAAAGATATCAAAAAATGAGTCCGCTTAACAAACTCCACTCAATCAGAATTGTTTCCACAAATTTCCGGGAATAATTTTCTCAAATTTTTCGAAAATCTTTTTCTGCAGAAGTGATTTTTGAGTTCTCCGTGAGTGGTCTGTTCAAAAATAATCTCCGCACCGATCCAATTTGATTTGTCGATGGAGAAAATTGGACAGCGAAAAGAAAATTTTTTTCGTTAAATGAACTAAAAATTGGGTTCCTCATTTGAGGTCCGTTAGAAAATGGAAAAAGAAAAACCATGGAAATTCGAATAAAAGGATAAAAAAGGAAAAGAATTGCTCGGAAATAGTGCAAAGAGGCGATTTGATCAGCGGAATGAAATTAGAAATGGAATGATGGATTTGTGGGTTGAAAAATTGCTGTTTGAAATCCTGATTCTGTCAAAAATCTTATAGACAAAATATAGTCGAGCTTGGAACACTCCTTTATCAAAAAAAAAAATACGACCGGATACGGAAATGAGGCTTGATTAGGAAAACACGAGTACTACGAGTGCAGTAATTTTTTGATGCCTTAAAAATCCAAGTAACTAATTTCCAAGCAAGGTGTGAATCAGAATCACAAATGATCACTAACAAAATGATATTTCAAAAGAAGACTCGCTAAAAATCAATGTTTGACACAAAACAGCTATTAAGCAGTAATCAACAAGTCATTAATCGAAAAAATCCCAAAAAATAACAGCCAAACTTTCGTTTTTCCCTTTCAAAGGTGTCAAGAGATCAAGAAAAAAATGTTAACGAGCAATTTTCGGGAAAGGTTTACAGAAAAGAGAGAGTCCATTGTTATCATAGCCCCCGGATCGGTTACGCACTTTACGACTCCGACCGCTCAACGCTTTTTTAACGCTTTTTTTTTCTGATTTCCCGGCCACCGGCTGACTGTTGACCCGTCTTTTTTGAGCAAATCCGGGTAAATGCTTTTTTGTTGAATTCGGCTACTTTATAAGGAAATGAAAAACTGATAGCGATCAGTTTTTCTTGATTACTACCGGACTTATTCGACCAAACACATTCAGACTTTGGGCACAGTACTTGATAAGTTTCATCTAGAGTGTGTTTCTCGTGATTAAATAATTAATTGAAAAAATTTGCATAAACAAATTTTTAATTGATTGTCAATTGTCAATGTCAATTAATTAAGATTTGTCTCAATTCATGCGTTAATTAAACAAATTGGTGCATATGCAAATTAAATGGGTTGAATATCAATATCTTTTACTTGTGAATCGCACTATATAAGGAGCGCGTTAACGTTTTTTCACTTTTTCTCTCAACACTTCTTACTATTAGTTCGTTTTCTCTACGCTTCTTTCTTTTACTCTTTCTTTTCAATTGAATAACTTTCATTTTAGATTAACTCCTGGTCCCAAAAAAAAGCTGCGATTGAAACTGCAATAATTTTATTTTAAATAAGATTTACCTACCGTAATTGAATAGCTCTTTGAATTTTTTTCCCTTGTTTTGAAACCCACCTGTCCACTGCTCGAGATACTCCCCGAATTCGGTGTCTCTCCACCCCGCGATCTCCACGATTTCGTCGATCGTCCACCCACCGATCGACCTTAACTTTCTAAATTATTAATTCTCGAATGCTTTCCACCTCCATGACTGTAACTTGTCGGTGTTCTGCTTCTCGCCGAAATGCTGTCAATTCCGGCAAAGAACGATCCTGGGTAGTCTGTTTTATTCTAGAAAACTTTTGTCTGAAAGAATACCTCCATGACTTGAGCTTGTTGGGGTGCGACTTCGAGGGGTGTAGATACTGTCGAGATCTCCTAGGATTTGTCGTTAATTTTTCATTTTGACTACTCGTATTCACTACTTTCTAAAGTACCTGTATCGCTCAGCGCAGTTTCTCCTCTCGGTTTCAGGTAATAGCCGGGAGAATTGGGACCGGCTGGACCGGATTGACATGACATCTGGGATTTGATTGATGGTGGACGGACCTAGAAACTCAGATTGAGCAAATGAAGATGTTTAAGTTTAGAATTTGAAGTTATAAAGAAGTAAAGCTAAATTATTAGTACCAACCAAAGGACTCTGCGGTTGAGGGCTTTGTGATCGACTCGCATCTCTCGACGTTCCACGCAGCTTGATTTTCATAGCATTTTTGAAGTTGATCAATCTAGACACAGAAATTTTAAGCGGTGAATTGAGTTTTGTTCTCACCTATTTCTCGTTCCTCCAAGATCACTGTTTGAGTTCGAGTTTTCCGCTCGGCTTGCACATGGAGTGTTTTGGGGAATTCCGGGAACTGAAAAAATACTTTCTTGATAAATTGCAAAACGGGGATTGTTTAATATCTTTGTTATTGCCATTAATTTCATTTTATCTCACCAAATCCTCTCCATCGTTCAACACGTCCACCAAATGCTTGCAAGGCATCGAAGGGGGCGAGGACCAAGCGAACGACCACAATTCTCGGCATCCGCTTGGCTTTCCTGAAAAAAAAAAGCTGTCAAAGCTATAGAATCCTCTACATATGTAATAAAGGCTCAAATAAAGATTTCTCAATTACCCTGTAAAGTTGAAGAAAAAGATTCTTCAACCAAAGCATCCTTCTATCCGGATTCTTCTGTTGAATGTGTAGAGCCTCAACCACCTAAGAAACCTATTAACGGTAAAGAACTATAAATCACTCTTTGCAATCCGTGAATCCAATATTGTGCAATGTGTTGAGGAGCCAAGAAATAGAGACATTCGTTCTCTGGCAAAACTTGTCCATAGGAGACCTGGAAGAGTGATTTTTAGGACCTCTAGTTGTGCAAACCTTCCAACATTGTACAGGCACAGACATCTCTTCACAGGAATGGCGACGATAGATTGCCTAAACGAGATTTGAAATGAAATTTCAAAACTAGTCTTTACTTCAATATCCACCCCATAGCTGTCCATTTGTTCGATCGCTTTAACGTGATTGAGCCGAAGCTCGCCTTCTTCTGAAAAAGATTTGAAGATCTGTATTTGTCAAGTGGAGTCGATAAGTATTAATCTATTAAAGATACGTCGATAAATATTAAAGATAAGTATTAATCAAATCGATAAGTAGCAAAATTTTTGTAGTTAGAGACTTCAACTACCTGACAAACGTGGACCACTTCCTGGCAGAGGAGATCTCGTGCTTTCAAGATTCGTCGTGGGAACACTTGGTGTTGATGTAGTTAATGGATCCTGAATTGAAATTAAAGTTATTGAAAAGTTGAATCGTTATTTCTTCTTTCATTACCTTCATCTTAAAGCTATCCCTATTTCCAATCCCATGCACTTTGCTCCATTGAAGACTTCCACAAGATGAGTCCAATCGAAGAACACAAAGCACCGATCGACCTGAGTCGGCATCATAATGAATCACCTGAAAATATCAAGAATGCTACGTTATTCTTTCAAGTACTGTAGTTCCATGTTGGAGCCGTTGGATGATGTCAAGATCGAATCTGTTTGTGTCCAAGGGAATCATTGTCACTCCATGTCCAGAGCCGGAAGCTGGTTGAACTGGTTCATAACCTGAAACATCATAAAGTTTCAAAGATTAACAACGTTGTAATCCTTTCAAGCTGTAATTTATTGTAAAATTACCTTTGATCTCCGGTTGAACTTCAGGTTTATTGTGGCAAGCATCTTCCAAGTAATTCATCATGTTCCGGCTGAAAGCGTAATTTGAAAATACGATAAGCTTTTCAAAATAAGCTCAACCTATGCCGATGAAATATCTCCATATTGTCGAGAATAATGGCAACTAGGTTGATCTTGTCAGCATTTAACAATCCACCAACACCGATTTTTGATGAGAAGTGATCCCTCGCCATTCGAATCCGTCACAAACTGAAAGTTTGTGATAAAAATCAGTCTTTAATAATAGATTGCTAGTATATTGCTTGTATTTTTTTATTGGACACCCTATGATTACCTCTAATCTCTCTTTGTTCCCCTCATGACCAATCAGAACAATATGGGACATCTCGTTGCTGATCGAATAGAGATCACTGAACAGTTTGGATAAGACAAGTCAGATAGAACTTAGATTCTTGGGCACAATAGTTACCGCTTTGTCGTTAGTCGCTACTCACCGCAAAAACATTCCAAAGAAGGGAATAATTCTGCATTGAGGCATTCGCAGAGCCCTCTGTACTGCTTGGATGTATTGCTTTGAGGGATTTCCCTTCACTTTATCCGGTAACATGATGTCACAGAACTAAAAGAGAGTATACAGGGTGTTCAATATTTATGGGGACCAGTCGATTACTAGTTTTAGAGCTCATTTTGTATAAGTTTAATGCTAAAAAGGAAACACACTGATCAATACGCCCAACGTTAACTAACAACTTTAAGTTAGTTTTTCCAAAAATTATTGCAAAAGACTTTCTCATCGTTAAACAAGAACAACTGAGGTCTGACTCCTTTTGGTAAAATTTGGTGAGCGAGTTCTGTTGAATCGATTTTTGGAATATCAAATTCAGTAAACTGTAAAAATAATCTAGAAAGTCGAGTTTTTTCCAACTCCTATGCAATGCTTTCTTAACGATTTTTTTTCTCATAAACCAATTTTGTGAGCGCTAAACAACCTGCGAGCTTAAAAGTCTCCATAAATATTGAATACCCGGTATTAATAATGAGCGAAATGCTAAAATGCTTTAAGTTTACCTCCTCATATTTCTGTTTCTCGTCGGGTCTCAAACTCAACCAAAAAGGCCCGAGTTTCTCATTGCTGAGCCCGGTCAAGATCTCGACTGCTGCGTTGAAGTTTCCTAAATTTGAATGTTAAATTTTTTTATAAGGCAATCAAATACCGATTTGCCAACATGTTTCGATAATTCTCAATATGGAAGCAAGAGCAATCTTTCGATCATCATGAGTGGGTTGAGAGACGATCACATGCGTAATCCAGGAGGAAACCTATAAAATGACATACAGTTTATGCAGATTGTTCAAGTTTGACTTGCAATTAGCCAATGAATAAAACTCATTACCTCACTGAGCCTTTTCACAAGACTCCTCACAGGACTCGAGTTCTCCAACACGGAGATTCCAGTTTGGTCACAGATCACATATCGAACATAGTCCATTGGTTGAATTCCATAGAAGAGTTGATATTCAGTATGTGAGAGCTAAAAAAGCAATACAATTATAGCAAATTAACAATCACTTGGTAAGCGACTTCTTCAGGAAAATGAAGAATGTACTGTAGTCGCTCTAGCTCTAATCGAAACAGTGTCACTGGTTCAAGAGAGAAGTTTCCACTCAGAATTTGTGATGTCCTAGAGATTGTAGAGCCGGATCGAGAGGTGGCTAAATGGGAGATTTTCAACAGAAATTTTTGTTTAACACCTGTACTTGCACAAATACTTCTTCGATGTCCTGTATTCAGCGATTTTTGGATAGAGTTGCTGACACGATTCTGCTGGATTTCCCAAAGGGTCATTGAGATCGATTTGAGAGAGTTGAATGAGGGAGCTGAAACTTCGTTGTTTAACACATTCACGACGAATTAAACCGAATGAAATATCCAAAAATAGAGCAGTTTTCTTTAAAAACTAATAACGGATTCGAATTCCTCATCCACGAAAATCCCTGATTGCAAATTTTTAGCTCAATCGGCCTCAAAAAAATGACTAAATCTACCGGTGAACCGTATCGTCGCCAATGTGTTAAAAATGTAACCAATCCATAACTTACCAATCAACTGCCATTTATTGCCACGAAACTCCAAAAGTATCTGATGTTTTGAGACACCTCCACCGACTCTCCACTAAAAATAAACCAGTCAAATCTTTTTCTAAAGTTCTTCACTTGTTGCAGAGTATTTGCATGTTGCTTCTTCAGCACCAATTTGCTGATTCCATCCAGAAGACACAGTGATGTGCTACTCAAACACAGAAGTCGTAAAGTCTAAAGACAATTAACGAGTTAAAAAATCTGATGCTATAAACTTTTCTCAACGTTCTCCCGTGTAAAACTTCTTTGACTTGAAAAACTTTGCACCCGAAAGCAGCCAGCTTTTTTGGCAATCTGAAATTTAAAACCTTTGTTCGTTTTGGTGGATTTTGCACCTGAATGTAGAGTTTCTTCATTCCCACTTCACTCTCATAGACTTGAGAATGGAAAAGTTTTCGTTTACGATCCTAAAAATGAAGTTTTCAGAGTTTGCTTCAAGCTTTACTAACCCGAACAAACTTTAACGTTCTTCGATCACCCCTCAAATCAATGGGAAGGCAGAGGGCTTGCAACTCGTCGCTCATTCTCGTGTCACTGTGCGGGATACATCTGAAACGAGGGTTGAATAAATTTTCTATTTTTTTTTTATAAGATTCAGACCAACCTCAGTAAAATGCCCCTTCTCGTTGCACTGTCATCACTGTTTCCTCTTTGTGGATGAGCTCCTTTTCTCGACATAACCGCATTCACTACTTCTAACTCGTTCCTGAAAGAAAAGAAGATCAAGCAGATCCAGACAAATTCATAGGCATAATTTTGTTTTTACTTACAAGCCTTAAAGCTTCCTTACCTAGCCGCATCAGATTGAGTTCTAGGTGGAGTGCAATATAGACTCTGATCGACTTCCCATGGAGTGATCATGATCTTCAACGCTAGATCTCGAATTCTACCTGAAGTTCCAGTTTTTATATCTAACTTAAGGTTTATTAAACCAAATTGTCCTTTCAGCAAATGTCTCCTAATCGTTTGCGTTCTCTTATTGTGTGGCCATTGTTCCTCAACGCATAACTGGATTGCTGCAAGATAAGCGGCTTCTTCTTTTGGGCACGGTAATCCACCGGAAATCACTTGATCTTGCACCTAAACTGAATGTTTTGCTTTTTGGTTTCTTTGATCACCTCAAGATATTCATCATTGATTGCTTCATGTTGTGTCTCTTTTTCTTGATTCTCCATGTGTTCAACGGATGTCGAGACGACTTGGATTATATCAGCACACCTAGAAATGATAGAAATTGTATTAGGTTGGTGAATAAGTCCTTGTTTCTGACTACTAACAATATCTTCAAATTGTTACTACTACTGATGTTCGTTTTTAGGGTGTCTAGAGAGTCTTTTCGTTTTTTCGTACTTCCGTTTAAAACTAACAAATGCACGTGAATTACGGTTTGTTTCATTAAAAATGGTGAATTTATGAATTTGTTATTTTTGAACAGAAGTATAAAAAGGAACGAAAAGACTTATTCACCAGCCTAATATTCTCATATCTTGCTAGTAAAAATTTAGAGATCAAAATAATACCAAGCAATGCTTTAAAATCGAGACAGACCAATTTTTGACAGTCGGATGTTGAGGAGAGTTGAGAATTTGTCGAAGTACTTGGGAGCATTCTTTCATTGTTGCCATCACATTATCGTTTTCCTGTATGTCAGATATTGATTAATTCTATATAAGCACAGATATTAATCAGTAAACCAACTTTTGTATGCACATTCAACAATGTGACGATCAATTGTCGAACACATTGAAAATCGGGGTTCATTTCGCTCATCGACAGCAACAAGGGGCTCTTTAAACTTCAAATTATTAAATGTTACAGGTTTTCAGATTGTTTATTATTAGAAGTAATCGATCAACTAATAAGTAGGTTAAAATTTGAAGTTCGTTACCTCTCTGTCAGGAACTCTCAAAGAATCCCCACTACTCCTCGAGCCAACTCGTTTCGGCAAAGGAATTCGGGTGCCAATTGTTGAAGCTCGTTTCCTGAATAAAATAAGACACTTAAATAAACATTATTTCACATTACCTTATAACAAAGCTAAAAAGAAATGGTCCCGAGTTGTCCGAGGCGATACTCGTTCCAGCACTAAATGGATTGTTTTTTTTAAAAACGGATTAAATCATTTGACGTGAAATCTAAAAGATTTTATGCCAAATATGTTATGAAAAAAATGGATTCAAAGTGTTTTGAAACTTTTTAGAATTGATTTTCGTAATCGGCTTATCCATCAGAACACACTTTTTGTGGGTACATTCTCGATTCAAAGGTTCGAGAAAATAAAAGTGTTCTGAAAGGAGGCAAATCTGGAGATCAAGGATTGCAGAATTGCATGAATTTAAACCTGAAAGTGGACAATCGAAGACCGGCCGAAGAACGGGAACTTCTTTGGGAAATCACCGAAGATGCACGAGAGGACCAATCACCCATTGATGACTCTAAAAATTGAGCCAAGGATTACTGGCAAACTTTGATAGTATTCTAGAGTAGTCAGAATAGAATATCACATCAACAAGTTCGATAAAGGACCGATTTCCAACCTTCCGAACTCTTTCTGCTCCCATCAGCATCTTTATTGCTTGCGGCTTGTCCGGCGACAAGAAGCGGTGCACAATCCGACGCTTCACTACCACTTCTACTAAACAGTTAGCATAGTACATTGTACTTTAAATTACATTCACTTTACCAATCAAAATTTACCTATCTGGTGAATTCACAAAGTAGCCAAACTCAAATTGGGACATTGCCGATGGGCGTCTGATCTCGATTTGCGGAACTCCGGGAATGGCCTAGAATTTTGAATGAGAAAGTACATATTAAAATAAGGTATAATAGTAATAAAACTATTCCATAAGCTAAGAAATGAAATAAATATTTACCATCACACTAACCAATGGACTGCTGGGTCGCCGATCAAAAAGGGATGGGGGATTGAGACCATCATCTTTTGAGCCATTGGCTGGCGTTCTACAAAAAGAATATTAATTTTGTTACTTATTCATTTGTGTTTTACCTGGGTGGACTAGCCCCAGAAACTTCGAGTTCTGGCAAATATGTGTATGGGATGACTCGTGGGGGTTTTGGTGGAGCTGACGGATTACTGTCAGCTGACGAGTCTTGCTGTTGTCGGAAGCTGAATAATGCGATAAGGTTTCAATAAACAAATACCGTAAAACTCTAATAGAAGTCCCTTTTTTATTTTGAGCTTTTTATACCGTAACCCAAAAATTATCATAACCAAAAATAGGTATTTTACACTTTTATTAGTGCAGGGATTTTCCGAGGAGGGATGTGAGCACATGCGAGGTCTCTACGATCAGGTCTGGCCAGTGAGCGAGGTGGATGAGAGAACTGAAGAGGAAACTATCGCCCAATGTTCGGAGAACGATGAAGAAACACTAGATCCTTCCCGAAAGCGCAAGGCCTTTCTATTCAAGGCTATTCAAAGCAGCTCAAATTGGAAGATTTCAAATACGCCAAATTTTCTATGCATGCGTTCGCACAGAAGTATCGAGTTGATCGTGCAATGCTTTGACGATGGATCGGAAACAAAGCTTGTGCAGCAAGAAGGCCAAGCAAAACGTTAGAAAGGAGGCAGGCGACACTTGACGTCGATTGAGCTGGAGAACGGGGTTGTTACCAGGAATCTATCACAAAAATTTGTTCGATTTCTAATTTTTGCATTGAAGAATAGAAGCCCCGGGGCTTCTATTACAATAAGGACGGTAATACTGTTACCTGCTTCTGTAAGCTTGCTTCATTTCTTCCCTTTTCGTGGGTGGATAGTTTTGGAGTTTCTTCGTGAACTCCAGCACTGGATCCGAGCCAGATGATGGACTTTCCGGGCTTGAGTCTCCCGAGGCTAAATTCTGCTTGGACTTTTTCAAAGTATTAGCTAAAGTATTATCTATTCGAAAATTTCAATAATACTTACGTCTTGAGTGTCTCTTGCATGGATCGGTTCCCATTCTTCCGCGAAAAAGCGATTGGATATATTTAGGGAGGTGTTTTTGTACAGAAGAGCTCGACGAGGTTGTCTTCTTTGATCGATTCGATCCACTGCTTGTATCAGTACCCAACCTAAAGCCTTTCTCTACAAATCTTCGTTTGTTTTCAAAACCTTTTCCTTCGTTCTTTATCCTTCAAGTCCTTGGCTCCGGAACTGAAACGCTTTGGGCGAATGATCTCCACAGAACTGAAAATAATGGATGAAATTTGATAGTTTTTATAATTTTAATCTCTTTCCTCACCTCGATCTTCGGATGTGAACTCTTTTATTTGACGATCTTGATCCTTGGTGTACTCGCAAATAATTTCTATCTTTTCCCTGAAGATCATCCCGTCGATCAAATGATTTTGACTTCACATAGCCACTAGAATAGTTTGATATTATTAAATGCATCGTAAATTTTACGTGTTAGCTCCAAGACTGAGACTTGAAGTGGCTCTCGGATCGGTGATTGTTTTGTGGGGAGTTGAGTCGATTGCCTGGAAGAAAAACATAAAAAAGGTTTTCACAAAGAATTTCCACCTTAGGCACAACTTTCTTCTTTGCCACCAATCCGAGATCCCATGTGAGTTTATGCATGAGTAATCTTAACAAGAGAACATTGTCCAAAACCAGTCCCAATTTGCATAGATGAGCTTCAAGAGACTCCAGAGAGAATAATAGTTGAAATGATGTGGTTTTGTTGAGTTGTTCTTGGGCAGCCCGTGCTTCGACAAGCTGAAGGATTACCAATTTTTTGTTACTTTCATCAGTATACCGGTGAAACTGATGTGTGTCTCTCAACATCAGGCGGTGGGGATTCGGTTTTCGGATCTTCTTCTTTAATCGGCTGAGCTGCGGAAAGATTTGGAGCATTCTTTGCTAACTGAAACGTTTAATTATAGCTGTAGTATTCCAGCCTCTTGTCTTACTACAGTAAACTGTCGTAAAAGGAATCCGATTTTACACCGATATACTGTAGTCTTTCAAATTGGCTTGTATCACTTTGTGTCTTTGAAAGCCAGTGTAACTCTACCTCAGAGACTTCATGTAACAATTTGAGCATAAAACCCTCGACACCCATCGCATTCTTGCTGAATGTAGCCATGCTTCTGGAATTGTTTTGTTTACAGAATGATTTTAGACCAGCCGAAAAATCCGTCTAACGGCTAAATTTCTGTTTTTTTTGGCTGAATTTTTTGGGGTTGACGCGTAGTTTTGTTGTCGTCGTTTTGTAATATTTTTATCATCCAACCGCTACACAATCGCCAAAATCATTGTCAGCTGCTTACACGAGGTCTTAAAAACACATTTGCAGCAAAATTGATGGTTAGACAACATTTCCCAGCTTCTGTGATGGCGTGCGGTGGAATCTGTGCCACAGGAAAGACTCCACTCGTCTTTTTGGACCGAAACGTAAAAATCAATGCTGGAATCTATCAACAAATGGTTCTGAAGGATGTCTTAGAGCTTTGGGCCTTAAATAATTTCGCACAGAACAAATTTACCCTTCAACAAGATTGGATTCCGGCCCACAGAGCCCGTTCAACTCCTCAACTTTGCAATCAGATGTTTTTGCCTTCGAATAGCCTCGATTTGAACCCTCTTGACTTTTCAGTGTGGTAAATTTTGAAAGACAAGTTCTCAGGCAAGCGTTTTCACACAGTGGATGCTTTGAAAGCTGCTTTAAAGAAAGCCTAGGCTGAAATCACCATGCAGCAATGTGCGACCATCGTCAAGAGCTTCCCCAAGCGATTAAAGAAGTGTGTTGAAGCTGATGGCGGAAATTTTAAACATTTGTTATACTTTTTTTGTTAGTTTAGCGTTAAATAAACAACTTGTTACCTTCGATTGGTATAAAATTAAACAAGTTTAGACCTTTGACTATCTTAGAAAAGTAGCAGATCTGTTGGGGCGCCCTGTATATAGTAGATTTAAAGTTTACCTAGGCGTTGCACATGTAGCACAAATATATTCATCTTCAATCGGATAATTCGATTTGGTTGCTCGAAGCTCTTTCACCTCTTTTGGCTCTTTTGCATCCGGTTTCTCGAGTTTTTCAGTAGCAGCTTAAACTTTTGATTGTGCAAACGGTAAACATGTAATCCTGACCAAGCATGTGAAAGATATTCACTCGACTTCCCACTCTTTCGCCCATTCCCACGTAGATGAGAATCCGAGCGGCATGGTATTTGACAAAGTGGCCAAACTTGGTGGAATGATTCGTGTAATACCTAGAAATTGAAATGATTACAATCTCTAGGTTTTATTACCAATCATCAGCTGGCAATAACATTTGCATTAGAACATCGTCAATTTGAAGATCGAGAAAGACTGGATGAGTTGATGAATCCAACGCCACAAGGGCCACACATTGAAGGAGCAGACAAAGAAGTTGCTGAAATTTGGATTGAAAATGGAAATTCCAGAAGGCTTACCGGCTCCAGAGTTGGTTCCAATAATTGCATGAGATTTTTCAAGTTCTTCCTTGAACTCAACCGTTGCCGAAAGTTCAACATGTGAGTGAGAAAAAGCAGCAAACGAGCGATTAAGATCTGTAAAGAGAAAAAGTTACTCAAGTAAAGGACAAGCTTACCTGGGTACAATGAGCACTACAATATCTCCATCGATGAGCGGGACTGCAGACAGAGCGAGTTCCTGCCTCACGATTCCCCAAAGTGATCGCATTGTGGAGACACATTAAGACTAAATGAGTTGTTGAAAATGTCAAAGTAGTATTGTCAATTGACTACCTTGACTAGGACATGAATCATGAAAGGACTGAATGAGAGCATCGGGTTGAGCCATTGGTGGATTCGGAGAAGCGGCTCCATCTCTTGTTGTATAGATGTAGACATGATCGACAGTTGAACAATGATCTCCTTGAGACATGAATGGACTTTCTGAAATGATTTGGGATAATGACAGAAAAAGAGTAAGTAATTCAAGCTACAAGAATTCATAAAGCTTTACCCACCCATTGGACTTTCCGGGGAATCCGAGTCAAAGGCATGAGTTCGATTCAATAACTTTGAAGAAACGAATGAAATATCGGGCTGAGTGAACAACTCGTAGACCAAACCGGCATCAATGATCTGGAGAATGGGTTTAGATTTCTTCAAAAATTCCATTTACCTTATTTAAAGTGCTCAATGCAGAGAATTGTCTCACAGTGCCAGTGATCTGCAAGAATTGAAAGCAGAATTTTGACAAAGAAGCCAAAATAGAAATAAGCTGTTGTTTTCGGGTTTTCTTGTAGGTCGGCGTGGCTGAATCGTAGAACTCGATAGCTGTCTAAATTTGATGAATAAAGATATTTAGTCAACAAAAACAATACCAGGATTAATTTGTGAAGTAATCCGCCTAAATGTGATTCAAAAGCCTCATGGTCGACATTTTGTGAGACATTCTCGAGCTCTTTCGCACACTTGATCAAAGAGTTCTGAAAAAAACTTCAATTTAGCCTCAAAATTACTAATATCTTTACCTGAATCACTTCTAAGCATTCGGGATTTGAGGCCATCTTTTTGAGGAGCTCCCACGCTTGTTCCCAGCTCACATTATCGATCACCGGATCAAGAGCATCTAAAGTTTTGGGTAAAAGTCAATAGGCGTTTTTTTATTATTTACTACGACTTTTACTATATACTATATAGTCTATGATAGCGCTCAAAACGATTTAGACAGACGGTGGTAGACGGTAGTATTTTTTTTCTCTTTGTGAGATATCGACTTACAGTCAAAAACAAAGTTGTACCTTGATCAGTTTCTAATATTATGAGCCTAAAAGCTCTTATCTAGTTCGAGTTCTTACTATAGAATTCTCTCCATGTATTTTTTAGTCTAAAAAGTACATGGAGAATCTGAATTTGAGGTCAGATTTGCTCAAAAATGCTTAGTTATAAAGTTAAACAATTTGAGCTTGCGCCGAACTCAGGAGAATCAAAAATTTTATGGTAAAAACTTGAACCAGATAAGGGCTTTTAGGCTCATAATATTAGAAACTGATCAAGGTACAACTTTTTTGAGTGTAAGTCGATATCTCTCTCAAAAAAGAGAAAAAATACCATCGTCTAAACCATTTTGAGCGCTACTATATATTCCTCGCTATTATTAACGGTAAACTGACTTCTATGATGTGCAAAGCATCTCCTTGCAGCTGCCGCCAGATCTCTATTGTCTTTCGTTCCCCGATTTTTTCTCTGCAACTGAAGGGAGACCAGTGATTTGCGTCTCGCTGTTTCTTTTGCGGTTACAGTTTCTGGAAGTTACTTGTTAGTCTTGCTTTTTAACATCGTAGACTTGCTGAGCTTAAAAACAAGTCAATGCTGCTTAACTAGTTAACTTGATTTTCTGTTTATACCGAGTAGTGAGCAAGTTGAGACTGAAGGAGCGGCTGATGGACGAGGAGAGAGTGGAGCTTTGTTCAGAGAATGACGCTCGCCTTGGGACACTGAAAAATACGACTTTAGCAAGGTCTTTGGATCAAATCAAATTGAGAACAAGTTTAAAAGTTTAATCTAAAGCCAAATATAGATCTATCACAAACCGTTATCCACTTGCAAACGATGATTGTGAGCGGATCTTGGAGTAGAAAACCCAAGTCTCGAATGCTCCTTTTCTTGTCCAGAGCAAGCCACCTACAATTTTGGATACAATATGAAAGCACAAATATTTTCCTGATATGAACTGGGTCAAATCAGAGATAAATTTTCGTAGTCATTAAAAAAGATGAAAAATTTTGTGGGTAAAGCTGGAATTATAGTCGAAAAGCCGTACAATACAAAAAAAATGAAAAACTATATTGGTACTTTTCCAACCTTGAACAATTCTTCAACACATGTTTGTTGCAAACTTCTCAATTCGGGTGCTAGATCGAGTGGGCAAATTCCTCGCATATTTTTCTTCTCAATTCTGAAAACAGACAAAAATGTTCAAACAGTCAGAATTAGGAAATGTGATCGTAATTTGTATATAATATGTCCGAAACTGAATGAAGATTCTTTTCGTTTAGTTTCTTTTAATTTTAGATTCTGCTTTTGTTGATATACAAGGTGCGTGAAAAGTTCTGTCCCTTTCTAAAAGACTACTTTTACAATGCGTTATGAAGTTTCTAAGACTCAAAACCTACAAAATTAGATTTTTCAAGCATTTTTAGATGACATTAGACCTCAAAGCTGCACAAGTCGATTTGAAGCAGGGCCTTAAATGGGAACGAGAATGCTCAACTGCATATTCAAAGCCATAATAAATTATAAGAAACTGTTTTTATAGCTAAATAGTGACTAAAAACTCATGAAAATATCAAATTCTAATTTGCTACGAAGCTAGGAAAGCTATTTTTGACCTGTGACCAGAGGGTACTTCAAATGTTTTCATAAAAAGTTCTATAAAATTTTCTATATGAGTAAAATAGAAAATATGAAACAATTTTCTAGTGTAAAAACACTTGAAAAATCTAATTTTGTAGGTTTTGAGTCTTGGAAACTTCATAAAACATTGTAAAAGTAGTCTTTTAGGAAGTGACAGAACTTTTCATGGACCCTGTAGATGCAGGAACTAGTTGAATTCAGTTTCAGACGTCTGAAACTGATCAAAACAAAAATTTTTGTTCCGTTTTGGACGTAATTATATATAAAACCAAAGACCAAAATCTCACTGTGCCCCGAAGAAAATCAAAGTGTGAAGACAAGTCCAATTAAGTGGAGAATCTCGGGCAGCCAAGAGTAACGGTGTATTCCCATCATCGTCTCCTGTAAGTAAAACATTAATGTATTACTACAAAGAGTCGACTTTTTATTATACTTTGATAAAATTTACCTAGATTCACGTCAGCTCCATATGCAATAAGAAGAGCGATGAGTTCAGCACTTTGCACTCGCACCGCCACCCCCAACGGTGTCTGATCGATGATTGTGACCGCGCGGAGTTGGGTGCAAATCGAGCAGATCTCGGGAGTCATTGAATGGGTTCTAGAGAAAATTCGAATCGCTAAATGATTTAGTAAATTTCAACGGACCTTGGAATAATTGTTGTCAACGGGATATTTCCACTTGCTGTACAGTTTCCTTTACAATGGCACGTCGCTGTAGCATTTGGATCGTATCCACTTTTCAATAGCAGTTCAGCGATATCCTAAAGTTGAATTTAAAGTAAAAATAAGAACTTTTGCCATCAGGTAAGAAATATATAATAGAATCAACATCATCAACAAAACTTTAGTGAAACCAAACCTTTTGTTTGTGGGCGACAGCCATGTGGAGAGTGTTGAGCACTGCACAGGTTGATCTGAACAAACAGAATTAAGAAATAGAATAGTTATTAAATCGAAATGTACTAAAAAAAGCAAAAATCTCCTACTTTCCGCCAGAATGCGTGGAAACGGTGCTGCTGGCGTTCGATCTCCGATGATTATTCCCGTGACGTCTTTGAGCCAAATCAGTGAGAGTGTTCGTTGAGCCTGTGGTTAGAGTTAGAAAAGTTAAAAAATGAAATATAATCAGCAAAACGACAAAAAAACTGGCTTTTTCTATTACTAGGGAACAATGCCATAAAAATGATCAATTTTTATGGCATTGTTCCATTGAAAAGATCCATTTGTAGCCATGAAAACTTAACACCTAGGCACTATTTAAAAGAATCTATTAGATCAATTTTAGAATTTATATTTTGATAATTTTGGTCTGAGCCCTTTTCTACAAAAACCTTCGAAGATCTCACCAATCGATGGCGATGTCGATAGCGGCTTGTTGAGATTATGTGCGGCCAAGAGTCGCTCCACCATTGTCATATCCTCATAGTGAATTGCCTGAATATTTCGAATTTTAGATTCACTTGAAATCCTTAGAGGTACCAGAAGGAGCAAAACCACACTCACTTCCAACATTTGTTCACTCAAATTTTGTGTGACCGAGGGCTTTCGGTCCTCTTTGATCAAATTTCGATGAACGGCCGTGAAAGTAAAAGAACGGCCTGGAAAACGAGATATTTGAAGTCGGAATTTTCGATTTTCATTCTAATGTTCACAAATTTTACCTGTGTCTGTTGGTGTTCCAACAATCGATGATCCATCACTGCTTTCACCAGTATAGCGGCGACCAGATAAGCCTAAAAGATCAAGGATTTCAATACGATTTCAAAAACAGATTTCAATCTGAAAGCTTTCAATACAACCAAGGAATTATGTAACTTTTGAAGGCATTTCTATTCTATTTTGTTACCAGATTGTCCACTTTGTTGTCGTTGAAGTCGTTGTCTCAATCTTTTCGCCGTCGATACAGTACTTTCATGATTGGCAAGCTCGGATGAATAGCCAAAGGTATAACTGAAAACGAAAGAATATTAACTTTTTATCTAAAGTCAGTATTCTTTTTGAATATATGATAAACAAACCGATCATTGTGTTCCATTGATGACTCTCTTGATTGAGTCATTTTATGTATTGGTGGAGATGAACCATATGCTCCTTTACCCGCTGAAGACATTCTGGCTGAATTACCTGAAAGCATTTCATCCAGAAAATGAACGAGTGAAGAAAATCATTCACCCATACCGAGTATAATCAAAGAAAAAAGATAACTCCTAATCAAGTGCTTTTGTAGGCTAATCGTTTTGAGAATCCGGAAAGATTTTATGAGTCAGAAGAAGGGAAATATTAAAGGGGCTCTTGTAAAAAAATGAGATTATCCCCACAAAGACTTACAAAAAAAAAGAAAAGGAGACAAGTGGAGGAGGTATTTTTGAAAACAATCAAGAAATTGATTAGAAATGTTTAGAGAAAATTGTGTGAGATTAGGGGAATCACGAGGAAAGAAAGGGGTAGCTGGAAAGGAAAGGTCGGGGATCGGAAAACTATTGTTGCCATTTCATCTTGTGTTCCTGGATCCACTCGTGGCAATTTCTATCGGTCGGGTCAGGCTAGGAACTGTCTTCTGTCCTTCTGGTCTGTCTTTGCTTCAAGTCTGACTAGGGAGACTCAAGTCAGATTTCATCGCCAATCCGCATCAAACCAATATGGGTTTCGCCAGTCGAACACGGGTAACACGATGACGTTTTTAGTTTTTACCTAAATGCTCTAGATTTTTTTAAAAACGCAAAAGAAGTCTAACTCCCTAATGCACTAATCAGGGTATATAAGCACCGCCATCGTCAAGGCAATGAAGTGAATCCGTGGTGCAATGGTAGTGCCACCATTTCCCTTTCTTGACACCCGAGCTCGACTGCCCCTGCGCGCAATTCATTTTGGTTTTTTGCTTTTCATATTTTCATTTTCTTTTACGAAAATAACATTGATTTCCAAGCTACTTTTCAGAAATGGATCTGGTTCCAGATGTTGCTATTGCTATTTTAGCCCAAAGGCTTCAACGAATTGGTAGCAACGTTAAGAAAGCAACACGAGAAGAGAGAAGATCCTAAAGATGTTCAAAACATTAAAACAAAAAAAAAATTCAAAAAAGTCTATCCAAGTCGAACTCGGGGGCCAAAAAAGGGAAAATGGCACTACCACTGCACCACGGATTCACTCCGCCCCCCTGGCGATGGCGGTCCTTATGCAAGGTGTTCAATAATTACAGGGACTCGGTATTTTAAGTGTAACTCAACACTGAGATGTGCAAACATCCCATGCTTTGTTTTAATAGAAAATTCAAATATTTTTCTACGGTGGATTCTTAGATTTGACGAAAAAACTTTTTCTGCCTTTTTTATAGAACCTCAAAGTTGGCAGTCAGGAGTTGCTTGGCGCGGCATTTGTTTTTAGAGGAAAATGAAAATGGGTTTCGGTGCAAGACTTAGTACTCAACCTAATATGAAAAATACTTTGTATTATGTACATATACATGAAAATCCGTTCCCTAGTGATCCGGGCCTTCCAGAAGCTAGGTCTGGTTGGAACATGACTTTCCGTGACTCTCAGCATACTACCGTTTCCGTTGACTCTCAGCAACTACCATAACTGAACACTCCATCTCGAAAACAACCCAGTTTGGACAAATTGATTTTGCGTCAAACTAATTTTCGATAATCAAATTTTCTTCTTTACGAAATGAATGAACTCTTCCCACATCGTGGCTTCGCTTTTGAAAGAATTCAATCAATACAATCAAACTTTTCTCTTTGTCTTGTCTCATCATATTCTTATTTCCATTTCTCGTTATGTTTCGTTAATCCTAGATGAGTTTCTCAATATCACATCAATATAAAAAGTGAAGAAATCCAATCATTTGCGTAGTTTCGATTCGATGAAAGGATTCTATGGAAATCCTTTTTCTAGATGGATTCCCTCAAAGAAGAAAGAGGGGGAAATCCTCTTTTCTTTTTTCTTCTCAATCCGAATGTTCTCATATCCGGTAAAAAACTTGTACAAAACTACCAAAAAAGAAAGTAGCCAAAAGTGAGGAAGAGATAAGTTGTAAATAAGAAAATTTGTAAATTTAATCGATTTTAACTTGTAATCTCTAAAGGAGGCATGTAAAATACAAAGGGAAAATCAGAAAAATAATTGAAAATTGTAAACTAATGTCATCTGGCAAGTTTATGTCAAAAGATAAGAAAATAATGAACTGTGAAATACTCAGATCGACCGGAATTGCTTCTGATTCAAAATGAGATTTCAGAACAAAATGGAAACGATTTTCTTTGGGTAACCTTTTTGTGGTTAATCTCACAGAATATTTGAGTTGAATGGAAGTGGGGAAGAGAGGTGATTGAAAAGAAGAAGAGAAAGAAGAAGAGAAAGAAGAAGAAACAAAAGAAATCTCTAATGAGGTTGATATCTCTGTATCTCATTTCATGGCTTCTCTTCAACAATGAGATTTTGAGGAAAATGGAAATGAACAAATTGGGAAAGGAGTAATCATTTGAATGAAAAAATTTAGGGCTTAAAGTGGTTATGAAATGCGATTGTGAATTTGATTTGGTGGATTTTACGGAAATTGGAAAATTGGGGAGTTTGGAGTTTTTTTGGGGACAGAGGTATGAAAACGTAGGCATCTCGGTAATTTCCGGTTTAAAGACACAAAATTATCATATCTTATTGGCAAACTGCCCTCGAGCTTTTCCAGTTTGCCTGTCTTACTGCCAGCTTCATCATCACCATAATATTTTGTTTTGAATATGAGCCGGCTTGATTACTCAAGTCTTTTGCATCAGGAAGTGTTTGGGTTTTGTAAAAGACGATATGATATAACGATCTCTATTATATATAAAACAGAAGAGACGTCTGTCCGTCCGTCTGTGCGCAGCCATTGGCGAAAAGGGGCGAGGCTTAGATTGAGTGGAAAACGCGAACGTTAGTGAGCATTTTGAGATGATAAAGACACGATATGATGAGTGATAACATTTCTTAAAATTCAAATTGGGTGGAATCTCTATATCAAGAACTAATCTAAGGAATAACCCTAAAAGATTAGACATTCAGACGTTGAAAATAAACCCAACAAAAAAGGAAAAGATCTGCTAAAGGAGGGAAAGTTTTTAATTTAGCTTTAAGGAAGCCATGGGGAAAATGGAGAAAAGATTGAAAGAGAAATGGCTTCTCTCTTGACTTGGGCACTTTCTTCATTTCCTTCCAAGAATATCCGAACAGAAAAGAAAATGGATTTGATTAGATTCACGTGGATATAAGGAATGAAGAAATGAGAAAAGAGTTGAAAAGTAAAAGAAGTAAAAGATTTGTGAACATGCACACATCATTGAGACATGATTTGGGACAGATTTTGAATATGATGGCAATGTTTTGATGGTTTTCAGTAAAGATTCTAAAAAATGTTTGCGCATTTTTGTTGTCATCGTTAGTGTAGCGTTGGTTTAATTACCCAAGTTTTCTTTTGCATTTATTTCTTTCCGGAGTCAAGCCCAAGTTATAGACGTTGACAAAAAGCAGATAGCTAAAGCTTTCATGGAATAGACAGATTCCTCAAAGCTTACAAAAAAAGAAATCGATCCACTCTAAACTAAAGGAACAAACAAGTATAAGCTGTAAAAAAATTACATTTGCGCAAAGAAAAAAAGGATTTGTGATCAGATTCGACCGGATATCGGGCAGTTGGACGGAGAAAAGAAGCGAAAAAAGAAATAAAGTCAGAATTAGATTCGACCGACTCGTTCCGACACCACAGATTTGCAAAGAATAATGTTAGGAAAAGAAAATAAAAGAGAGGAAAGGGAGGATAGATGAGAGTTATTCGTGGATACGGATTAGCAATTTCCCGTCATAAGAAAGAGAAGAAGCAAAAGAAATCCAACCGGGGAATCGATTGGATAGGGGTTTGAAAAGTTCTATATTCTGGAAAAGTGACAATGCAAAAAAAGAAAACAAGAATTTTGAAAACTTGAGGTGAATTGCTTTCAACCTGGCCCTCGAACCGATGCTTCGTGCCCTACACGACCAACAGTGTGGGTACCAACTCAACGGACAAGACATCGACGTGCTCGCCTACGCCGATGACATCATCCTCGTCTCCAAGAGCTCGGTTCGCCTCCACGACATGCTCGATGTGGTCACCACCGTCGCCTCCTGGTCTGGACTGGACCTCGCATTCAACGCCAAGAAGTGTGCATCGCTCGTTCTCGATGGCCAACAACGCGGCGCCGTCCCGACACAACACTCGATCCAAGGTCAGAAGATGAAGAGCCTCGAAGAAGACGACACTTACGAACACCTCGGAGTGCCCACCGGATACCACCGCGCCCCATCAGCCGAAGATGCCCTGCAGAAGATGACAAACCACGTTGAATCAATCGACAAATCTCTTCTTGCACCGTGGCAGAAAGCTGATGCGGTCAACACGTTCGTCTTGCCGTGCCTCTCCTTCCACCTCAAGAACGGAATCGTGCCCAAGAAGCCTCTGACGGTGTTCGACAGGAAGCTCAAAGTCGCCTGCAAGAGATGGCTGAACCTCCCATCGCGAGCCTCCAACAAAGTCCTCTACCCCTTTTTGCACAATAAGACCTGAGAGACCAATTCTCGCTTCCACATTTCATTTCGGTCCCATTTTTGTTTTCAGAGTAAAGTCACCCTTGGACTTTGAAAAAGTCCTGTATACCTCTTGGACGGTCCGTTCTCCACGTAACTCAGCTCGCCGATTTTCATTGAAAGCGAGTACTGCTAGCATAGTTCGATTCGTAAAACCTTTTTTAGGGAAGTATTTGCGCTTGGGTCTATAGCGTATACAAACGGCATGGAAGCTTTCCATGTCACGAAGATGTCACGTTGTCGATCCGCATTCTATCCAAATCGCTCATGAAATCCGTCTTTGCAACTATTGATAATAGGCTCTGAAAATGAGGCGAAGATGGTTGAACTAATTCACTCGGATTGCTATCTCCCATGTGCCGTGTACATCTCATAACTTTCTCGAACCTTTCTTGTTGGACTTTTCCTTTCATGTCTTAGTGGTAGGGAATGCAAGAATCAAATCTTCAAATTTTTGCGCTGACCACTGATGAATGCCTTGAATATGCAGAAAAAAAGAGAACACCATTTCTTGTGAAACTTTTGAATCACCATTCGACATCTCAATTGACGAGTACGTTTGAAGAATAAGACGTCTTGCCAACGTTTGGAGCAAATTCTTATCCTCTTCACTTTTGGATGATTTCACAAGACTTCTAAGTTCCTTCTTCAATGATTTCAGTCTATGGCATGGGTCAAAACTGAGATTGTAGTCCTCTGACTGTAGATAAGCCACGACTTGCGGATGTTTATCAACTGTAACATTGTCCAAAGCTCATACTTGGGAATCTCCGTTAGGATTCGTTTTACGCCTTTAAGTTCCATTCGACCACTAACATTTCCAACCTCATTTTTTTGTACAACTGCAAAATCTACAATTTGTTTCATCTCGGTTTCCAAACATGAAATTGCACATAATTCGGCTGAATATCCAGGACTATAATATTGTCCATCCAGGGAAACGCTTATCGTTTTTGCCAGTCCTCCTATTAGTTCACTCCTCTTTTTGTAATACATATTCTCGACAGCCATACAAAGGCTTTTGAAAGTAATAGAAATTGACTCTTGGAGAGAAAAGGCATTTCGAAAGCCGAACAAAAGGATGACAAATCTGGATATCCGATTGGAGTAACATGTGCCGCCGTAGTTATTGCCGAATTTCCGGACCGAGTCTGTGTTCCTTCTATGAACTTTTGAGTCGGTCATCGAATACGAGCGTTGCTTTTACAAGAGCATCGATAAACAGCGGTAAGGTTTGTGCCATTCTGTTTCCTGCTTTTCCTTTGGTTCGACCTCCAGGAGAACTACCACACAGATGACAATGTTGAAGTAGCTGTTCCCATTGTGCAAACTCGACAATCACATATTTGGGAGTTGTGACAAGTTCCTCTTCTGAGTCAGACATCCTCCTAAAACAAAAAGTCATAAATCCCTAGTTCAAAACAAAAAAAATAAAAGATGAAAATTCTATCATCTTTTGTAACATTAATTTGTCCCTGTTTTGACCTGCGAGAACGAAATGTGGAAGCGAGAATTGGTCTCTCAGGTCTTATTGTGCAAAAAGGGGTTCTGTATTCCGGGTTGTGATCCGATTGACGACGATGCCATCGAACGACTTTCTGACGATTTAGCCGAATTATTACATTTTTCTGATAGTGATAGTGATGATGAATAGATTACTTGTTTGTTTGTCATTTGTTTTAATTTCATTCTTATGTCCTCTTGTTGTCAATATATGTTTATTACTTTTTAGGCATCCCATTACCTCTGCCTTCGCTCCAGCCTGAAAATTTCGATGTCATTGCCAGCTCAGAAACGTTTTAAATTTTGTATACCCATTTGTTTTTGTTTAAGTTGGTATGAAAGTCAATTTAAATGCTACTTTGTTATTATGTTTCCGTCTGTGCTTAATCTTATAGTTTTGGAAATAGGTTTATTAGCTCCAATTCAACGCATAAATTTGATTTATCAACGCTAACCTTTTTGCTTGTCTTTTTGTAAACTTTATTCCTTCAATTTCTTTGAATAAGTGTTACTGTAATATCGCATCGAGTTTTTCTATAATTTCTGCTAAATATTTTTTTATTAATTTTATTAAAGAAATAATTTTTTAAGTAAACTGTAATAGTACAGATCGATGAATTGATCGATCGATGAATTCAGAGATTTAACTTCTGATGCCTACAAAAGAAAACATTTCGAAATCATAAAAACTATCGAACAAACGATTTTCAGTGTTGTTTCAATAAAAACTTTAATATTCATTTAAAGTGGAGGCTCCAGAAATGGAAATGCCGGGGGGAAGAAAAGAGGAATTCACGTCGACTCCCTCTCTGTTATCCACATTCACTTCATTTTCCGTTCCATCAAAACCAATCGGTCTGATTAGCCTTTCTTGGGTTTCTCTAATCAACGGATCCATTTCAAATCTACCGTAATCCTAAGATAACAGTAGGTTAGTTTCTCATTTTGATTTGACACCTGATTATATTCCATTACCAGCTTGTGATGTGTCAAAGCACTCGATCGTTCCTTGCAATCGATTTTGGTGCATCTGAAAAACAAATGCCTATTTTTTCGATAACTTAAAGTGTTTAATTTATTTTTTAGAACTTTAAAAGTCTATTAGATTTTACGTTTCGATGATCTCTCGAATTGGATGAAGAGAATCCGGTGAATTCAGTTTCACCGAATTTTTCCTACAATCAAAGAGGAAACGATCGAGATTCATTTCCGTTTCTCCATAGTCTTCGTAAACAGTTCTCAAAAGTTTTCATTACTTTAGTTCTTTTGTTATTTTCTAAACCTTCTCTCAACAATTTCCCAAAGAACTAATCCAATCTGATAAATGTCACTTTGGGGGCTTTCCTGAAAACCATAACTTTATAAAAGTCAAGAAAAAGACTTATGTTACTAAACATTAGAAAAAAAATTAGGTTACTGCTTAAGTTTTGCTTAAGTTTCTTAAGTTTTATTAAAAGCCTGATAAAAAATTGTAATTCAGTAACCTAATTCAGTAGTTTTTCTATTTAAACCATATGATTTCCATCGAAAAAGCCGAGAGCTTCAGGGCTCGCGTATCGAAGAGTTTTGGCTTCATTTAGAGGCTTAGTCGCATTCAAGTCTTTCATACAACCAAAATCTCCGAGTTTCAGCACAAAATCTTTCGTAACCAGCACGCTAAAGATAAGCAGTTATGGCAGTGATTAGAGTAATACCTTTCTATAACGGGTCCTTCAAAGGCGAAAATTAAAGATCATAAATTACACAGCTACACATCTTAGTTTATCTTAGTCTTCATCTTAGTTTATGATATTGAATGATATTGAAATTTCTCCTTTGAAGGGCGCGTTATAGAAAGTTATTGCTTGAGAGAAACACCCTCCAGCAGTGACTAATTAATAACTAATTAATTAAGTTGCTAACTAATTAATAGTACAGAGTGTCCCAATAAAAAAAAGTCGGTACTTTTCCAATATCGGGAGTGGTACCCGGATTAACGGGGGTGGGATTTTTTTTCTAAATTAAAGATTTCGGTCGAATTTAATAGCTCAATGCTATATTTATTGGAAAATTAAGAACCCTAAATCAAAACATTAAGTTAAACAACAACTAACAAACAAACAACAAGAAGTAAATAAATCAAGTTAACAACAATCTTAATCAAGCAATCAAGCATAAAATGGAATTGTTTCCTTTTCAGCGCCAGGTACCCAAAACTCAGCAATGTCCCGGAGGATGGCATCAAAAGCACTGTTCCCAGGCGGCAAATTTGCCACTTTCCTTGCACATACTTAACGCAAATAGTAATTCCATTGGACAACCGTAAAAAAAAATTTACCACCCTCGATATTGGAAAAGAATCAAAAAGTCACTTTGTGTCGAATTTTGAAAAATATTTCTAGTGACTAGAGGTGGTATGATTTTTGGGATCAAAATTGTCTTCTTGGGGTCGCAAATTTTCGACACATTTTCTATTTCATGGAACTTTTCTTCCACCACCATGAGCCACCTTTAAATCCACCATCCAAATAGTGCAACAAGAAACTTATTAAATCAAATCAAACTTTCTCGGTTTGATATCCCGATGAATGATCTCGTTTTCGAAGAGACACAAAAGGCCAGCAAAAAGGTGTTCAGCCCAACACAAAACTGTCTTCATATTGTAAATAACGGAGGGACTTCTATAAAGCACTGAAAGAAGGATTAACAGAGAGTTATTTAACAGAAAATTGACCATCAAATAATGATCCTCGTTCACAGAACTCCATATAAATGACCATATTAGTTTTGTCGAGCTTCAAGTCGAAGAAATGAACGATATTTGGATGTGGAAGCCTTTTCAGTGTTTCCCTTTCCTTTTCGAAGAGTTCATTCATCGGAAGACGAGAATCGTAGTCGATGTATTTGGCTGCAATTACTCTAAAAAATTCTAGTACTGAATATTTGGAATAAAATTCACGGATGATGATTGGGCACAGATTTGACTCCACCGAAACCCCCACATCCCAAAAAAAGCTGAAAGTTTAGCTTTTAGTGTTTAATAACTTTTGCAACTTCGGTAGCCGTTTCCCCAACAAAGCTAGTCCAAGAGTCTGGCAGGAGTATTTCTTCGGTTTGTTCTTTCGAAATCTCTGAACTGAAGTTGAAGCGCCGACTGACCACCGCTTTTGTGAGTCTATTATCGAAACCGATTGGCCGGAGTAATTGCTTCTGTTTTTCGCAAATCAACGGAAAGAATGGGAATTTCTGATACTCCTAAAAAAACAACTCACTTGTTCAACTTAACCTATTTAGTTTTTGCTTACCAAATTGAGGTGCACAATTTGTGGATAAATAGAATCAATCGTTGCCCTTTCGGTTTGTCTCATTTTTTGTGCAACTAAAATTGTTCGTTTAAAGTTTGGTTAATTGCCGATTTTTGTGCAGATCAACTTCGAACGTTAAAATTCAAACAGAAATTATATACAGTGCGTTTTACATTAAGTAGTGTTCCTTCCAAAATGCCCGTATCTCGAAAAATGTCAAAGGAATCAATGTTGGTGTCAATTACAAAAAGAAAGAGCACAGTGAAAAACCCTAAAAAAACACTCTTTTTGGATTACTTTACTTTTCAAAAATAATTTTTTTAACTAATTAGGCTTTTCAGACCGTTTCATATTAAGAAAAACAACATTTTTTAATTTTTTTCGCCCTTGTTAACTTGTTTTTTTGTTTCCCTTTTAATATGTTTATTTTGTTTATTTTACATTTTGCTCCTTACAAACATCTATCGGATTACGAAAAAGGACAAATTGATGCTCGCCACCGCCTGGGAGGAGCCGACAATTCACTAAGGAGAATTGCGAAAGATTTGGGCCGCTCTGACAACACAATTCGTCTATATTTGAAGAACAAAACCTCCGCCACCGCCAAAAAGAAAACTGGACCAAAGCCGAAGCTCACGCCTCGTGCCAAACGTCAAATTGTGAACGGCATTCACGGTTTATCGATCAACGACGTCAAGACACAACTGCAAATAGATGCTTCCAAGACGACAATCCTGGCGTGCTGTCAGGGAAAATCCACATATTGACCGTCAACTTTTCAACCACGCCCCGCCTTGAAAGATAGACATAAAGAAGCCAGCCTCCGCTTTGCCAAAACTCACATGAATCAGGACTGGACAAACGTTTGGAACCATTTGGATTCAATTAACTTTTGTGTTTAGGTGATCTTCTCCGATGAGAAAAAGTGGAATCTTGATGGAGCAGGCGGGGTTTCGCATTATTGGAGAGATCCTCAAAAGGATCCAATCTTTTTTCGGGACGCGAAACTATGATGGAGGAAATGTAATGGTTTGGGCGGCCTTCTGTGCCAATGGAACCGTCTCTTTGGAGTTCATTTCGAACAAAATGAACAGCAAAAATTATGTGGACCTGCTCAAAGTGGCTCTCTTACCATTTCTACAGCAAAATCCCGCCATTGCCTACATCTACCAACAAGATAACGCGTTGATTCACACCGCTAACTACACAATGGGCTGGTTCGCTGCCTCCGCCATCGACGTTTGGACTGGCCTTCTTGCTCACCGGACCTCAATCCGATCGAAAACCTTTGGGGGAGAGGTTTACAAGAATCACCGGCAGTAACAAGACGCTTCTCAACTTAAAGCGTCGATCAGAATGGCTTGGAAAGGTCTCGACGTCGCCGTCCTTCAGAACCTCGTCAAGAGTATGCATAATCGGATTTTTCAAGTGATAAACCGTTCTGGACGTATTACTGATTATTAGCTGTTGCTATCGTTTTGTTTTTCCTTGTTAAAGTTTTTCTTTTACTTGAAACAAAATCTTTTTCAAGTGCGCTACTTAATATGAAACGGTCTGAAAAGCCTAATTATTAAAAAAATTGTTTTTGAAAAGTAAAGTAATCCAAAAAGAGTGTTTTTTAGGGTTTTTCACTATGCTCTTTCTTTTTGTAATTGACACCAACATTGATTCCTTTGACACTTTTCGAGATACGGGCATTTTGGAAGGAACACTACTTAATGTGAAATGCACTTTATTTTGTAAAAGTTTTTCCAAAAACAGCACCTATCGACTAGCTGAGCAATTCGATGTTTACAATTTGGCGTCGGCAGTACAGCTTTCAGAGTCAACAGATCTTTTTGAAAGCGTTGATTTTCCCATGTTCCATTATCATATTGTGAAAAGGTTTCCCTAAATGAATCTTGTAAAAAAAAAAAGTCAAAATCAAGTTTGTACGTTGTAAATTAGATTTTGAGAAAGTTAGTCTTGAGAAAATTTTTTTAGAAATCTTTTGTATAAATAAATACTCAGCCATTTGATTTACGCTTTGTTGCATTAGAAAGCTCTAGCCTTCTTCTACAAAAACGTTTTTTTTCAAATTTTGAAAATCTTAGTTTCAAAATGTTTTCCATGGGTCCAAAGAGAAGCAGTCAAAAATTGAGATTCTTTGAAGATGTTGTTTAGACACTCTTGTCCCCAGAAATCTATTTTAGTGTCAAGAGAAAAAAAAGAAGAGAACATCAAAAGTTAGGCCTAGAGCCAAAATTTTAGAACAATTCACTCAGTCGTTTTCATTTTTCACTCAAAACATGATTTTTTCGAAAAATGGATTTCACCGTTGATCTGACCATTAGAAACTTTGCAAATTGGGGGGGACAAATGCGACCTTTTTTTGCGCACCTGGACATTTGCGCACCTTTTTTGCTGGCTTCAAAAATGAGTTTTCATAGAAGGGAATCGTATGCGTAGATTCCGAATTTCGAAAAAATCAGACCTCGCTGACACGTCCAATTTGGGCTAAAAGGCAAAAACTACGCAACTTAACGCTTTTCCGCAGTTTTTGCCCTTTAGCCCAAATTTGACGTGTCAACGAGGTCTGATTTGTCGAAATTCGGAATCTACGCATACGATTCCCTTATATGGAAATATTTTTGAAGCTCTACGACCTTTCCTAAGGTCTTTTCCAGCAAAAAAAAGGTGCGCAAATGTCCAGGTGCGCAAAAAAAGGTAGCATTTGTCCCACCCCCCAAATTGGCTAAAAATGAGCGAAATCAAATAAAAAAAATGCATGTTACAGCAAACCGTAAAGCAAACGGTTGGCTCATTTAGGAGAATATTTTATAAAAATTTTACACTTAAGACTCACAGTTGGAACTTGTGCGCCGCAGGGACTCCAACCCGCGACCTTTCGCTTACTGCTAACCATGCTAACACCACAACGCACCTGGTCTCCTAACTTTACAAACAAAGTTACAAAGTTAACTCTAACTTTACAATCTAATACAAACGTTCTTTCGATAATCTCACAAAGCACAAGTCCAGCCGAATAGAGATCACTTTGAGCATTGATTTGAACACCAAAAAGTTCCTGCGCTATCTAGAAAAGAATTTTCAAAACAAAACTTGTTTCACCTGTTCGTTTCCCAAGTCTTTTTGATACGAAAGCAGATAAGCCTAAGATACAGATATTCAGTCATTTCAATTAACAAGTCCAATCTCATACAACCTCTGGACTCAAGCATTGTGAGGTGGCTGCTTGATACTCCTTTCCACTACCCATTTCCGAAAGATCTTTTGTGCACCCAAAGTCAGAGACTTTCAAAGTAAAGTCATTCGTCAGTAAGCAACTAAAATACTATTTGAAAACGTTAAACTTCTTTTATGACTTGGTGACTTTAATGTCACGATGCAAAATCTGTCGCTTGGATAGAAAAAAGAGTGCAGAAAGTAGGTGTTCTGCCCAACAGATCACCGTTTTCATGTTATAAATCACATTCGGGTTTTCAAGAGCTAAAAAATATGTCTGATTTTACAGTGGGTAATTGTGATGCAAAGATTCGAACTAAAAAGTTTTGCTATTAGGTTGGCAATGATGAAATGTCGTTTTTTACATAAAACTATTTTTAAGAATGATCAAGCAATCAATCAAAAGACAAAAGATCAACCAAAAGATCAATTTTGCCATTCAAAAGATCTATCTTTTCTCATCAAAATGGTTTAAATGATTTTGAAACACTTCTGTTTTGGAGGCTTTCGGGAGGAGTGAAGGTGGATAGTCAAAAACGCAGAGAGCGTCTAGTTAGATGGATTTTTGATCGTCTAGTTAGATGGACATCTAGCTTTTTTTGATGAGAAGCTAATATATTTTTTTGTGCAAGTGAAAGGTCAAACTCTTTTACATTTTCAGTAAAATTTTCAGCCAAACTCGTCAAGCCACTTTTTCTATCTAAGTTCCTCAAAAACACCTCAAACGAGCCAAAAATTCCTTATTTCAAACCATTTTTCAAAAAAAAAATTCTGAAAAACGGCTGGACCAATTTGATTGAAAATTTGAGTGCATATGTAAAAAATATCGATTTTTCTTTTGCGTGAGAAATTAAAATATATGCATGTTAAAAAGTTGTAAAATTGATTATTTCCTATTTATGCCAATTTCGGCTACTTTCATTTGCGCGCCCCGAAAACCTCGAAAATAAAAGTTTTGCAAAATCATTTAAAAGGGATTTTAGAGAGGAAAGATAGATCTTTTGAATGGCAAAATTGATCTTTTGATTGATCTTTTGTCTTTTGATTGATTGCCTGATCATTCTTAAAAATAGTTTTATGTAAAAAACGACATTTCATTATTGCGAACCTAATAATTTAGGAAATTGGGATGAAATGTTTACTGGCATTTAGTGACTTCCTCTCGCAATACTCCATAAACAATGTGAAATAGTTATGATCTCCATTCCAACCATAGTAGTAAACAACATTCGGATGCTGCAGTCCCTTAAGGGCTTTCCACTCTTCGTCGAATTTCCACCGCTTAGAGGCGTCTAGATTTGTCAAGTATTTTGCAACGATTGGTCTGCAACTTATTATTTTTGAAAAGTTAATTGAAGAAACTAACGGATGTCGTTCTCTTATCAATTCCACTCGCGCAATCGATCCATATCCAATCACTTTCGGCTCAATGCGTCTCCATTTCACCCATTTTGGGTCCTCATCAAAGACCAAATCCATTTTTTGTTTACCTGATTCTTTGGGGGCAATCAATTTGGAAAGTATTGAAACAGCAAGCAAATTGGACATCACTTTTTTCAGCTTAATGATCAGTGACAAAAATTGAAATAATTTTTCCCAAAACTTTTCTCTTTTTTTGTGATCAATATGTTATCAGTTTTGCAAAACAGAAGGTCTAGAAGAGAAATGTCTTTTTAGAGGTCTCAGATAAGGCTTTTGGTGGATTTGTTTTTCAAAAAGTTTAAAACTTTTATTGTTACTTTGAAGATCAATGTTTCGCACGGATAACCAAGAAAATTTCCCGTGGAAACAAGTCTTCAAAAGATGCCACTCTGTCGATTTACTGAATTTGGAGAAGGTTCAACTTTTTCTTGCATTTTGACTTTTCCTTAGGAAAAGTCAGCTAGAAGTCAGCTAGTAACTTTTATAAAAGTTACTAGTTCAGCTAGTTAGCCAAAATATTCTCAGAGATAGTTATAAAAGCAAATTTCAAGCAAACACCAAATAGCTTCAGGTTTGTAAACGATTCCATCAACTGATTTCATTGAACAACCTCTTTTGGAAAGACCTTTGTGCAAGAGATGGAGTTGAAATTCCTCCAAATCACATCACCGACTCACCCAACGAGCAAGTAAGCTCGATTTTCTTTCTAATTTCTTAATGTTTAGAAGCAAACTTTCAACTATCGTTACCTTTACCATTTTGCATCGAAAGGTCATGTAAATCCATATGGCCCAAACATTATCGCCGACTTACCGATCAACGCAAAACAGGCTGAGGAGTATTTGATTGAAAACGAAAGCTGGATTTCTTGTAACGTAGAAGGGTTTAGTCTTTGAAAGACTTCTCTTCTAGAAAGCTTTAGATGTACATTGGAAGAGCCTCCAATTGGGTACGACTTGAAAAAAGGACCCGCAAAGTGTCTAGCGACATCGAATTCTTGGGGATGGAGGCTTATTATGGTGAATCTCGAGAAATGCGGCATTGAGGTCAAAATTGAGCACTATACTAGTTGAGGGGGCACCTTTTTTTCTTCAAAACTACCTTTTCTGGGGTAGTTTTATGTGTAGATTCCGAAAAACACAACGAGAGCTTGAGAAAATGCGTTTTAAGCCGAGTTTCGGAGCTCCAAAGTGCGCTATCATACAGTGTTGTGATCAGAGGGATACACTTAGGAAAGAGGTCTAAAAATAGCCTCGGAAAACATTTTTTGAAGCTAAAAACACTTTTTCAGACATAATTTAACCTACTGATTACGGTTTCTGATCAAAATGGAGCAAAATAAAAAAAATATTTTTTTTTCAAATTTGGTCATGTGATCTGAGTCATGAGTCAAAATCTCAAAAAATATTTTCTCAATTTCCTTGGCCTCTATCGGTCAATTTATGTTAGAAAATGAATATTTAGTGGTTAAAAATGGCTTTCGCTCTAGTTTTAACCTTGAAAAGTGTCCCAATAGTCGATAAGTTGGGCTCCATAAACAGGGTGGGCGATAAGTGTCCGGAAAATATTTTACACTGATTGAGCACTTAAAAACAGAAGCTATTTTGAGCTGGACTAGCAATAGTTTGGCGAAAGAACTAAAGTTTCATTCATTTATTCAAAACCGTTTTCCGATTTGTCGCTCTATTCGCATTTTCTAGGAGTCTTTGTCCGACATTTAAGATCTCTCTGCGGCGTAGCTTCTTACTGAGCATTTATGAGTGTTACCACTGAGTTCATTATTAGAAAACATCTTTTAGTATCATTAGAACGTTTTTTGTAAGTTAACAAGTTAAAATTTGGCCTTGCGCTTAGTTTTTTTAAAGTAAGTAAAGTGGTCCATCTAGCCATTTTATAAAAGAAAACCCAATTTTTCCGGAAACTTATCGGCCCGTATAGGGTGGCGCACAATTACCCGCACTCAGTTCAAATTCACATTTTGAACTTTGATCCCAAATTGAAATTCATTGTTTTCTAGTAAAAATGAGCTATATTTTGGAAGTAATAAGTGAAAAAAAGAGTAAATGAAGCTGGTTTTCTTTGATTTTGAGGCATTGAAACTAGTTACAAAAACGAGAAAATCGCGATTCCGCCACAGGAAACGCGCAACTTTGCAGCTCTCTAGCAAAACTTTAGAAAATTTTCTGATCAAATCCAGAAAACACATTGCAAGAAAAATATTCAATTTGATAATAAAAAAAGAATTAGGTCGATTGATTGACTCTTCGCAAAGTTGGAGAATCTGAACTGAGTGCGGGTAATTGTGCGCCACCCTGTGGTGAAGTACCCTATAGAAGCGCGCACTTTAGAGCCGCAAAACTTGGCTTAAAACGCCTTTTCCGAAGCTCTCGTTGTGTTTTTTGGAATCTACGCATAAAACTACCCCAGAAAAAGTGGTTTTGAAGAAAAAATCGTGCCCATCAACTAGGATAGTACCCAAAATTGTTTTTTATTCTTTTGCTTTTTAAAAAAACCTTTTTTATTGATATGGCTGACACCAAAATGACAAAGTGAAGGGAGTGGGACAAATGCGACCTTTTTTTGCGCACCCGGACATTTGCGCACCTTTTTTTTCCGCACCTTGCCCATTAGCGCACCTTTTTTCGCGTTTTAAAAAAGCTCTAAAAAGCTAATATTAACCAATTTCTATTCCAAAAGTTGTTTTTCTAGGTAATTTTAGGGCGTAGAATCGAAATTTTGACATATCAGAGCTTGTGGAAACAAACGGACGGAGTTATACAAAGAGAAAAATCGACAATTTTCTGTAATTTGATCTAGCCAGACAAAACGTCTTTCAAATTGGTTCCACACGCTCTGTTATGTCAAAATTTTAATTCGACACCCTCAAATTACCTAGAAAAAAAACTTATGAAATAGAAATTGGTTAATATTAGCTTTTTAGAGCTTTTTAAAACGCGAAAAAAGGTGCGCTAATGGGCAAGGTGCGGAAAAAGAGGTGCGCAAATGTCCGGGTGCGCAAAAAAAAAAGGTAGCATTTGTCCCACTCCCCAAAGTTAATTATCTTTTGTCATATAAAGCTCTTAATTAATACAGTAGTTGTTGTGTCCAAATGTTTTCTAAAACAATCTAAAACAAATCATCCTTGCTTTAGAGTTCAAAGATCAGAATTTTTCAAGTTAATTTTTTTATTAGAGCTTTTTCAGCCATGGATACTCGATGACGTTCGACCGACGATAATCGTAACGGAAAAGCACGCTCCTCGATCCGATTGTGGGGCAATTTACATGTTTGGAGCTGAAGTAGGTCAAAAATTTAACAATTTTTGAACAATTCCATTAAAGATGGCAGAAAGTGAAGAAAAACTCCTTGAGAAACTTCGATTTCCAACCGAAAATGGAGCGCTTATTGAACGCAAATATGCACAAAAAGCTGGTGTGTGAGCGGTATTTTTGAATTATTTCAATTTTGTTTTAAAAAATTTCAGAACAAAATTCATCAATAAACTGCTGGACATAATTTTACAGCCACTCAAACAAAAGTTGAAATTTTTGACTGAATAACTGCGTTTTCTTTTGTTCTTTCATTTTTATTCAACTAATGTGTCTTTTTTAGGTAAAATGGATAAGGGGAAACGTATGATTGATCAAGAAAGAAATCGAATCGATTGCAAAACATTGCCCCGATTCACGCCAGCCAAGGCACTAGGGATTGGCTGCAACGAAAACATATCATAACTTGCTTTCTAGTCCTGGGCTCCGGTCCAGACTTCGCTAGGTCTAGCAAAATTTACTAGTTTCACCCCAGAACAAAATGAAATGAACAAGAATGAAAAAAAATGAAATTCCGCGCAAACTGGGTGGGGTACGGGGCAGTTTTACCACGCTTTAAAGTGCCCAGCCAGGATTTTCTCGGAAAAAGGTCGCAAGTCCAAAACTTTCTCCGCACTCTGTATGTCCAACAGTATACATTTCCTTTATAAAGTCGTATCTTTTAGGTCAACCCTGGACTCTAGAGACTCTAAAAGTGAACTATCCTCCCGGAATGCGAAATCTTTGTCTCTACAGTTATGCTAAAGACACACAGGTTATAAAAATGAGAGATAAAAGTGATGATTTTTTTTGAAAATTCTAAAATTTCAGAACTGGAAAGGGAACTATGGGATGAAGTTCGGCGAAACGTCTATTCGATTAGAGTTTACAGAGGACCCAACATCGAAAATAAATGAAAATGTTTTCAACAACGAATTGTGCAATTTAAGAAACATTTTTCCGTTTCGAATTTCGAAAAGTTTTAGGTGAACGAATTGGAAGAAGAAAGGATTTCTCCGAAAAGTTTCAGTCCTCCCGAAAGCTTCACTCTTTTTGAATCAGATTCCTTCGAATCCGAGCTTTCAGATGAGGAAAAAAGCTTCCAATTGGGTTAATATTCATTTGTTTTTTCAAGATTTGATACTCACAAGGGATCCCCAGCAGATCCCCCAACATTGTTTGGCTGGAAACAGAGTGTTTCTGATGCAGAATTTCACGGTGATTCTGAATCTGTAATCAGAAGTTCCTAAAGCCTCAAGCAAAAAACATATTCAACTTTTCCGTAACATTTTTTTGCAGCGCGCAATAAGATCCTTTTTCACGTGGTGGTCCTTTTTCACCTCATTGGCCTAGTGGTTAGTGCGCTTGTGTTATAGGCGAATCGCCTTTTTGCATGGGTCCAATCCCCCGTACCGCCATCTTTTTTTGCTTTTTGATTTTTTGTGTCACATTGACTTTTAATTAAACAAATTCATTATCTTTATAATGATATAATCTAAAATAGTATACTCATAATAGTAAGAAACTCATCCAAGAGGTTTGGTAAAATAACATGCATTTTATCTGCATAATTTAGAACGGAGACTTGATGAATGAGGTGAGATTGAGCAATGCTGCTCTTTCGGAGGTACATATTTTTGCCAATAATATTGTATGTGTTCATTTAGGCCCAGCGCCAACAACGCAAGCACGATCAGCAATGCAATGCACGATATAACGAAATAATTACACTAAAATAGATAGATAGGACAGTCATAACATTCAGAAGATTTTTGAGATCGTTTTTTCTAAAACGTAATTTGTCTCCTCACGTTTTTTGGGTTGAACCAAAATGCATATAACGAATTTTTTTAAGTAAAAACCAATTAGACACAAAAAAATCGAAAAGCAAACAAAAGCTGGCGGCAAGGGGATTGAACCCAGGCAAAAAGACTGCGGGTTGCCGACGCAAGCGCGCTAACTACTAGGCCAATGAGGTAGTTGGAACGACCACGTGAAAAAGGATCTTATTGCACACAGATTCGGAATCACCGTGAAATTCTGAAATCAGAAACACTCTGTTTCCAGCCAAACAATGTTGGGGATCTGCTGGGGTTCCCTTGTCAACTAAATCACTTTCAAAAACTAGTTTAACAGAATAACATACTTTTCAACTATGTTAGCTAGTTTTTCGTTTTTTGTTTTGTTTTGTTTTGAAAAAGTTTCCCAAAAAATACTTAACCTTTAAGATGAACCAACTCAACCCAACAATCGAATCATTGTCACCTTACACGAAATCGTTTTCGACCGAATTGACACCAATAAATGTAAACACGGAACCGTATTCAAATTGATTGGATATCAGCCGTTAGTCTTCAAGCTTTAAAGTTTAAGCAATTATTCGAATTTAAGACCTGCAACGGTGAAATACTGGAGTGGTGTAACGCGAGATCGAATCGATGAGTTCAAAAAAAATTACGAGGCACTCAACAGTTTGGATCATCCGAATCTGATCAAATTCATGAAATGTGTCGAATCCTCTACAGATCCTCAAGAAAGATTTGCTGTTGTCACTGAATATTACGAGAGAGGCACTCTGTCGAATTGTAAGTAAAAAATGAGAATCATTTGAGAGTCTCTGAATCATTTAATTCCTAGTGAACTTTTGAAAGAGTTTTTAAAAATAAAAGACATTTTTAAGTGAGCTATTTTTAGTATTATATGATGGTTTAGATACTTTTCTACATATTGTATAAAGTTAAAATCAGTTAGATTCAAAACTTCTAAGCTAAAGTGAAGTTGTGATCACAAAAGTAGTTCAAAAGTGTACCCATCAGTTATTTTGAAAAGTTCACGATATTGCTATAAAGTCGAACATTGATATAATGAAATTGAAATTCTAAAATGTGCCCAAAATTTCTGCGTAGATGATGCAGCCAAATGCAATCATTGGCGTCCAGGGCAACTACGCTTGGGGCACGTTTTAAGTTCGTTGCATCGAAGTTTTTCGTCCCAAACAATTCGTTATATCGAAGTTCGACTGTTATAAATCAAATAAAGACCAAAATAGCACATGAAGAAGTGTTTCCAGTTATTCTAAACCCGAAAAATTTGTACACCATAAAGACGGTGATCTCTTGGACTCGAGGTCTTTTCGATGCACTGGCTAACAGCTATGAAAAGTTAGGCTACTTACACGGGGATATCAATCCTGGAAAGTAAGGATGCCTTCAAATTTTGTATAACTTTAAATTTAGCATTTTCATTACAAAAGATTGGTCGATAAAGTTGGGAGATTTCGGAAGTGTTGGCTTTGGTAATGGGACTTTAATTGAGACTTTTCAAAAAGTTCGATACTTTGCTCCGGAAATGGGAATTTCTGTGGAAAGTGATGATAAAACAAGAAAAGTAACTTGCAAATTCACATCAAATACTGTTTGTTTTTCAGCGATACCTTCATCGAAACGATGTTTACAGTTTGGGACTTGTTCTTTGGGAATTAGTGGAGCGAAGGTAATTAAAAGACGTTATATTTAAAAGATCCCCTTTAGACGAGTGTATTTGAAGTTCGAAAAATACGATGAAAACAGTCAGACAATCGTTTTCAACGAGACACTTTTTTCGTCACTCAATCAACGTTCGAAGTTTTGATTTCGAAAGGATTGATTGCTTCAAAGATTTGAAGGAGATTTTCAACAACTGCACAAAGTTTGAATCGATTGAGAGACCAGATGCAAAAGATGTCCAAAAAGAACTGGCTGAGCTTGAGGTTTAGTACTAAAAATCTAAAAGTACAGTCATTCTAGAAAAGCTCTATTCTTGATGGTCTTGAAGAAGAACCAAGATTTGATGCAGATCAAGTGGAATTGGTGAAACCTGAAGGATTCGACAGATCCTCGCGTCAGGGTTTGGTGAGTGGGTTTAAAGTTTAAACGATCGGTGAGTGGGTTTTGGATGAAAATTGAAGTTATTCAAGAACCTTTTGTTGTTTGGTTTATCTAGTTGTTCAGATTTCAAAGTCTCTTCAATCTGTTGACGATTTTCTCGAACCGGGAGTCAGTTTTAGTTCTGAAGAATCTATTGAAGACAAAGAAGAATCCTTTTTAAAAAACGATTTAAAGGAAGAACCTTTAGAAGTGTTCCTTAGAAAGAAACTCTCAAATGTTGATTCTCAAATAATACGGAAAATATTTAAAGAATTGAACTTGTCCGAAAAGAATCAATTCCGTCAAAAGTCAATGGTTTCTATGATGAAATCATGAAAAAGAAGGAATTATTTGATGACTTGGACAAAGAGATTTTATTTTTGAATACCGAAAGTTTAGAGCCATTTAAAAGGATTCAAAAAGTTCTTCAAGATATTCTTTTTAAAATCAAACGTCAACAAGCTCATGCTTTTTGTAATTTTTTCACAGTTCTTTCGAAAGCCAATCGAGCACACTTTTCACCGAATGGACATCACAAGAAATTCACTAAAGTAATCGAAAAATTTGAGAAAAATAAGCCAATTGAAACGATCGCGATTTTCTTCAAATGTTACATTTCGACGAGTACACAAAAGAGTGGCTTTTTCTTCGAGATATCCCCGAAATCAGTTGCAGTTTATTTGTGGACAGAAATTTAAATGAAGTTGAGCAATTTTTTGGAGTCTGGAGAGAAGATCGAAAAGTGCTGACCCTTAAAGAGGATCGGAAAACATGGCAATCAGTTCGTTGTGGCCTGAATTCGGGTTCATTGCTGTATTCTCACGATTTACCCATTGACCACTCGATGTTACTCGAAAGCATGAAAGCAAAAAAGTAAACGAATTCAAAGAGTTGCAAATCTAAAAGCGGAAAACATTTTATCATTAAAGAAAATGAACAAATCGAAATTCAAGTTACCATCGAAGATTGGCCGCAATTTACCGATACCTGGCTACTGTTTCCAGATACGAAATCCGCCCAGGGCTTACTGTAATCAAGAGGTTAAATGCCTTGAATCAGAGCTGGAAATGATTCGATTCTATGGGTGCTCATCGAAGAAAGCAAAAGCCTATCTAAAAGCTTTCCTGAGTTTTTGTAGAGCATTTGACAAAATGCAGTACTCTCAGAGCTCAAAGACAAATAGAAAATACAAACTCGAGAAGGTTAGTGCTTTCAAAAAGCCATACTTTGTTTTCCTTCAATGTCCAAATTTTTTTGAGTCATGGAAATGGAGAAAACTTGATCCTTCTTGATCAACCAAAGAATTATCAAAATGGAGAAATGATCCCTGCAATTGACTTTGAGCATATTCTTTATGAAATTGAGGCTTCAATTCTTGCTGAGCACATGAGAAAATACACACACAAATTCTCGTTTATTTTGATGTCATTTGAAAAGAAAGTCATCAAATATAAATGCCTGCATCAATTCAAAAATCAATAAAGTTTTTTCTTTATCTTTTTTTGGTATCTAAAGCTTTTTTAGGGATTTATCGATTTCAACTTTTCATAAAGTTTTAACTTTTCTATGCCTTGTGTTTTTTTTGAAACGATTTTGAATAAAGACATTGCCGTTTTTTTACAAATTTCAGCCCAATAGTTGACTATCAATGAATGATAGATTTTAGGAAGTTTGTAAGAAAGAAGAGATAATTAAATTAATAACTAAGTTATTTAAGTTCTAGGCTACTGTTTGAGCTCCAAATCCTAGACAAAAGTGTGCACCGGGGGAGCCTCCTCAGTAGGAACCCGGTGATAGTTTCAAATTTGCTATTCATTAAAATGGAAAAGAATGAAATGAAATATAACAGTTTGTTGTTGAAAACAAACACTAGAGATCGTAAATATGCATGCAGCTCATTTATCTTTCTTTATTCTTTCTGATGGAATTTCAACTTACTTTTACGACCAGGTAGTGTCACAGGTGACAACTCCTGGTCGTAAAAGTAAGTTGAAATTCTTAAACACAAATTGAAACTTTAAATTTGTCAAATTATTCAAATACAACCCTTTGATCGTCAGTAATTGAGTAACCGATGTACGTTGTATAGCTGTTATTGAGTGACATGCAAATGAAGTGAGCCTCTAAGCAACCATCAGAGTCCGTTCTAACCTTTTCAAATTTCATATTATTCAAATTTACAATTCTGTTGAATCTTTGCTAAGTGAGACAGAGTTGAAAGTAAAAAAAGGCATTAAACATTCTACTTCAATGTCACTTCTGAAAGCGTTGCAATCAAAAGTCCATCATCATCGGGGACAAAGTAATTGCGCACAAAGTAGTCGGAGATATTTTGTGCAGAACTTGCACAAGAGACTGAAAGATATCTGAGTTTTAAAATGTTGATTTAAAGTAATGGAATAAACTCTTTCGATTTCACAAAGCAAAGCATCAAAGTTGAACAACACAGTTGTTGAAAATCTCCTTCAAATCTTTGAAGCAATCAATCCTTTCGAAATCGTAGTTGTAGTCGTTGTGGTTAATGTGATTGTCGTTTTTGTTGTTGTAGCTGGCTTTATCGTGGTTGTGGCTAATGTGACTGTCGTTTTCGTCGTCGGTTTTGTTGTTGTGACAGTGGTTGATTGGGTTGTTCTAGGCGTTGTTGTTGTCGAGGTTGTCGTGGTCTTTCTGGTAGTTGACGTCTTGCAAGTCGTCGTTTTCGAGACACATTTCGGAGGATCATTATAGAGGGATGACTGAAAGAAACGGGTGACTGATGATTGAGACTCGATTTAAGCCTTAAGCAGAGAATGATTCTAGGCCTAGAAGTCTTTTCTTTGCATTCGATTTTCTATCAACTCACATTTTGATAACACTGCTGTTTGGAGGGACAAACAGTCCAGCTACACGACGTGCATGGCTGGTTCCATTGATAGCCTAGAAAAAACAGACTGAAGAGTGATCTTCTACAAAACCCTGTAAAAACCAACCATTCTCATCGTTTCCAAATCTCGTTTTCGACTGAGAATTTCCCCTTCAATTACTGCTTATATTCGACCAATTAAAACGTCTTCATTTCTTTTCATAAACACCCTTTCTTATCTCATGGAAGCAACGTTGAAAATCTTGGATCTTGGAGGTTAAATACTTGTTGGCAGGCAAGGTCTAATTTTGGTTTGTCTTTAATGGAAAAAGACACGGTTTTTGTAGAATGACTGATTTAACGTATGTGTCCAGTCAGTGTGCCCGATGGTGCTTTTTTTATACAAGGTTAACAACGAATAATCAATCATTTCCACAAATTTATTTATTCTCTACCAAATTAACACAAAGGCGATGACTTGCAAACGTATGCTGGATACACTTGATTTGTGTCGATGGCTTCATATCCGGCCATCCACAATCCACCACCGCATCCTGTGTCACAATTCGGTGGCAATGATCGAAGCTGAATTATTTGTTGATGTTAAACGCGTTTTTAGAATGGACCAAACCAAGACCGAGGTGTTTGGCCCATCGGGATTTGTAGTACAGAAGTGCGTGTAATTTGTGGAGCTTCCATCCATCCAATATTTCAAAACTGCTCCTATAAAGGGGCTGTTCGAAAATTTCAAAAAAACGACAAACCATCGAATACTCCTCCAGTCAGCACACTGCCCGCTTTGAATGGAAAACTTCCCGAACAAGAGCCATCATAAGACATATCTATTGGTTAAACGAATCTTTGATTGAAAAATTTGTGTATCCGTTTCCAGGGTACTTTATGTACTAGAAAATGTACCTGCAATGAATTTATTCTCATCGAGATTTGCAATAGAGGTTAGATGACCATTTAGCTGACCAGCTTTTATGATACAATTAGATTCGGCATCCATTAGTGCACGATTATGACCCAACTAGATTCGAATTTTACCAATTTTTTTTTCATAATCGGCTCTTGCATAGTAACAGCTATCCGTTTGATCGTAGTATTGCCAACCGGAGGGACATTTGTCTGAACAATTTTTGCTATCAGGGAATTCAAAGATTCTTCGAGATATTCAGCTATCGCAAGCTAAATATCGTGTAAAGTGTAACAATAAAAGTTAGCCGAAGCAATTCAAACTTTTATTTAAGCAAACTAAGGGTATATTAAGATTTCAAATTTCCCTATAGAAGTCTACCACTTTAACTGCAAACCCATTTGCCGCTGCGGAAAGTTGACAAAAGTAGGGACTCGTTCCTCCACAACTTCCGCCAAACCACCAGCCATCGTCGATTCCCAAATAAGCACACTCATCATCAGCTGATGGCTGACCTAAATAAACAGTTGCTGTTGTAGTTTTTGTTAAGAATAAAACTAGTGTAATTTGTGGAGCTTCCATCCATCCAATTGCAGGCAAATTCGAGTGTAAAAAAACTAGTTCTGCGTAAAATCCTTTGAGAAATTCTACAAAGAAATTGATCGAACAGATCATTCTGAAAATTTGGCTATAAAACTAACTTTTTTGAAACGCTATCTTTTTGTTATTGACACCAAGATAGGTTTTCGTGGGACTAAAGTGTATTAGTTTCCACGTGTGTAGCGGTAGGATAAATTTGGGTGTGGGTTTTTGAAATGTGGTGTGTGTTTGTTTACGTGTGTTTGAAAGATATAAGTGGACTTTCCCTGCCACTCCCGACACAACCAACAACCGGTCTCAACGCCTCCGAAGTCAGAGGGGAGCCTCAGGAATAAACGACCGACCTGTCTTGCATTCCGGAAGATTATGTTAGTTGTTTATTTACATAAGTAATGACAATCTTTAGTGAGTCAAATAGAATGAAGAAATATGTCGATAGAAAGGGACCGGGGGAACACATCACTCCAGATGATCTAAACTTAAATTTTTATAAGAACAAGCATCAACACAACCTGTGCCCAATCGATACCTTGATTCCGTTGTGCGAACGATACACGATCGACCTTGTGCTGCTCTTTAAGACTCGGAGCTTGCTTTATAAGTTACCGCTTGAGAATGGGTGAACGAAAAATCACGTTGTGAACAGTTTTCCGGCAAACGGGCAGCTTTATGTCTTTTCTAATCGTTTCAAGCGAGTCCATTGAGTTAGCGGCTTGTCGGACAATTGCTCTTTCGCATCTTTCGGAGAGCTTGGGCTTTCTTCCATCGGCATGTTTAACATTGGAAGTTGACCGGGTATGAAGATACTTTTGAATGCAGCATCGAGAACGCTTCACACGTTTTGCAATTGCTGCTTGGCTCCATCCAAGTGTGTGCAACACGTCGGCCTGAGTTTGCTCCACCAAATCCAGCTTCTTTCCGAATGACATCTCTGAAAAATAAAAAAATAATCGAAATCATTAATATAAAAACAACAAAAAATGAAAACACTTATGAGTAAACACAGAAAAAAAAGATGATTTCAAAAGGTACACGACCTTTCAAAAGGTACACGCCCACGACAACGTCAATAGTCGGCTTCATAGAGGCTTCGGGTGGAGTGAAGAGTACCACCAAAGTCGAATGAATTGTGAAAGATCCACAAATTGAAGCCATCGCTGGTAAGAGACCAAAATCACGGTATCTTGTACTTTAAAAAAACTAATTTTTATTTTTTTTGACGCAAAAGGTAATATTTTTTGCTTTTCTTTTAAAAAATAATCAATCGTTAAGCAAAAACCGTATGGATTGTTGTTTTTTTTGAAAAAAATGCGGGTGCCTTATAGTTTTTACACAGAGTGTAGTTCAATTTTGTATCAGTTTGAATCCAAAAACGAGCCAACATGGATAAATTACATCCAAGTTATCGTCAATTGTTTTCCTTTCATTCCAATCAGACACGTTTTCTCTGGAATTGATGTTAGTCATAACTTGATTTGCATACGAACCTTGGATTCGCATCACAAAGTTGTAGGGTTATTTAAATAAATGAAAAAGAACAATGTCATGGAAGGAGTCGAATCTGGGATTGGCTAAGGCCCAGTTTAACCGTCAGGGATTGGCTAAGACCCAGTTTAACCGTCAGGGATTGGCTAAGACCCAGTTTAACCGTCAGGGATTGGCTAAGACCTAGTTTAACTGTCAGGTTCGAATTGATTGACATGTTATTACAGGATTTATGCATGATCAAAGAGGAGACTTCAGTAGTACAGGGTGCGGCAAAAGTTCTGACACTTTTTCTAAGAGAAATAAAAGTTGCAAACTTTGGCAATATTAATCAAAAAACGATAACAAATTGTTTGTTGAAGACAAAACTAACAAAAAATCATAAAAAATGTTCAAAATTTCCACCCTTGGCCTCGATGCACTTCTTCAATCGCTTGCGGAAGTTGCCGACGATGGTCGCGCATTGCTGAACAGTGATTTCGGCCCAGGCCCTCTTCAAAGCGGCTTTCAAAGAATCCACGGTGTGAAATCTCTTGCCAGAGATCTTGTCTTCCAAGGTCGACCAAACGGAGAAGTCCAGGGGGTTCAAATCGGAGCTATTCGACGGCCAAATGTCCTTACCCCAGTAGCCCGGAAACAGCTGATTGCAGAGAGCGAGAGTCGAGCGAGCTCCATGGGCCGGCGCCCAGTCCTGCTGAAGGGTAAATCCAGTTTGTCCGAAATGATTCGCTGCCCAGGGCTCTAAGGCATCCTTTAACACCTTTTGCTAGTAGGCCGTAGCGTTGATTTTCACATTTCGATCGATGAACACAAGAGGCGTCTTTCCTGTGGCACAGATGCTGGCCCACACCATAACGGACTTCGGAAAATGTTGGCGGACCATCAATTTGGCTGCAAAAGTGTCTTTCAGACCTCGCTTGAGAAGTTGGCGATGGTTTTGACGATTGTGGATCGCTTGAACGGTGAAGATCTTCTCATCTGTGAACACAACCTTGTCCAAACGACCAGCAGCGACCAGGTGTAAGATCTTCTTCGCTTTAGCCATCCTCTTTTGCTTCATGGCGTCGTTCAGGAAATGAGCCCGAGCAAATTTGTAGCTGAACATTTCAAGTTTCTTATGAACAATCCTTCAAACGCTTCTTTCGCTGATTCCGAGACTTGTGGCCATCTTTCTCATTGAACGAGTGGGATTTCGACGGATTCGGCATCTGACTTTGTTTGTGTTTGCTGAAGGTGACTGTGGTTGGTCGGCCGCTTCTTGGACGGTCCTGATCGTTGCCCCGCTTCTTGAATCGTTCAATGGCTCGATAGACAGACTTTTTTTGGATATCCGGTGACTCAAACAATCTCCATCGGTATCTTTCCGGCTTTGTGCAACTCAAGTATCACAGTGCGCCTCTTTTAGCATCCATATTGAAAGCGAACCTAAACAAAAACGTTGTTTCTGGTTAAAAATAAGGAAAAACAGGTTAACAAATGCAAAAAAACAAAAAGTGAGCCAAATACTGTTTTTTGAAATTTTATACAGCCGTTTGAAAAAAAAGTGTCAGAACTTTTGCCGCACCCTGTAAATAATTGGGAGATAATGGATTCCAACTGTACTATCAGAAAAGTGCACAACTTACGGTATCGAACTCCGTAGTTTCTATTATTGAGCTTGTAGTCTAGCAATACACTGAACTGTGTATTGCTTGCTCGTTTTCAATTTTGAATCAGTTTTCCATCTATTCAATCAACTGCAATAATGAGTAAACTACATTCAAATGATCGTCGATCGTTTCCCTTTCATTTCAATTGGACACAATTTGTACCTCATTTGAAGTTTCCACTTGATCTGGCCTCATTGATCGTTCAGTACGTTCAGTACATGAAGAGTCTTACAGAGAATGGCTCAATTTCAGAGAATTTCAGAGAATTCCAGAGCTTATAGTTTGAAAGATACAACTAATCTAGTTATCTGCAAAATTTTCGACCAAAATAGAGGCTTTGAATGAATGGATGTGCGGGGGAGTGGTCTTTGAAAGCTTCACACTAAAAGAAAAAGATCAAAGAGAGAAATGGAAGGATATAAAAGAGGAACATTTGGAAGAGGAAGACATCAGTCAACTGAACACATCCAACAGTCAACAATCAACAAAGATGAAGCTCATTCTTGGACTTCTCCTCTTCGTCTCAGGTAAGTGAATTTTCTTTTCTACTTTTCTACAGTAAGATAACGATTACTATTCTTATTTAACATAAATAACCGAATTACGGCAGAAGTAGAATATTATAGCGAATAGCATACGCGATACTCGGATATGCCGGCTCTCATTTAGCGCATTTAGCGTGGCGAGCAGGCTCTTATTTAGCATGTAGTGCTAATATCGTATTAGGTGTTTATAGAGCGTAAGTTACTAGAGTGTTTTACAATCATGAAATCAGAGGTTGACTTTTGTTTGATTTTTTAAAGTATGTAAAGTACTTAACTAGAATGCTTAAAAGCATACGACTCGTTGTAAGAAGCAGCAGAATGGGAAAAATGATTGAACAACTGTTTTACTTGTTAAAAGAAGTCGAGAGTACCTGAATCACTATGAGAATACATTGAGGAGGGTATAGATTAAGTGGATTTAGTGAATCTGAACTAAGTAACTAGCTGTAGATTCTTAAAATATTTAAATTTTGGGTCTCTTTCTCAAAAATCCCACCTTAGTCGCCTCCGCCGCTGCAGTGATCTTTGCCGCAGCTGATCAAACCAACATCATCGCGGTAAGCTTTTGAAGATCAAATTATTGATTATCCTAATGATATTACTGATTGATATGAGTCATGACTGTGGGAATGTACATGTACATGTGGGAATGTACATGTACATATGGGAATGTACATGTAAAGCTCAAATTTAGACCATGAACAACATGAGGTCGAGAATGGCTCTAGGGAAAGAAAAATGGTCGTATTGGATTGAGGACTATTATGACTACTACAATATTCCGGTTTGAGATCAAATATTAGCTAATATCTCTAAAATTCTTTCAGCATGGTGAATACCCCAACAGGACCTATCCAAGAGCATCGAGAATGTACCAAATGGTGGGTTTATAATGTAAAAGCTGTAATTATCATTGTTGATATTAGATTTTCGGTTTAATTTGCCTGTATCAACATTTGCCTTTTTGCTAGTTATTGCACTCGATACTTATCTATTTCAGAAATGGGATGCTGGTTTAGCGACAGCAGCGGCCACTCGATTGAACACATTGGACCAAAATACACCGTTAGTTAATCAAAATATTGCTATTTTTCAGACCTGTACCTGGAAAGATACTACACATTCAACCAATACCAAACTGTCAAATTCGAAAACCGGCTTTTTCGAATACGATCTACAAGTTACAAGTTTTAGTTTGAGCTCTCAAACATTGGGTGGATCAGTTCCAGCAACACAAGGAGATGTCCACTATGGAATCTACAAAACTGATACAAATGGAAAGACAGCTAGACAAATGTGTACGCTTTGAAAACTTAATAATATTGATTTTATCGAAAAAGTGAATTATTACCGATAATTTAGTCGGTGCTGCCTGGAACACGGCCTGGTACGGGTACATCAAAGAGATCGGTCTCCCACAAATGAACTACGATCCAAATCTCGTCATTGCTCTTCACACCAATGAAAAGAATCGAAATTTTGCTTATCAGGTACAGATATAAACAAATATAACTGTTTAGCAAAGTATTTTATCAGGTTGCTTCCGGCCAAGCTCGAAAAGTTGGATGTGCTTACCGTAACTTCACTACTGGAGCCACTGGAACCACTGCTTCGGGAACATTCGCAGTGCTTTGTCGTTTCAATCCAAGGTAGGGGTCAAGAGAAAATATAGCTCTGGCCCAATGCTAGCTAGTCCGATTAAACTCATTGTTGGACTGTTTTGGTCAATGTTTTGGTCATTTTGATTTGGTATCTCAATTATTAAAAGCCAAAACCCTTGTAACCTGGCCAACTTTGCCAAAAAACTGCAAACTTATCCAAATCAATGTTTCAGCGGTCTTACATCGGGATCGCTAGTGTACTCAACGGGAAAAATTTGTGCTGCATGTGCCAACACTACCACAATCAGCTGCACCACTGCCAATGGACTCTGTGTCCAGAAATAAGTGGACTCTTGTCAAGAAGCATTTATGATTAGTACTATTCTTAGTAAATGTCTTTTTATTTCAAATCACTGCCATAAATTTTTCACAGCAGATTCTCAACAAACTTGCACAAAACACTGTGTTTAGAACTGTTTGGCGTACTTTAGTGAGACAAATGTCTTTGTTTAACTTTTTCTATTACCTAACTGTGTTACAGTAGACTTTTGTTTCTTTTCTTTGCTTTATCTTGTTGTTCTTTATGGAATTGAAGAGTTGGTTAACAATATTTTACGGCCCAGTAGTTAATGTTGACCAGACTGAATTCAGCTAGCTCTTTGAATCAAATTAATCTTAGTAAATCTGATACAGTCGACTCTCGAAATAACGACTCTGTCGGGACCGCGAAATGGAGTCGTTATATTGAAAATCGTTATATATAAGTCAAAAAAACCAAGGCTTTTAACCTAAATTGTTATATTGAGTTACAGTAAGCTGTTTATCAACAAAAACGAACATAACAGAACGCCTAATTCTCTCAAAGTTTAGCGAAAAAATCTGTCAAGTGAGACTGCTTATTTTTAATCAAAGATTCCTCATAAAAAAGTTATCAAGAACAGTTAAGGTAGCAAAAACTTTCGAATCAGCCTTTTTTCTCGTATAGTCATTCAAATTGATTTTCCCCATTTCTCTTTCAACATTTTCCCTTTCGAAAAGACAGCCCTCATTTTTCATTGTGCAATGAAAAGCCCAAGTTAAAAATCAATTGGAAGCATCAATCCCCTTCAAATCAATTGGAAGAATCAATCCCCTTCGAATCAATTGGAAGAATCAATCCCCTTCGAATCAATTGGAAGAATCAATTCCCTTCGAATCAATTGGAAGAATCAATCCCCTTCGAAAAGACAGCCCTCATTTTTCATTGTGCAATGAAAAGCACAAGTAAAAAATCAATTGGATTTCCACCTTTCGACTGACTCATATTGCTTCTTTGAACACTTTCTGATTTAAATTCTGTTTAAATTTTTTTAAAAACTCATAAATGGAGGTTTGGATCGGAAGAGGCTCATTTGGCGACGTTTATTTACGAGAAGAAAACGGACAGTGAGTTGATATTTTGAAATGTTTACAATCATTTATCAAAGCTAGTAAGAGCAAACGATTCACAAATTTTTAGAGGCATCACCTTTAGATAATGCTAATCTAATTAGACAAAACTCTTCAGAAAATGCGTTGTCAAGTACGTGGAAGAGGATGTCGCCGAGAATTACCTGAAAGAAAGGGACACTCTTGAATTGCTCACTCACACAAACATTGTCGGCTACATCGGCACTAGGAGGGGAGCAAACGGGAGATTCGGCATTCTGTTAGAGTATTGTGAACTTGGACCACTAAAGGATTGTAGGTTATTTCAATGGATTCGATACAACAAACATTACAGTGATTGTCAATGAAACAATCGTTTACTCGATTCGTTCTGTTGTTGAATGGGCGCGGGAGTTGTTCGGGGCACTCGAGTTCTTGGAAGAGCACCACATTGTGCATCGAGATATCAAGCCAGACAAGTGGGTTCAGAGTTTACATTTCTCAATGACGTTGAAAATACATGTATTCATCGAGAAATCTAAAACTCAACCAATTCCCGAGCTGTTGGTATTTGGTTGTTGGTTATTGGTTAGAAAAATTTAAACTTTAATAGTAAACCTATTAAATCGAGTAGCATTCCTTCAGTTTATACTTTGAAAGTTAAAATCGAATTTAGCGTTTTTGTCACAGCATTCTACAACACGAAACTCGGCGACTTTGGCAGTTGCAAAATAATCGAGGGAACATTGACGGGAGCCTCCATCGCCGGAACAGCCCGCTACACAAGTCCACCGAAAATCGACTGGCAAGAGGGGAAAATCAAAGCACACCCTTTGACGGTATTCATAAAAGACAGAGCCACTCAACTCGTTATTTTCAGCTCTCCCACAAAAACGATGTCTACAGTTTGGGTCTCATCTTGTGGGAACTGATCGAGAGAAGGTCCTTAAAACAATCCAGCAACAATCCCCACTTTCAGACGTGTTCTCTCTCAATATGATGAGAAAACGCAAGATGGATTGTACTTCAACCAGGTCCAGTTTCACGCAGATATTTTAGGGAAAAATTTCATTCAACTCGATTCTCCAATGTGTCGGGGGAACTTCAAAAAGTTTGTCGAGAGGTGAGAACTAATAGTAAAGCTATACAAATTAGCTTCAAAGAGGTTTAGTTGTGTCAACTTCAACTACGATGACCGATTTAGCATCTCCGAGGCTATGAAAGAAATCAAAGACCTAATCAAAGTGGGTTGTAAAACAGTTCCGATCGACATTATCATTCAAAGTTCGCTTTGTTACCTCTAAATTTTGATAGTGAGCAAAAGAAACGGAATTTTTCAGACGGACAAAACCCTTCTCGAATTCGATCTCCTTCCCGAAGCTCAACAGGACCATAAAATCCCAATTCGACCAATCGGTTTTGACGAGAAGTTTTCAAAGGCGAGAATCCCCATTCGATTTGAGGATCCATCTCTGTCGATTCCAGATCCATCCATCGATTTGACAAATGCATCAAGCAATGAAAAGAGCGATCAAAACCAAAAGGCCACAAAATACTTCCCAAAGCTTCGAGGCTCCGACCAAGAACGCGAAAAGTTCTTTGCGGAATTTCTCACTGCCTCGAAAAAGGACCGAGATGAGTTCACGAGTCGAATCTCTGACTACATTGAGTTCCATTTTCAAACTTTTAACTCGTATTATTATCACGGGATCGATGAAATGAAAGACAAAATGGATCTAGACAACATGGAAATTCTGTTTGCCGCTTGTTTGATGATTGACTACATTTCTCAACTACAACACTATCATAATACATTTGAGTTGATCGACGATCTCGGAAAAACGAATTTTGGTGGCTGGTTGATCTATCGAGAACTGCTCAATTTGAAGAGCACTCTGAGCAACTTGAAGAAGTTCTGCTACACAAGGCGGATCTACTTCAAGTGCTACTTTTCCACGTACACCCGAGAAGAGTGGTTACTCTTACGATACGTTGAGGGTCGAGAATGTCAATTCGTTTCGAAAGACCTAAAAACGGTGAGAACCTATTGGGACAAAACGACAGGCGCCGAACAATTCGCGCAAGCCTTGTCAAAGGTATTTAAGGGTCGAGAGGTGCCTAAACAGTTGTATCTACGGCGATTGGAAAAGGGAAAACGTTTCGACATCGAGTCGATCGTCGGAACGCTCGACGAATGCGAGGAGATGACCTATTTGAGTGACGAACCGCTAGACATCTACATGCTAGTCAACTCCCTAGAAGATAAGCTCAAAAAATTGGGAACATCACTAGAGATCAAGTGCGATAGTTTTATTCTACCACCACCCGAGGTCGATTCAACAATGAAACCAATGGTAGATCGACTGAAACTCAAAGACTCGGCTTATCCCGGTTACATTTTCCAGTTGAAAAATCCTCCTCGATCAAACTGTTTGTGTTCTGAAACATGTCCATTAATTTGTGGAGTACCATATCCAGAAGAGATTCCCTATCAGATGAAATTATCCTACTTTAAGTGCTCAAGTAACGACATGAGACGTTACCTAGAGTTCTATGCCAACTTTCGAATCGGAATGGACATTGCCCTGAGAAAAGAGAAGAGAATCGAAGTCATCGATTATGATCCAGAGAATTTGAGTGAAGAGTTTTCAAGAGGAAATTACTTTCTCTTTTCATTAATCAAGGTGAAAATGAACGGGAAAATTGAAGAGCTGTTAATGCTTGACACTCCATCGAATTGTAGTGAGTTTGAGAGTATTCCATGTATAGATTTCCACTTCACACTGTTCACGATTGAGGCCTCGAAAATTGTGAAACTGAATTTGATTCCAAAAATCTCATTGGTGCCGATATTCTACGATAAGGAGTTCAAGTTCACGTTGCTGAAACCAAAAGAAAGGGTGATCGATCTACTGGATAGTTTGGACTAACGAAATCAGAGATCAGAGATTTCAAGTTAATAAAGAAGTGCAAATTATTTTCATTAATTGCTAAAGCAAAAAATTTACACATTAAAGCAACTTTCTGACAAGCTAAAGCACACTTTTTCTGTAATTGATTCATAGAAGCTAATGGCTTGATACATTCAGTTAAAGGTATTTATTTCATTCAATAAAAGCACCATAATCTCCAAGCAAAGAGATCGTTAATGAAAAGAACTTAAAGAAACTTGAAGATCAATCATCTCTGGCATAGATGGGAAGTGATACCTCACCGAATTCATCATCAGAATCGTCGTCGACGACAATGGCTGGCTCGCTGAAGTTCAAGTTGATGTTTTGATTGATGTTTTGATATTAAACTTGCTGAAGCCACTAAGATAGTTTGAAAAATTGATTGAAATCTTTTAAAAGTTTTTTTAAAAACTTTGACAGCGCTCTGTTACTCAAACTTTGAAGTTCTACTAGGTTAAGGTTAAATACTAGGTTAAATAAGGTTAAAGTTTCAGTTGCATAAACTCACTCTTCTTCTTGAAAGAATATCTTGGGCTCAGTGAATTGATGGACTGACATTGTGATAGGCTGAAGGAATGATTAAACTCGAGTTGAAATTGGACAATTCACCTTTTATACCCGATTTTTATTTCAAACCTCTCATAAACCAGTCACATTAATCTTACAAATTCTGAAATTTACACAAGATTAATGAAATCCTATAGTTAGCAAATTTTTTGTAAAGAATTATTCATTTCGAAAGACGACAGAGACGACAGAGTTGATAAGGCTGGCCTTTCACCCACTGTCTCATTTCAGGATAAAGCTATAGAGTAGATGCATACCTATCTATGAATCTATCCAAATTACTTTTCAGGTGACTTATGAACACAGCTAAGATCTCTTCGACTATTGAGGTTTAGAAAGTTTTGTTTGTAAATAGCTAAACAGTTTTTTTTAGGTAAATCAAGTTGGCCACAAATGATGGTGAGGAGAACTACTCGATCGAGAAAGTGAAAACCTTTATCGAGAATGCCACCAACCCCAACAAAAAAAGTTGCTTTTGTTTTTCTTATTTCTATCACTTAACTCTTTTAGGTGAACTACTTAGACAAGTTGCGAGTTGATTCGACAAGTGGTTTAACGTGTGACCTTCATTTTCGTAAAGACCGTGAGGTGAGTTAGCTCTTTAATAATTGTTTCTTACTTTAAGCTTTTAGCTTCGAGGCGATATTTTTAGAGGAAACGTGGTTTACTCTCAATCGACTGGCCACTGGGATCAAGGATTAGCAAAGTAAGTACTTGTCATTGCAGCTAAACAATCTCTTATTTTAGAATCTTTTAACAAACTTTCAGCTGTTCTTTCTTTTCTCCTATCCTTTCTTATCTATTTTCTCCTCCATCGATGTTTTTTTCTTTTACCAACGAGGCATTCCAGCTTGTTGCCCCGCGAAAACATCAACATTTCACTGATTTCGATCTTTTCTTCCCATCAAAAGCAAAAATAGTAGCATTTTGTACAAATTCAATCGGCTTTTTCAAGCTTTTCAATTTGATTGGCAAATCTTTTGAACCAATGGATGAATTTTATCCAAATATTGCAAAACCGTTGCTCACTAAAGGCGAACATCGACTTCTTCGAGCTCTCAAGGTTGATTGGCTAAAGTTATTGATAAAGTACGAGTACAACAGTTGCAACATAATATTTCATTATTTTTAGGGGTCATTTAAAACGCATATAGCCATAAACTATGGTTTATAGATCGTATGCCGATTTGAGGTTATTGTCGGTTTGACAATGATGATTCTCTCCTGTACGGCCACTTATCTCTCATTCTCCTTGAATACTTTCCGTTTGTATGGACTTGAGGAGTGTTGCTCGTTCTATTTCATTCTAATGGGAGCTCTGGGTGAATTTTTTTGTCCAAAATATTACCGTTTACGATCGTCGACTGCTAGAACTCAAAAAAATTAAGGTATTTGCGGTGCTTCAGCTCTTCGTCACACTTTATTCATTCTGGTGCTCGTCATGGGTGTGCATGGAGGTGAGTTTGTTCAACCTGTTCAACTTGTTCAACCTGTTCAACTTGTTCAACCTGTTCAACCTGTTCAACTTATTCAACTTGTTTAATCGAAATTAAAGCTTTAGCTCTAATTTTTGCACCAGCTTTAATCGCGGTTTCCTCAATTGATATCACTTTTTTGAAGCATCAATGCTGGGGTGAGTCTTATTATTTTCTAAACAAGAGTCAAAATTGCAGGTGCTTGTGATTGGAATCTCTTGGCTCCATCATTTCCCTCAAATGGTCGCTGTGAAGTGATTTGTGGATCAAGTATTGATGAGCAAAGGTAAACAATGTTAAGCTTGTACTTAAGGAATATTTAAAGTCTTTAAGTTGACAAGCTAGAATTGAGAACGGACAACCCCGCCATTCACGGGTAAGATTCTATACCATGCCCCGGCTACCGTACCCTTTGTCAGTTGATTTGATCTTTGTTTTCATTTCATTTTTCTTCTCATTTTTGATAGGAGAGTCGCGACTTCGGATCTGATCTAATTCAATTCGGATCTTCCCAGTAACCTTTCCTTTTATCTAATTTTGGTGTTCTGTTAACTTTCCCTTCGTTTACTCGTCCCCGATAAAGTTTCTACTAATGATTTCAAGGAAATCATATGCAATTAACACAATTTGAATTGTAAACGGGTACGGGCTGTGAAATGATACGTGAAAAGGCCTAAAGAGGTCAATAAAGAGGTGTCTGGGGCGGTGGAAAAGTGGTATGGTGGGTTTAACCTCTAAACCCGAGCCCAGGAACTTACACCAACCGGGGAAATCGCGCTCAACTCATGAAGCTAATATTTAAATCACTTTCAGACGTTCTCAGTTGACTCGTCTCGGATTGGATGTTCGCTTAGATGCTGGTAAGAACTCTTTGTATATATAGTTAAAATTATTCAATTTTCAGGGATGTGTGGTTGTGCGGCTGCTCAATTTCTCCTCTCAATTCTCACAATCGTTCTTTGTGCCAAGATTGCCCCGATTTCGAATCGCTTGCGAAAGATGTGAGTCAATGAAGTCAAGCTTGTGAACAAATCTTTCAGTAGAGGATAAAGTATTCTGAAAATTGAGCTCACCAAACCTGTGTATAGACAACAATTTTTTTAGTGCTTCATCAATGCTGAAGAATGATCCTTTTATCGCACGAGATGAGATGATTCTATTGGAGGAGATATCAATGGAGAGGATTACGAAAAAGCCCGAAAGTGAATTTGTTGATGAGCTTGATTAGAGTTGTAGAAAGTTTTCTTGTAAATTACTTTGTACCTCAAGATTTTTTGCGCTCTTTCTTTCTGAAGACTTTCTCGTTTTGTAGTCTATTTGGTTGGTTTTTTTAAAAGAACATTGACACTCATTCGTTTAGCTACAATTCCACGAAGTTCATCTCGTTTGATAAGCACTTCAAAAGCTGAATCCCAGTAAATATCCGATTTCTATCCAATATCTCAAGTCAAATAAATATTTCTTTGAGAAGAGAGAGAATATTTTGAATCTATTCCACTTCCGTCATTCCACCCAAACATAATATTCAGCCGTTAATTGTATTTTCAAAAACGTCTCGATTCTCATGACTTTTTGGAGAGGAAAGAGCAAAACCGGGGGCTGTTCGCGTTTAATGAATAAGCCTTTTTCCTTTTAAAGCAAAAACACCTGCTCAATTTGTCCCTAACACTTTCTGGGAATGAGAAACAGATTTTAATTACCTACTTCTATTCAAAATTTATTTTCAATCAAATTATTGATGTTCTATGGAAATTATTGATATCAGTTCGTATGGAAAAATCGCTTTTTGGGTTCGGATAGTTTCGAGTGAGTCAGTAAGGTTTAAAAACAACGTGAAAACCGAATCCAGTATCCGGTATTACTACAACAATATGGCAAGGTAACAATAAACACTTTCAATTTAGCAAAACATAGGTTAATTGGTGCATTTGTTGATTTTAAACGGAAATATGAAGAGGAACGAAAAGACTTTCTAGAAAGCCTAATACAAGTTCTTAACGGGGGAATTATATCAATGAGTGCATTCAGTCTTCGGCTGTGCATTGAATCTCGTCGGCCTAGTAGCTGTCATTTATGGGAATCCTCGTATGCTTGCTCACTATAGACGTTATCTTATCGTTTATCAAGTAGGGTCTTCAGAAAAGCATTTAACTCTTCGAAACCAGGTTTACTCTCTTGTAACCGATTTGGCGATTGGTGGTCTAGCCTTACCGATTCTCGCATTTCCGGATACTGGCGGCTTCTCTATCGGAATCTTGACAGACTTTGGAATCTCTACTGAAATTCAACTGGTTTGTAAAATATCTTGTAAAAGGGTAAACTTTAGGGTAAACTTTAGACAATCGGGATTTATCTTGTTGGAGCATTGTTTGGAGCAAAAATCGTGATCTTTCTCGAGCGGCAACAAGCTGCTTTGCATCAAGAACATCCGTTTAGACTTTGTAAAATGTGAGGAAAATTTTCTGAAGGCTCAAAAAACACGTTTAGAGCTCACGAATGGGCTACAAAATTTCTGTACATCGGTCCAATCTTGCTGTCATTTGCCGTTTCGTTGATGTGCGCTTTGAATGATGTGAAGAAAGCAATTAAGAGCTCTTCTTTGGTAAATTTTTAAGCGTATTTGATTTTTTCTGAAGTTTCTGAAGAAGATAATACTTTCAGAGATATCCTCAACTTCAACAATTCATCTCAAATCCCAACTATTTCGGGTTTCAGGACGGTTTCGACACAGCGATCGCGCTTATTTTGTTTCTTTTGGTGCTCGTTGCTGGCGCATTGATTGGATGTAAGTTATTGATAAAAGGATATACAAATCTTATTATATTACTTATTATAATCTTATTTATTATATTCTTATTTATTATCTTACTTACTTATCACTTACTTACTTACAAATTTTGTGTGTGTGTGTCTGTTCATTCACCTCATAACTCGAGTTCCAGTGGGAATTTCAGTCCTATTTTTTGGGACAATATATAATCGATTACGGCAATTTGGCTTATCAAATCAGATTTGAAATCTCAACTCGATTAATATGAATAAAAACAAATCCCATTTCCAGTCACCACTCTTCCCTCATTTCACGCCTTTCGAACTCAACAATTGATGCTTTCCGAGAAGACTGTGAGAATGCAAAAGAAATGGCTTCAAAACTTATGCATTCAGGTAAGGAAACGATCGTAATATTGATTTTGTTGTGCAATTTATGCAATTTTTGCATTTGGAATTCTTTCAGACCCTAGTGCTTTGTGCAATGGTTTTCACGCCGCTTTTTTATGGCCTTTTCACTTATTTTACGCAACAAATTTGGTTGGCCGGTGAGTGAGAAAAATTTCTGAAATAAATGACAGCTCTAGAAATGTATAGAACTGGATTTTAAAAAAATCGATAAACTTTCCAGGTTACTCAATTTGGGCGACAGTCATTTTCTCACAACAAGGCGCTGCAATGACAACGCTGAATTTTGTGCTTTTCAAAAGCTATCGAAAATTTGTGAAACGAAGAGTTTTCGGGATTGTTTATGGGAAACAGAAAAGTGAGATGAAAGATTGAATTTCACTCAATCTTATTCAGCTACCCAACTTGCATTGGAATCTTTGAGTGTATTTGTTGTCACAAGAAATGCCGTCACGATGATTCCCGGGATTCGGGAGATAAATGAGTGATTCGATAGACATTTTTTGTTTTCGATTTTTTTTTGTTTTTTGTTTTTTTTCTTTGTTACTAAATTGCATTAAAATGTAAATTTGTGATTTCAATGGATAGATTCCAAAACTGACTCTGACTCATGGAGATTTTTATGAAAACAAACAAAAGCTTCAAAGTCAATTTTCCCAAAATTCGATAGCTCTAAAATAATCTGTGTGAATCATCTCTTTTTGTTGGATGAGCTGAAAGTTGAAAGTAAAATCTGTATCAAAATATTTTCCTGTTATAGAATTATTGAATACTATTGCTATACGATTTCGAAATTTGCATTGAATGACAAGAACTTTCCAGACAGTTTTGGATACATTCAGAATTTTTGTTTTGAACCAGGAATCGTTTCCTGTTTCCTGTTTCTTGTTTCCTGTTTCCTGTTTTGAAAGCACTACATTCGAACTGGCCTATATTTTAGATCTGTCTTTAGGATTTCAAGCTTTTACAACATTTTCAGCAATCTCAAACCAAGTAATTGTCGTGAATCACACCTTGCAAAGAGAAAAGTGAGAAAAAAGGAGAACGGGGCGCCGGGATGGCTCTCTTTTCTGTCCTTTCGTGTTTTTTCCAGCCCATCCCCACCTTTGCGCCGTTTTTCGAAGCGTTCCACCCCCTCTTCCTTGAGATTTCATCATACTTATAGCTACCAATATTTCGAAAATAAATCTTACTTTGGCTAATTTGTTATCTTTAACCGTGTTGAGTCAAGTTTTTTGGCCAATTTTTGCGAAAAGCTTGCGATGTTTCCTTGCATAATTCACTGATAAGGAAAAGAAAGAAAAGGACAAGAATGGGCGTGTCGATCACCACTCATTCCGAAAAATTTGCCTCGAATCTTCTCTTTTTAAAATTTTCATTTTTTAAGTCTAACAAGATCTTCTTCAGTTGTAATCTTTATAGACGTCTTTCTCTACAATCTAAAGCTATATTTTCTTTATCAGCCGAAAAACTCGCCTAACGGTGGGTTTTTCTAACTGGATTTCATTTCATTATCGACTTCTAACCTATCTTTATTCAATTCTTTAGATTCATCACAAAATGTTTGCAAAGCTTTCCAATCGTCTCAAGCAATGGAGAGCAAAGAGACGGACTTCTCCAACGAAAAACGAAAGCGCTCAACGAAATGTAGGAGATAAGGTAGGACAAGCTAACAAGAATAATAACTTTGAACAAATTCCAGGAAATCCCTACTCCGTGCCCTACTCTAACAGTCCCAATCTCGCGACCGACCCGTCTTGGCGGTCTTCCGATTTCTTCAGATGGAATCGCTCAAGAACTTCCACCGAGAGTTCAATTTCTTCTTGATAAGGTAGACAAATTTCGTAAAATTGTACAGTTAATAGACTTTGTAGAAAGTGCAAGCTTTAGAGAAGGTATTACCTTATAGTTGTTGCAAACGTGATGAGACCATTCTGGCATCATTGAATTTGCATTAAATGGTACCACTGATTTTTGATGCAATGTTTTGGTAGCAATAGTTTCATCATTAAACGACCCTGCTGCAAAATTAAGGTCAAAATTTCAGAACCGACCAATCGATTTGGATGACGATGAGAAATTCGACTTCGAGCTGGCTCTCAAAGCGATGAAGATGATCGATCGACTCAATAACGTAAGATTTGTTTTCGATCGATCGACTCAATAACGTAAGATCCGATCCATTCGACAGAAAGGATCGGATTAGCTCAAGAACATACTTTTTATACTTAGCATTTAGTTTTTGGTTTCAAACGCAAATTTTGTATTATTGGAATGGAAATTATCCGATAAAAATGCGAAAGATTCAGTTAATTCAATAAAAATTCAGTTAAAATCAGTTTTTACGACGCGTTAGACTTGCTATCCGATCGAATAGATGGATCGAAATCGGACCGCCTCGGATGATCGATTCGATCCGATTCTATCTGACAGAATTTCGATCGAATAGCAAGTCTAGTGCGCTGATCAGTTAAATGATATTAGAAAATGCGTTTAATTGCGAAATTTAATTTAATAGTTTAATTTAGAACGAGCCTCTATCTCCCGAGTCAGTCCTGTTGACGCCGATGGCTCAACTTTCCATGAAAAATGACTCGAAAGCTAGAACTCCATCGGAAATTCAAAAACCACATGAATAAGAAACTTAATATTGCTCGATAGCTGTAGATCTTTGTGATTAGTTTTATTTTTGATTGCAGTATTTTTAGAATAGCTCTTTTTCCTCTTGTCCCTACTAATTGTAAGGTGAGCTTAATTTGATTGATTTGCTTTCAAAAGCTTGCTTTTCAATGCACCTTTCTCCACTCATCTCAGTTTTGTGATGAAATTTTCTCATTTTCTGCTTTCGCAATGATCTTTCAAAGCCTCAAAGATTGCCATTCCGCAAAGTGTCACTGAAATTTTCTCATTCTGGTCCGTTTTGTGCCTTTCTTGTATTGCTTTCGGGTTTAGGAATAAATGTAGGACGAATTTTGAAGTCAAAACATGAATCTATTACAGTAAATCCATAAATTAAGGGGAAAAATGATCAAAAAACCTTATGAATGTAACGTGTTTCTTTCCTCCTGCAATTTTTCAATTGCCTCGAAAATGGCTTTGAAGTTTCAAGTTAATTATTGTATAAGCTAAGCTTAGCCAACTCAACTACATAGTCGTAGATTGCCGAAGTTGTTGTAATGATTGACGTGACTGTTAGTGATTTCAAGTATCGAACTACCGAAATCCTTTGTCTGTTGTTCATCTCCATCCACGGCTCTTGTTTCTTTCACTTTAGCTGGATGTCTTGTTGTACTTGATCTTCATCAAATCTCCTCAAAACTATCAAAAAAATTTCCAATACCTCCAAAAAATCTCTTTTCACATTTTCTTGTCAAATTTTTGTGCATTCAGTGCCTTGTTGAGGATAAACTCATTTTGTGAATGTTTGAGAATAAAGTTTTCTTTCGAAAAAAGACGCAAGGAATCCAAAAGGATGAACCCAAAAAGAGGCAAATCACATAAATAGGAAATAGGGGACAAAATGGACAAAATGGGCAAATCAATGACCAATTCAGAAGATTCTTCGAGTCATAACCGAACAACCATTTAGATTTAGAACAGACAAAGAAGGAATCGAATAAGAGAAAAAACCGACAGATAGATTCGGCATCAAAAAATCCGACTAAACAGAAGCTCTCTGTCAGGAACAAGTGAGGAACAGCTTGGACGGCTGAGTTTTGCTGATAGGTAACGGTTTGAGCTTTTCGGCTGTATCCCGGATCTTTCATTATGTGCACTCGCACAAAACAGCCTTCCTGTTGGGTGAGGCTTGGTTCCGGTGTCTCGGCGAGAGTCCACACGAACTAAACCTCGAAATGTTTTGTGAATTGATCCGAGAATGCCCACATTAGCCAGATTTGCACCATAGATCGTCTTGTTGGGCCGTATTTTCGGACCATCTGCACTCCAGATGATCCTGTAATGAGAAATTTTGAACCGACTCGTTCATTGTGATCACCGGCAGTTAACTGTTGGATGGTCGGAGCCTTACGGAGTTCAAGGAACCATCAAAGTTATACTTTTTATGTGAAAATCAGATTTGTAAATCTTTTAGTATTTCAGCTAATAAATTTAACAAAATTGTCCTTTATATTCACTGCAGTTGACCAATTTCTGTCAAAAACAAAGCTGAAAAAACCATTCTGAGCAGCAGGGGAGTCCAACCAACAGCCCTCTCTCCAGCGCCAGATCGACGCCTTAGACCACTCGGAGCTTCAGTAATTCGGCTTTTTACAAAAAACGGTCTCACTAACCCCAAAACTAATTCGATTTTTGGAAATTAGATAAAATTTTACACGTATAGCCAATTTTTCAGCCGAATCGGTGGAGCCGTTCTTTCTAAAATCACATAAAAGACATACTCTCTCTTATAATCAGCAAGATATCTCACTTTTCGTGCTCCAAATTGCCCCCATCCGTTGATTTGAAATTGATGACAAGCCGTCCACTGAGTATCTCGACAAATTCCAACGTGAGAACAACAGGCCAAGCACCTAGGGAGATTATTGAGTGAACGGGTTTTACCTTTTCGCATAAAATTCAAGCCATTTCATATTAAAGGTCAAGGATGCTCAAAGATAATCAACTAATCAGAATCAGAACGATCACCTCGCTCAAATCTGTAAGTCTCTCGACTCTGATTGAGCCAATTTCTTGTCGATCTTGCTGTGGTGATGATAGTCGACCGCGGCAAGTTGCAACAATGAGCACTGGTGCTGTGAAATCTCACCACAATGCAGTTCTTGTTGCAGCTCATAATTCTCGGCCATTTCGTCGCCGAATTGGTGAAACCCCTGTGTGGCTACGGCGACTGTTCCTTGACAACTCTCATGCTGTCGGATGAAGCCTATCAATGGGAATTGTCACCAGTAAACGTTCCAAAAAACTCTACCATCAGGGGCATTGTACGACTTGACGGATAGGCTGGGCGCACATCCGACCGGCACGAGAACACTGTAGACCTTGGCCTCGAGGGGCTGTGGAACGAATGGCTGATCGTCGCTAGAAGTTATTGTTGAAGCATTTTTGCTTTCTGATAGTATTACATTGAGTTCGAATTCTTGATAACACTTCACAAGGTTTTACTTTTAGAAATAACTAATGTATCAAATCATCTACGGTTTTTACCAATGAGAAGATCGATTGATTTTCTAAAAGTAATTTTTGAGTTAATCTTGGAAAAGTAGAAGAGTAGATCTTTGGTTTGAAAGGCTTGAGAAAGAGGTTGAAGGAGCCACAATTAGGCCAATTGAAGACGAATAAATTCAAAGAACCAAATACAATGATGACCTGAAAGTGAGCAAATGTCGATCCGAATATGTGCCATTGTATGGTGGGGGCCCGATTATGAAGTCGTATCGACACGCCGAGTCACCGCGTTTCTGCAACAAACAAAAATGGAACTTGGAGAAACAAATTGGGTTTCAGGGAAAATTTGGCGAAAGATGCAGAAAGCGCAAACCCAATTGAGCTCCTCGAGTGTGTTGACCGCTCCTTCGTATCGCAACAGGACGAAAGTCGCCCAAAGTGGCGATTTGTGACCTCCGTCTAATCGGTAGCTCATCCAAGTCTCGAGTCCCTCTTCATAATCGACTGTTCCGGGTTCGCTCATAAAGTTGGGAGCGGCCAAGAAGAATAACGTCGAGTCTGATAGGGATTATTTTTTTTGTTTCTGTTAAAGCATGTTGTTTACTAAATGCTACGTTGTTACTAAATACTATTCGATTGTTACTAAGTATTAAATACTGCTTACTACGTTGTTTACTAAATAAGATAGCATCCTACTATCTTTCAAACACTCTTTCAAACATTTAAACCATTTTAAAGTGACAAAAATCTTTAACACTCACTAGGAAGTAGAGTGTGTTTCCTGCGAGTAAATAATCACTCGAGTCAAATTTGCATGAGTAATTCTTACTCGATTAATCGACGCTTTTTTTTGTCGAGTAACTACGAGTAATCTAAGATCTTGACATGTCGAGTAAATGGAAATCTTCTAAATTAGAAGGCAATTTGTCACCAATTCAGGTAAACGACTGGATATCTTTTAGAGGAATCATATACAAGTCGTCGTTCGTTATGGTTTTCGCCAATTTTTTTGACGAGGCCTCCATGCCATCCATGAAGAGTGGATGCGTGGGTGGCCGAGGGAATAGTGCTCTTGGTTAGGTTACTGGGTCCTTTTTTGCTCTGGTTCGATGGTTCGATTCCCCTCATGTCAAACATTTTTGCTTTTCCTTTTTCTATTAACAACTTTTTATGGCATTCCATTGTTTTAAGCATTTCAATGATAAGCAATTGACAAAAACTAAAAGCAGCTTCGAACTCAGTGTTGCCGATTCTATAAGATGGGTTTTTGTTCTAAAAAAAGCCACAGAGAGTGCTTGCCTTTCCCTAATCAGCCCAGAAAATCATTTATAGCAAGGCGAAGTCAGCAAGCCCTTACACTCTGACTCACCGGTAAAGAGATTACCTTAATACCTATATCAGCAGTATATAGAAGCGATTCGTATGGGGTAAAACGGATAAACATGAAAACGTTTTCATACATTCGTTTTCATACAAACCATCGATCCATTCGACGATTCGAAAGGCGAAAATCGAATTGACGAGCCGCTCCGGATGCTCGTAGATTCGCATTATCACGCTTGAGTTGGCAATGAGAAATTGGCAATTCTGACGAAATCCTCCCGTTTTCGGATCCTTGCTGAACGCCAATTTGTCAAGCCATGAAAAACAGAACGCAGAGCGCTCAAAGATCATTTCACCCAAATCTACTGCTCATTTTGCAACGAATTACCTCCAAGTACAATTCTTCAAATCGAATTGCCGATTGTTCAACATAATAGCCGTCTTATTTTGGCATCCATCAGTTAGCTGAAGGGATTTTTCTGTTTTCTTCCCATTCACTTACACTAATTATCGTTTCACAGTATTCCAAAACGTCGACAATAAATGAACAACCGAAGCATTCGTCAGCATCAATGCATAGTGGCATATGCCGAAGGTCGTTAGCTGAATACAGAGGGAAATGAATGGAAAATATCATTTCCCTCACTTTGTAACGCTTTCCCCGACAATACAAGCACCGGATCGCCTTTTTTGTAATGAAACGTCATATTTTCCCAGCATTGCAACTCTTTATATTCGATGTTGGAGGACTCGATCGTGAGCACAAATCCCTTTATGGGAGCCTCTCTATCATAGGTGGTGAAAGTAGCCTGTAAATTAGATACAGTCGTCGAAGAATGTTTTTAGCCGGTCAATGTTTTCTCATTTTTCTCCCGTTAGATCGAATTCAAATAAATCGATCCTAATTAGTTTTTGATAGTATTAGATTGTTACATAAATCTTGAGGCTTTGTTTGAAAGTTTTGTTTAGAAATGAATATTCACCCAATCGACTTGCGGTTTTCCCTATATTCATTTCTAAAGAAACTTTGAAACAGCCCCAGGCCCCAAGACTTTGAGACCCAAGACTTAACAACCTAATATTTTGTAAGAGCTTTAAGGTGATATTCTTAGATTTTTGATGTCGCTCTAAATAGAAATTTTCAAGCTACATTTTCATAAGATGATAAAGTCCTTTTTCTTAGATT